TATTAATGTCAATCCTTTAGTATGTGTATTAATGTCAATCTTTTAGTAAATGTATTAATGTCAATCCTTTAGTATGTGTATTAATGTCAATCCTTTAATATGTGTATTAATGTCAATCCTTTAGTATATGTATTAATGTCAATCCTTTAGTATATGTATTAATGTCAATCCTTTAGTATATGTATTAATGTCAATCCTTTAGTATGTGTATTAATGTCAATCTTTTAGTAAATGTATTAATGTCAATCTTTTAGTATATGTATTAATGTCAATCCTTTAGTATGTGTATTAATGTCAATCCTTTAGTATATGTATTAATGTCAATCCTTTAGTATATGTATTAATGTCAATCCTTTAGTATGTGTATTAATGTCAATCTTTTAGTATATGTATTAATGTCAATCCTTTAGTATATGTATTAATGTCAATCCTTTAGTATGTGTATTAATGTCAATCTTTTAGTATATGTATTAATGTCAATCTTTTAGTATATGTATTAATGTCAATCCTTTAGTATGTGTATTAATGTCAATCCTTTAGTATGTGTATTAATGTCAATCCTTTAGTATGTGTATTAATGTCAATCCTTTAGTATGTGTATTAATGTCAATCCTTTAGTATGTGTATTAATGTCAATTCTTTTGTATGTGTATTAATGTCAATCCTTTAGTATATGTATTAATGTCAATCCTTTTGTATATGTATTAATGTCAATCCTTTAGTATGTGTATTAATGTCAATCTTTTAGTATATGTATTAATGTCAATCCTTTAGTATGTGTATTAATGTCAATCCTTTAGTATATGTATTAATGTCAATCCTTTAGTATATGTATTAATGTCAATCCTTTAGTATGTGTATTAATGTCAATCTTTTAGTATATGTATTAATGTCAATCCTTTAGTATATGTATTAATGTCAATCCTTTAGTATGTGTATTAATGTCAATCTTTTAGTATATGTATTAATGTCAATCCTTTAGTATATGTATTAATGTCAATCCTTTAGTATGTGTATTAATGTCAATCTTTTAGTATATGTATTAATGTCAATCCTTTAGTATGTGTATTAATGTCAATCCTTTAGTATGTGTATTAATGTCAATCTTTTAGTATATGTATTAATGTCAATCCTTTAGTATGTGTATTAATGTCAATCTTTTAGTATATGTATTAATGTCAATCCTTTAGTATATGTATTAATGTCAATCCTTTAGTATATGTATTAATGTCAATCCTTTAGTATGTGTATTAATGTCAATCTTTTAGTAAATGTATTAATGTCAATCCTTTAGTATATGTATTAATGTCAATCCTTTAGTATGTGTATTAATGTCAATCCTTTAGTATATGTATTAATGTCAATCCTTTAGTATGTGTATTAATGTCAATCCTTTAGTATATGTATTAATGTCAATCCTTTAGTATGTGTATTAATGTCAATCCTTTAGTATATGTATTAATGTCAATCCTTTAGTATATGTATTAATGTCAATCCTTTAGTATATGTATTAATGTCAATCCTTTAGTATGTGTATTAATGTCAATCCTTTAGTATATGTATTAATGTCAATCCTTTAGTATATGTATTAATGTCAATCCTTTAGTATGTGTATTAATGTCAATCCTTTAGTATGTGTATTAATGTCAATCTTTTAGTATGTGATGTGTATAGATAGTATTACTAAACTATGGGGTAAAAAAATTATTACAGAAACAAGTGCCTGTGATATCAAACCCTTATTACATACGTTGAAAGCTCATCACTTTATGTTTAAGTCATTGCTTTCTTACATGATGTGAAATAATTTTCACACTTTATCTTAATTTAATAACTTAATGTCAAAAGTTCATTACATGATGTCAATTTATCATTATATTATGTCAACTCTTTATAACATTACGTTAAAGTTCCTTAAAGGGTGTGAATATATAATTATCATTTTATATTGATGTATAACATGTGAAATAACCAAGAAAAAGTTTGGAATTTTTTAATAAAATTACTCTCTCCTAAAAAAACTTTTTTATCTGAATTATCATACATTATACATTAACATCACCATAGTTTTGTTTTGTTCCATTTCCTGTATACTAGCTAGTACCTTTACAAATAGTCAGCCTTGTAAATCTGATGGGAAAGAAGGAGGAAGTGAATTAGTATGTTTTTATACATTTAATTTGGCTTTGCTAACAGATTCTGTTAAAGCAAGAGGCCAATGGGCCACAACTCTCACTGGAATCACTGTTTCCTGACAAATGAAATTTAATAAATATGGACTGTACATAAAGATAAGCTAAACCCCTTATTGTGATCACCATGCTCAACAATTTGAATTTTACAATATATAGAGGCTTTATGTCAGCATAACAATCTGTTGCCATTTTACTTGTGATTATGAACATACTTCTGTATAAAATTTTGTTCACCAATCTACTCAGTTGAGCTATAAATGATGAACAAGATATTTACTGATTGTATCAGTAAGACTCAATGTAAGCCACTATGGCCATTATGCAATTGTCTAAACTTGTTTTACATCTTGGTGACGTAGAGAATTTATATGACTATTAGAAATCACAAGAATGCAACATGTTTAAGCAGATGATTTTACCTAAATAAGTCTCTCAATCTATTTGAAATTCAATTTTAATTCCATCTGCAACACATCAGATTAGGGAGAAATTAAGATCAAGTTTTTGACTCGTTTTATATTTACCTGCAAAAATTCAATATCAGCTTTTTGGCATGATCGAACACAAAGAAGGGTTACTTTCATGTACAAGGTCAAGTTGAACCAGTCCTTTGACAGAATCAAAAAGCTTAATATCCAAAAAGATGTATATGTGTCATGTTATTTTCTTTGAAATAATCACATCAATCAATGAAAAACTTTAATACTGGACTAGTGAATTTTTTTGTTATCATCAATACATTTGCTCATATAGATTGCTGCTTGAGTAGTGACCTACATGAGTAGATCAGAGGATCTGGGCTGTGTTCAAGATCCTAGTGGCTATGTATATATATGTAGCCACTACTTTATCTTGAACAATATGCTAGCCTAGCCATAAAAAGCCTTAATTCATATGTGCATTCAATACGTCTAAGATATCTAGGCTAGGCAGCCATGTTTTATCTATCTGGACTGCATTCAAGTTCGGACCGTCTACGTAGCTCAGGTAGTTGCTATGATCTTAAATGCTAGCCACAACAGCGTTTTCATATAGTGCATTCAATACAACCAAGATATGTAATCTAGGAGCTAGGCTGCTATGATCTTGAACCAAAGGCACTTGTTTCTGTTTAACCCCCCCCCCCCCCCCCGAATAAATGTAACACAAGGTATGAAACTCCGAATTACATGGAATCTCCCCCTTCCCAGAATCGCAGTTATTTACACCTCAGAGAAAATGCACAGACAACACTGTTTATGGGGCTATCATTCAATTTATCTACGAAACCATATGTGGGGTGCTTGTTTTTGTTTTCTTTGATCTCCGTAATCAGCGTCAAAACTCTGCTCGCTGACTGGAAAATTCGTTTTACACCACGGAGATATAATTGGAGTAAAAAAAAATTATCCTGGCACAATAATACACTTTCATAAAGTGCCTATGTCCTGAAGTATCCCTTATCAGTCATTCACTGATTCAGTGATCATTGTTTAAGTTACGACTTTGATGATCCTTCAGTTCACGCCGCGAGAAAGTCCCTTTCAGAAAATATTTATGTAAAAACCATACTACCTACCCCAGTTTCAGCGCTGTTGAATATTATTTCAAGAAAACATAACACTGAATGAGTAAATCATCACTTTTTTTGTCCAGAACCTGCAACCGGAAGTTGAATGCTTTTTAACCAAAGAACTTGATCCCGATCATTATTCTCATCTACATCTACATAATACAGCGTTCCATCAAACCTGATGATTATACGCTGGCCCTGCGCAAACGGACCTCTAAATTTTAATTTAAAAAGTATAGATAAACTAAGTGCCATAGAAAGTATAAATAAACTAAGTGTTATGGAAAACAATTTACATTGTGCATGAAAAAGGTGCATGAAAAAGGCGATAGAGCAATACCATCTATCATTATCCCAGGACTGAGGTTTTTAATGAATTTTTGAACTATGGATTATTCATTGACCGAAAGTGCAATAACAATACCTAAAATTAAGATATTTCTTTTAATTCACGTTTATATATTTCCCGAGCTTTTTTTTTTCGTTTTTTAGCACCCCCCCCCCCCCCCCGTTGATTTTTTTGTCCTTGAAAACCCTTTCATTTGAACTCCAAAAAGGGCTTCAACAATCTCTACTGGTCAGAGACCAGAAGAATTTATGTGTCCTCGTCTGTCCGTCAAGCTGTTTGTCTGTACGTCCGTCTGTAAAGCAATTTCTCAAAACGATAATATTCCCACAATTTCGGTCTTATCTCAATAAGCATGATAAGATTGTACACAAGAAGATTTTACGAAGTTACATTGTTTTATTTCTCGATTTTTGGATATTTTGAAGAACAGTATTGCCATGATTAGAAATTTCTTTGATATTCCTTAGGTATCAGTTTCCCAGTTTGACGAAGGGTGTTGCCAGGATTACTAAAAATATAAAAAAAATCTGTTTTATTCTTTCAAAACTCTACTTCTCCTACAGTTTTGGTCTGATTTCAATAAGATACGTAAATCTCTACTAGTTTTTGGTTTCTAGAAACAAGTGCTGTCATGGTTAATAAAATAAATTTTCTGTGAAAATGTTACTTAGTTTTACTCCAATTTTATTAACACATACTACTCAATAAGACAGTTTTGGAGTGATTTCAATAGGACTTGGTGCATAAGTAAACTACACCAAGATACAGCTGGACAGATGGAATTTGGAAACCTATACAATCCCCACCTGAAAGCAGCTCTTGATATAATTAATCAATTAAATAATGAATTCAGCTAGCACGTATAATAAATTAAAAATACCTTTTTAATGTTTTAAACATTTATTTTTACCAAAAAAGGGCTCTCATCATATAAATTCACAGAATCTGACAAAAACGGAAATTGATAATAATAAAACAATACAAGCCAAGCATACATTCATATAAACAAGCACATCAACAATTTACCAACCACACTCCATTCATCACACTTTCAACATAATCTTTTCAATAATTACTATAAATTTTTTTTTATATTTTTTATCACAATAAAGGGTTTCATCCAACTATTTCATATAAAAAATAGTTTATATCTGATGTACATGAATTTATGACAGAATGCACAGTCAAACTTTTTACTATTCATGAACTTGTAGAAACATTAATATTCATGATCATGTAGAAACATTTACTATTCATGGTCGTGTAGGAACTGCTCCTCTGCATCTTGTAATACTGCATCAGAATTGAACAATTTGACCTGAAAAGTCGTATGTAAAAGGATGATATTATATACTAACAGTTTAGATCAATAAAAGTATACATAAATATATACAATGAATATACAAGGGTCATTAAAAAATATTTAAAATATAACTTTTTGTTTACGTTATACAACATTTGCATAACCAAATATAGAAATATTTTTACAATAAATCCTAATAATTTGAATAAAAAAAATCAGATATACATGTATCATGCATGGTAATGATGGTATATTTCAAAATTACTAGTATTCAGAATTTAAAGCTGCGCCGGAAAAACGGGGTCTAGAGCGTGTCAAAATTTAGTAATGTACTCTAAATATACTACTGGTGTACAGGTATAACGTCTATAGTGTTTATAGTCATATTTCTGTAAAATGGCGTTAAAACAGAGATATAATCATTAACACTCAAATTGAGCATTTTTACATCATATAGAAATTCAAATCAGGTAGTCCTCATTGATACGAGCAAAAAAAAATGACGTCGCAGGACAAAAACTTTAGTAACCTCATGGAAATGATGCTGAGCTCTTCATTGTTATGGGACTTGTGAAACCAGAGTTACCCAGTATAAAAAATTAAAATAACTGATGAACTAACTTATGATACTCGAAGTATTGTTAGCTAACTGTTAAGTGGTGTAGAAACTTTTTTCAGGAAAGGTTATCTTGGAGCTACAGGTTGTCTGTGAAATGTAGAGATGGAGCATGTTTGAGAGATTGGCATGATGCTATTTAGTATACAGTTACCGACCGAATGATATAGTTTTCATACAGTTAATGGTTTCAAAATTATAAAAAATGCTGCCGCAATAGAAATTTGGACTTTTTGACACCAACATCGTGCGTGACGTCTGTTTTTGACGTTACGTTGTTGAGTGCTCCGTGGTGACAAAACATGGTGATTTAAAATAGAGTTGCATGAGTTCCATCATCCCCACAATATCAGGGGTCTTGAGTCCACTAGTGGCCATGGGACCCCTGACAAACTTTATTCGCTTTTTAACGGTATGATTGCAGGGATGTCTTTTGAGGGAATTACAAATCCTGATTGTTCTTTACTCTGGGTCAATATCACGTTAAGCCTTTCAAAGACGTACACTTGCATTGAGGCATCGTCGCAAGCCACGGGTTTTGTATCAGTTCTGTGGAAATAGAATGGTCACAAACCCTTTCGCTTGCGACGATGACTGTTTATTTTCTGTTTACATTTTATGACAACTTATGAAAACCCCATTTGATTGGTGATTCCCAATGAGAGAAGCTGATCAAATGAAGTTTATCAGGTGTGACGGCTCCCACAATTAAGTGGACTCAGGACCTCTAAAGTTGTCAGGATGGAGTTCCGTTGATCAAATGAAATGAAACTGACACATTGAAAAAATAAATGTTTTTAATAGATATGATTATGCGTTGAATTAAATTTATTAAAAGTAATATGACAAAGCATAGATATCGGAAGCAAATTGAAAGTGTGTGTGTGGGGGGGGGGGGGGGGGGCTAAACCAACAAAAAAAACGTTTGTGGGGCTTAGCCCCAATTTTCAATGCCTAGATTACGTCTATCTTTGCAAAAATAAGTGGGGGCTTAGCCTCCCCCCCCCCCCCCGTGTTCCAAGGTCTATGCAAAGAGCGGTGTTTTCAATATATTTTTTTTAAAATGACCCTCTACATGTAATAATTAATAAAATATGCATTTTTAAATAAATGTAACATTTATTTCTGTCTGACTCTCTGAAAAGCAAAACATGATAAAAATTGTTGTATTATTGTGGAGAATGACCTTTGAACTCATGCAGTCTCATATCTGAATTCACTCGTTCAAATGTACTCTAAATATTCCAGGTATTCTTAGACTTTAAACAACAATGTCCATGGGTAACTACATTGTACATACTGTCTCATGATTTAGACACTGGTCATTTGTAATACATTAATTTTTTTGCAGACCAAAAATATATGTATTTAATAGCATGTTCCTCCAAAAAAAACATTGAAGCAAGGGTCCAAACCATTACATAATACATGATCATATCATATCTTATATTTCTATGACTTTAGATTAATAGTTTGCTTCATATTTTTTTTAAAGTTAATTTTAGGTTGACCCTCTGATAAGAGAGATAACTCTCATTGGGAAAGTTACTATATTTATTCCTTTATAAAACTGTCAAGCTAAAAATAATTTCTGTAAAATTTTGCCCCAAAAGGTATGCTGAAATTATGTGCATTTTAATTACAAATTGGATTTCTTTTGGAAAATCATCAGAGATGAAGCAAAATTTTATATGAGTGATCAGGGGGATGATGAATCTTAAAAATAATGCAATCTGACTTTTTCTTTTCTATGATCAATCTTTGTCATTTAGACCCATGTGGAAAAGTGAAAAAGCCACTCTCTCCTCAGGGCAATGGAACAAGACTATGAGGATAAGAAAATGCAAAGGATGACTGCTTGCAGAAACTAAGGTAGATAGCAATGGTGCTAATGCATGGGCTAGAGATTCAGTGACATTGCAAGAGTTTGAATTTAAATTTAGAATGGGGTTTACTTATGTTTTCACAAAAAATTCATATTTTTGAGAAAATATTGGAAGGTATGAATTTATTTAATTATTATAAAAATTATAATAAAATAGAAGATTAATATAACAAGTTAGTATAAAACTACAAAGTAAAAATGTGTCAAAATTTAAATTCAATCAAAATTAAGGGTCTGTAGGGTAACCTTTAACATTATATTTTTTTTTATTATTATTCTTAATTAATCTAAAAGTTGTACTTACATCAGGAATAGGGTATTTTGTTGGCTGTGGTGCTTCATCTCTATTAAAATCTTTCATTGCTCCACATTTTGCAATATCATTATTCCAGACACCTTCATATATCTGTCCAGTTGTGAGATAAAAAAATTTACCAGGGCCATTTTTCTTGTCATCTCGCCATGATCCTTCATATCGGTTTTCATTGGCTGAAATTTTAAAATTGTAGATGTTTCAGCCTTGTTTAGGAATGGTATCTCATTTGGTAAGTCTCTCAATTTTTTAAATTCATTTCTTAGTTCAATATTATACTATGTACTACTTAGTCTTTCAAAAGGAAAAAAAAAGAAACCATGATTTTTTTTAAAAACACTTTTTGGGGGGGGGGGGGGGGGGGTATTTTTCATTAAACAATGCTTATACAAAAAAATGAATGATACATGTGAAAATATCTGATGCCTTACTTAATCTAAGCATTCCTTGACCATTTCTCTGATCATCATACCACTCGCCCTCATATATTGTCCCATCTCCATAATACATTCTCCCCCAACCACTTCTTTTATCTGCATACCATTCACCCTCATAATATTCATCATCTGTATAAAACTGGGTTCCATATCCCTGAATAAACATAAAAAAGATACTATCTATGCACACTTGTGTCTGTTATGGTATTTGAAGTGCAAAAACAAAGCAGAAACATATTGAACACTTATATTTACACTCTTTTCTTTATTTATTTACTCCCTCAGTCAGTTTATATCATTTTAGATTACAATTGTGTTTTACTGATGCATGAAATATTTATTCCCCCATAAACAGGCATACTGTATATGTATACAGGTATATTTGTTTAAGCAGACTGAGCAGAGAACTTACATGTCTCATGTCATTTTTCCAGCCCCCAGAATATTCCTTCTTATAACCACCCTTTCCATCAGGCATACTGTATGTTCCAAATCCATTTCTTTTTCCTCGCTTCCAATCTCCATCATACAAAGCTCCATTCTCTTTCCACTTGTATGTACCCTTTCCTGCAATATTTAGAATGTTTAATATAATAAATATGAATTTACCTTCACCCTAAGCAATCGACAAACAAACCAATACTTACCGTCTTTCTTGTTATCGAGCCATTCGCCGGTATACTGATCCCCATTTACTGAGTACACGGTATGACGAACTCCCTTTTTCTGTGCCAAATAATCCCAGTCTTTCCACAGAGGTTCTTTATCTTTGGGTTGTTTTATATGAGGCATTTTAATTTTTACGTGAAATACCGAAATTATTATTTTTAAGAACCTGACAAAGGGTCCTTCTCTACACTTTTGCTACGGAGTTTCTATCATTTAGGCCCAAAATCGATGTTTACAAACAAGTACGGGAGATTTACCTCGGTTGCTATGGTACAGGAAGTAGTTTATTGACTTTCGAGCCCGATAAAATTCAAAACCTATAAATGATTTTTTTTAAAGGAAAAACTGTGTTATAATTACTGTTAAATCATTTAACGTGTTGTAATAATTATTAATTTGTTAAAATTTTTGAATTTCACCGAAGCTTTGTTCTCTTTTATTCCAACTTCAGCCGGAACATAGAACATAGGATATCAGTTTGCACGAATATTTGACTTGATTAACTTTGTCTCATTTTCTAACAAGTGTATATCAAAATATAGCAGAATAGGATCTGATGTATTCAATGTATTTATTTTTCTAGTGTAGACAGTATGTGGCATATATTGTATATATATATAACCAATAAATTAATAACCTGCTTAAATGGCACAGTTTATCATAAAATGCGAATGATTTTATGTACAAAATTTGAACATTACTTGGGTTTATTTATAATATGAAGGTATTTCTTCTTTGAGACTTGTAAATCTTTTAAAGAGAGCCAATTTGCTACGACCTTACTTGTCTCAAAAGGAATTGTATCAGTGTGTATTATTTTGATCGATTTTTCTCAAAATGCAATAATATACTTTTTTTTAAGTCAATATGATGATTTAGCCACCCTCGAGGTAAAATATTCACCTCGCCCGAATTATATTATTCAATGGTGTTTTAAAAACAAACCATGCCATCTGTCTTGAGTGTTTATATTCGTTGATTATTAAGTTGGAATTTCTTGATCTTTTTTTTTTGGTGTGATGTAGCAAAAACATTAATGTGATGTTTACCTAGAAATCGGGTGCACGTGAAATAACTTTTCATAAAACATTGTATCAATTTAATAGGTCTCGATCTACTTAGTCCAATTTAATAAATAAATAAATAAATAAATAAATAAATAAATAAATAAATAAATAAATAAATAAATGTTCACCTCGAAGGTCGGTGCAGGTGAACATAACTTTCATAACTAATTTATATCAATTTGGAAGTTAATTCTCGATTGCGCAATATGTAGGTTTTAAAAATGTTATGTTCACCTGGAACGTTTTGGGCAGGTGAACATAACTTAGTATGATATTTACTTAATATCTTGTACTTAATGGTATTTTTATATACCTTAGAGGGCCAATCTCAAACACTTAACAAAAACGGAAAATGATATCAGATATCGGAATATATGATAGGCTAGGAATTTATATGCTTTTGATCATAAGTAATTGTGACTAATAAAAATTCTCCGAAGGGGTTGGGGTGGGTGGGTTACACCATGCATTGGTCACGTGCCTCTGGTTTAAACCTGTGTCACTTAATATGAAAATTAGAGAATATTAAACCTTGCATTTGACATGTAGATTCATTTAAGACTTGTGAACAAGTTTTGAAGCCGACATCCATATTTAAATAAACTGATTTATTGTTTGTCATTATTTGCTAATGTCAAAATTCAATCAAACCAAAAACGTAAAGTATTCGGCATCTGATAAACACTTAATTATCCTGTGAAAATACCTGCACCGTATTTGTTGCATATTTTTAAGCTATTTGTTTTTCTCCCCAACATCTGAGATCATACGTCGAAAGCTTCAAATGAATACAATTCTTAGTGTCTGATGCGGTGACGCAAGGACTTTTCGTCAGCCGTGTATGAGGAAGCAGCACTTCTCATATTGACTTAATATGGCAGCTATAATACACAATACAATGTCACATTCCAAAAATTTCGAAATATTCTACATCCCCCCTTTCCCAAATTTGTAGAGATTTTTGCTATATAATAACTTAGACAGCACACGCATCGTAAATATATGATATCAAATAACAATTTATTTGCATAAACATTGACAAATACAACATGAAAATTTATATCATCATCTAGGAATGATCAATAATGTGAGCAGCAAACAGGAGGAATTATAAACAGTTATAAAAACGATGCTGACACGATCCATAAAACTTACGATGTCCTATACATAGAAACTATTAGGCCTGTTTCACATAAAAAAAAAATTGAAACCACACACCAAATCATGCAGCAAATTCAGCGCATTAGGTTTAATGCTGTGAATGAGCTAAGAAAATAATTCTCATATTCTTTAAAGGAAAAAAAATAACACGCATTTAAAATGCAGAGCAGTTGATTGAGAGCAGATTTTTGTGAAGCAGGTCCCTGGAGTATGTAGATGGACCCTTCATTGTTGGAAAGCCTCTCATGAAAACGAAATAAATAATATATATAGTTTATACTAATGGATGATTTTTGAACAGGCAAGATTTTACATCATTAATTCACATACAAGAGATCACCTCTCAAGGCAATCCAAATTAATCAAATATATTTCTTTTGCATATAAATAGCACCATTTTATATAAATCTTATATTAATATAATTAAATTTTGTTTTACTGATTGAAAACACTCAAAAGGAATAAAAAGTATCAGATGGAGCAAGAAGACTTAGGTCCATGAAGCTCACCCGAGTAACATAGGAATTTTTAAACTTATAAATCTCAAACACACATGTAAATGAGAAAGTGTGAAATTTCAACTTCATGAAAAACAATTATGAAGTTAATAGACAAATCATACAGAAGATGATAAAGACAACAACCACTTTAATCACAGGTTGTGATCGTTATACAACAGAAATATACACTACAGGTCTGCTACCATTTTGCCCATGGCCTCAAATGTGCACAATTATACAGTATGCCCAGAGGCACTCTGCCTCCCTCAAAAATGTCATCTGCCCTATCCTTTTAAAAAAAAATAGACCTATTGTATAAAATGTACAAAAAGTCAGATAGCGGGGTGTAACAACAAATCCTGGGGGTGGGGTGGGGGGAGTTGGAGTGGGGTGGGGGTGTTGTTGCTATTAACTGTATAACTAAAATGTTGCGTAGTGGTAATGTTATGTGCAAACTAAAATTTGCTCAAAATACACCCCCCCTTTTCAGCTTTTTCCAAAGTGATAGCACATTTTTTTTTTTAAAATGGACTCCTCGGTAAATCTTAGTTGAGGTGTGCACTCAATTCCTTCAAAGCTTCTCCCAATTCCTATATGGAATGCATCCATTATTCATCAACAAGTCAAAAAAAGTGTCACCTTTTTTTTTTCGTGTACATGTATCTCTTTTGCTATACAGCCACCTTATATGTGACATGATAGCTCAGAAAAACATTTCATTATAACCAAAAGAAAATTTGTGACATGTTTTGATACTGTGCATGAAGCCATTTGAAACAAGTTAAATCTGAAAAGTAATGCTGATCAAAGAAACTTACATAGACAAATGACAAACTTTAATCAGGAAAGCCCACTTGAGATTAGGCTCAGTTGAGTAAGAAATTAAGAACCGTACCGTGTGTATTGTCAGGAAATGTCAACAAAGCTACTTAAAAATCTTCAAACCTTCTAACAGACTTATTAAAAAAACAAAACTCATTCTTCGTTAAATAAAAACTTTCCTTTCTACAAACAGGTATCTCATTAACTTAAAGGTGTAATATTTTCTTAAGAACGTGCAAGAGATTCTTTACAAAATTTCAGCACTAAATGCACATATTGGTTCAAGTGTCTGTTGAAATGAGATGTTTGTTTTACAAGGTGATTTGTTTTTAAATAAATTACATGTATATTAAAATAATTGCTCAATAATCTAACAAATAATTGGAAAATTCCCAAAATGTGGATGTAAAAAGCACCAAATTTAATCCTCAAGCATAGCTTTCAAAGTTTACACATCCATAATGCTGTGATTCATATCAATCTCCTCTGCCATTCTGCCCAGAGCAGCTAAATCCCTCTCGTGATTGTCAAATTTATGTGCAATCAGTTTCTTATAAAAATGAAAAGCAAAAACCAAGAATACTATTCCAACAGGTATAACGATGCCTGTGGAGGCCCAGGCAGCTGCCACATTGTGTCCCACTTTTACTGTGTTAAACTTCACCCAACATATCAACACTATTTCCGCTAAGAATAACATGATGCCAAGTCCCGTAGAAAAAGCCCATGCCATCTGAATGAAGAGCTGCATTTTTTCATGAGGAGACTCTTTGACGGAGTTGACGTTATGAACATTACTAACAGCTTCAATGTGGGGTAAAATGCAAGTGCTCACCATCAATGCTAGCAAATGAACAGACACCAGTAAAGTGGTGCACACACTGAATGCTATAACAAGTCCTGAAGGTACATCACTTTCAATTCCAATCTCCACAAGGGCTACCTGAAGTGAAAATACTAATTGAACAGTACATATCTAAGGGAAAAAATCAGTTCTCCATCTATAACATCTAATTGTCATTTTTAAAAAAATGATTATCCTAATAGTAAGTTTATTTTCATACATGTGAAATCTGTAGGTTTTGCAAAAAATAGCTTGCATTTACCATTATATTTACCGAGTTGTTGGCTGGTGAAGTTTTTTTTCCAATTTTTCTGACACTATCACATGTGTACAGCCTTGTTTGTATAGTAGCCTACCTAGTCCTAGTTTTACATTACAATAATCACATCCTCACAAAGTCAGGGGTCCAGAGTCAACACGTTCCCGTTTGATCCCGGGTTGACTCTGGACCCCTGACGTTGTGAGGATGTAATAAACATAGAAATTAAGGATTAAAGTTAAACACTAGGCCGTAATATACCACTTTATGTGAATGCTTACCATTGCAAATCCCGATAACAAAGCCGATGTATTGCTGGAAGCTTTTAACTTTGCCCTGCTCAGATAGAGTTTTCTCCAATGTGGCGCATTAGGATGTGAATTCATACTTCGACGAAAACTTAGCAGCTTTGGAGATAATCTTGAGTTATCCTCGTACACAGAGAAAACGTTGTTAGATATATACGCAAGCATACAAATTAAGGCAGGTAGGCCTACTTCTAAATTTTAAGTGTTTACAAAGCTGTCAACCATTTCCCATATTGTTTTACTGTCAAGTTTTGCAATATTTAGGATTGAATAGATTTTTAAAAAACGAAAAGGCTTTAATAATGTTTTAATAAATATGCTTTAAAAAGCATTCTTTAATTTAAAAATTAAATTTGGATTCATAAATGTTATTTCAGTATTTTGACATTCTTCATGCTACATTAGACATTTTTGAAGGAATAGATTACAGCACTTCTGACATGACCCCTCTCTCAGTTGTTATCACGTGGTCTGTATATTTATATACGTTCGAAGTGTGACGTCAGAGACTTTGTATGCACGCTAAACTGTGAAATATAGAATTATTTTCACTGATATTAGGAATATGCCCCCAAAATAACTTTTTTCGGCTTATCAAAATGACTGATTCGCCAGAGGCAGGACGCAAATTGGTAGGTTAAGGACTCAATAATGTTCAAAAAGTTACGTGCTAACGATAAACTGTGATATGAAGTAAACCTCTGCAAGCAGCCATTTTGTATCATACTGACCACCAACAAAAGAAATGTAGATTTTTAATAAATTGTAGCAATGTAATCAATATCAAAGTCAACATAATATTTGTTTGGGAATAACTTTTTTGTAAATTTTGTTTAGGTGATGGGCTATTTAATTGTGAATTATTGTGCAAAGATGTTATGTGAAATTGTGTAAGTAAAATTGGGGAAGAGCTTGCAAATTTATCGTATTAAAACATTTTGAATACTTTTAACTGTGTGCTGAAATTTTATGTAGGAGAAGAAATATGAAAACAAGCTACTCATGGTATATTAAACAGAAATAAGTTTGTTTTTCGTTTGAAAACACCCTTTTCTTGACCCCGCAAGTCAACTACACGTGCCCAAGTTTATTTTCTTTTCCTATTTTACAAGTGAATTTATAATAAAAGAATTCTAAAGTGTCTTTTTTCAGTTGCAAATCTAGGAACATATTACAACTTGTGTTTTCCTATGGTATATTCATTCATCAAAGAAGGTAAATTGTTTTCCTTACATGAAAGGTTCTTCCCGTTGACTAAAATTAAACGAATATAATGTGTTCCATATTTTTTTTTCAAAGTTTGCTACATATTCACATATATATACGCAGAGTTGACTAAAAGTAATTGAAAGGTTTAATAAAAAGAAAAAGAAGTTTTCAAATGAAGCTAAACGAGAAAGGGGTTCAAAAAGATACATGTTTGTAATGCATTTTTTTCATTTGTTTCTGGAACAGCAAATTTTATTGAACAGTAATACTGGATAAATGTAGGGATAATTTATACGTTTTTATAGTTTTCATTCTTCATTTATCAGTCAATGTTTCTTTTCCAAATGGGAAAGGGGAATAGATGGAATAAAAACGAACACATTAACTATTTTTCGTTATATCCTTACATGTACGTGCACATGCATTACTTCCGCGAAAACCGAGTCGGACTAATTTTTGTCCTTTTAGCAATTGTATAAACATAAAAAGATCATTATTTGAAAAATATTGAAGAAATAGAAAGAAATAGGGACCGTGGTATGCAACTGCGGTGTACTAAGCACTTGTAGGAAAAGCACAATTAACTGTCCCTCTCCCTCTTTATATACTTTGACCGGGTGCAACACTCGAATGTCGATTATGTCGGCAAGGGATAACTTTAGAACACATTCTCGATCCTAAAGTGTTTTATTTAGTGTGTGGAATTTTCATTTATGATTCTAACATTTTATGAAGACGGACTGGTAACATGATCATATGCAAGAAATAAATAATCGAAACTTACCTGCAAAGGTTATATTACTCACAACGCAAAAAATGGCTTGCTGCATGCTTTCTCGATAATATCGAAAATCATCAATATCTGTTAATCATTTTCATGTAAGAGAATTGTTTTTCCCAAATCTGCAATACTATAATTATTTCTTTTTTATTTATCTTCCTACAATTTGAAAATAATCTCCTTATTCCAAATTCAAAGTTTCTTGAAGTTACTTATTATAAAATACGCGCTTCAGAATACAGTGAAAAGTTCGTATAGAATATTAACATGAGTTGTATAACTAACACCACAAGCTAATTCAAAATTAAGGAGAGAAAAAAATAAGTTGGTTCCGATGAAAAGGGTCTCGTCTCCTTCAGAATTACAAGAAAGTAACTTCGCAGTTTTCAGAAATTGGACTAATGCCATTCAGTATGTGAAAAATAAGATTTTTAGAACAGAAATACAGATTTTTATTAGAACGGTAAGCATTCAAAATCTTCGATTAAGATTTCGTTTATTACAAAGATTTCAAAATTTAATATTCGTCTTTTGGCGATGTCGTAGATTACACCTTTAAAGTATATATACTACTGGAGCTTGCGAAAACTGGAGGTAAAAGTTATAGAAGCTGACAGGACTGTCTAAGGTAGGAATACGGCAAGTCAGCTCAACACCAAACATGCACAAAAGCAAGGCAAGTGATCGCTTTTAACAGCAGAACTTTAAAAAAAAAAATCGGAAGATTTATTTAATTGTGCTTATTTCTATGATCAAGGTAACTGAGAAATCTTAAGAAATGGGAATTGATTTGAAGTCAAGTAATATTATAGTAGATATTTTTTTTTATACTGTAATGAGAAGAAATTTCATGCGAATTGGTAATTTTTATTTGGGGGCAATGGAGGGGGTAATGCGGATTTCGGTGATCTACACAAAGGATTAAAATTTAATTTTCTTTTTAGTTAAATTGATGAGTATAGCGTAGCTTTTTTTTTTTTTGCCAACTCATGAACAAACTACATAGCAGGCCCAAGCGAAGATACAGTAAAATCACAAGGATGGATGTAGAATTGGATGTTCATTACCTCAAAACATTAACTAAAAAACGGGGATTTTTGAGATTTATTATTTTCACTTCCCTACTTTGTAGTTGATGGGAAATATGCTAAATGCGGAAAGGCATTCATTTTCAAAGAAATAACAAACAAAAAGTAACATATCTATATATTTAAAAATTTTGTTAGTCTTTGTTTTAGGATATATAATTTAGCATACATTTCAAGGTCTCGCCATTATCATCATCTCTGTTTGTATATATGAATTAGAGAAAGCGCGTCGATTTTTCCTTGAATGGATTTAAAGGTTATTCATGGCACGTAATGTTTGGTCCATGTGAGCGTCATTGTTATTGAGTACCTTATTTTAGTTAGATGCACACGTGCATTGCGCGATAACGTCTTTAAAATAATTTTGAAGTAGTATAAATTGTCTTGCGTTTTGCAATCATTGATAACTTTAGGAAGGCAAGAAAAAAAGTTTAATATTTGCATTTGGTACGATATTTCTCGTTGCATGTTAATCATATCACGAGGCAAGGGGTCGCATTATCGGCGGACCCTTGGCTCGAATAGTTTTTTGAAGACGGATGATTTGAAATCACATGCACGTTCATATATATATATATATATATATATATATATATATATATATATATATATATATATATATATATATATATATATATATATATATACTAATGAAGTCACATGCACAAACATTATTTTTCAACTAATGAACTATATTGTCTATATACATTTGTCATACAATATTTTTTTAACGATAGTATCATTAAGTTGCAAAATCTCAAAAATAAGAATATGAAGTAGATTTGGTTTTTTTTTTTATTTTATATACATAATAACAAATAGATAAGGCCATCTTTAAAAATTGTTTGGTTGCCCTCTCCCGACCGACTGGCTAAAAATGACCCGACTCGAAACTTTTTTTTAACCCCAGGAAACAATTATTTTATTTTGTGCATTTCAGAAAATAAATTTTGAAAATTCAACATTGATGTTAACATTTTTCTAGGAAAAAAAATTCCCACCTACCTACCGACCCAAATTTTTCATCCTGAGTAGGGAGAAGGCAAACCAACATTATTTTAAAGTTTGCCTAACTATCATAAATTTATTTCTCACGTCTTAAGCACATATAAAACACACTGTTCTTGTTAATTATGGAGTGCAAGAAACTCAACGACTTAAATACATTTTAACGAATGTTACACCATTGATTATGTCTATATGTCATGGGTTATTAATGTAAATTGATTAAGAGGCTGCTAAACATTGGATGTTATAATGTACCAAAGGAGGAACATTTATCTGTTTTTAATCAAGCAGGAGAGAAAGAATCGTTCCTTTGCGTGCTTTTTCTTTTCTTTTCTTTTTTGTTATTTTAGAAATAGAATCATCACAGAAATTTTGCCTAGTAAATAACGGAGAAACAGCTTTAATAGTTTCACGATTTATGTTTTTTTTCATTTTCTTTTGGAAAATGTTTATTTATATATATAAATATAATATATATATATATATATATATATATATATATATATATATATATATATATATATATATATATATATATATATATATATATATATGATAATAATAATAATAATTAGATTTAATAAGATTAGATTTATCAATATATAAACCTTGTTTGATTTTGAAATGAATATTTGTGAGTTTTGTTCTCTTAGTATTTGGTTCGCTGCTATGCTTTTACTAAATACATATATTTACTAAGTAATGAATTAAAGGAATTCAAATAATGAGTACACGACAATGATAATTGTTGTGTATACTCCTATGAATTTCTTATAATTCATTAATTACATGTAAGTTAACGATAATATTGCATGTTTGGTCAACCTGCCGAGTCTAATAAAACCATGAAGACCATTTAAGTAAAAAAAAATTTTTTTTTTATTTGGTTGACATAGAAACAGCGACAGATATAGGTCGGTTAGTCACGCGTGAAGTGCACCGTAAATATGCATACACGTGGCGTTAGGGATATAATGAGGTGCTCCGGATACATTGTTGAAGCATAGGAGGGTGCACGCTTTATTTATTTATTTATATTTTTTCCTCATTGTTATGGATATAAGTGCAATGTTAAACTTGTAAATCTTAACGGGTGTTCAACGATGAGTGAGTCAATCGATGAAAGTGAGGAAATAGGGGATGGTAGGAATCTAATTCCTTTACGCGAAGAAGATGAAAATGCACAGTTATTTTTAAGCAGATATTCTGACACTGGAAAACTAGTCATCAACATTAAAGTAATTATGTCGATATTGCATCACAATGTACATAACGTATACAAAAGTATAAGATGAATGTATTATAAATGCAGTTTGGTTAAATTGACTGCATAGCGCACTGATTGACACCGATAATAAGACAAGCACAAGTGTATGTAATGCAATATTGTAAACATTAAAGAGAACGAGGGAGAAAAAACATTATATAGTTGTTGATTTGGATGAAATTAAATGTTGTAAATATCACAGAGGGTGAAAGAGAGAAAGCATTACACAGACGTTGATATGAATGGAATGCAAATGAAATAATTGCAGAGGGTGAAAAAGAGAAAGCATCACACAGACGTTGATTTGGATGTAATAAAAAGTTTAAATTACAGAGTGACTGAAAGAGGAAGCATTACACAGACGTTGATTTGAATGTAATATAAATGTATTTATTACAGAGGGCGAAGGAGAGAAAGCATTACACAGACGTTGATTTGAATGTTATGTAAATGTATTTATTACAGAGGGTGAAGGAGAGAAAGCATTACACAGACGTTGATTTGAATGTAATGTAAATGTATTTTATAGAGGGTGAAGGAGAGAAAGCATTACACAGATGTTGACTTGGATGACGATGACATTGATGGAAAGAGAAGTTATTCACTGGACGAAAAACTCAAATCAAACAAGTACAGTAAAAAGTATGTCAAGGAGTTAAAGGGCGAGGGTAAGTAGTTCAGAAGGATTGGCATGGGTGGGGTTTGGGGGGTCAAGGAGTTTTAATTTAACATTGTGTTTCAAATCTTGTGCATATTTTTATCAATGCTGTGTAGATAGACATATGTTGAATTATTTTCATAAAATTATCTGAAAGTTTCAACGTCTAATATTAGTACACCATTTAATTTCTTTTTTAATGATATATTATATAATTAATATCTCCGAATTATGGCTATTCTTCTCTCAATAATAACAATAGATAATTTGCCAGACATTTAGAACATAAGGTTAGCACTGGAAATTTTATAAATGATGTTTTTTTTTCTAGAGTTTGGTCTGAAGTACATCCAAGAACATGGCCTTGAATTTCCTCTTGTGTTTTTTGACAAAACAGGTCTGGGTCTCCGGTAGGTTTCTGAGTATTTACTCTGTACTGTACAGTGTGATCAACATTGAAAGTAAAAAATACATACATAAAGCTATGATTGTCAGACTTGAGATATCCATTCTTTCTTTTTGTAGAGTTCCAAGTGAAAACTTTAAGGTTTCTGATGTCAAACAATGTGTTGGTAAGATAAGCAACATGACCTTAAAGTCCAAAGATAGATAATTGGAAAAAAAATTTTGGGTCATTGAAAAAATGTCAATTTGATTTTTAGATAAATAAGTTAAGAATTAAAATTTTTTCATTGAAATCTCTTAAATTTTTCTGTAAGAACATAATTTGTACAAACTTTTCATGATATATTCTCGGTAGGGAGCAGACGAATGTTAGATGTGATGGATGTCAACACTCAAAAAGGGATGGAGATGTCCATGCGTGAATGGGTCCAGTATTACGAGAATCCGGAGCGACAGAGACTGCTCAATGTCATCAGCCTGGAGTTCAGTCACACCAAACTAGAGAACTATGTGGAATCGCCCAGTTTTGTAGGGAAATATTACATGCAACAAATAGTTTTGAATCATTTTAGAAAACATCAGAAAATACATTTTTAGGGTACCTCAACAAAGTTGGGGGAGCTTATGTAATACCCTCCGCGTCGGCGTCCCAGGTTAAAGTTTTTGAGCAGATTTCTTTTCAAGTACTTCTATGCCCTAAATTAATAAGAGATGCATGGAGGATGCTTCAGCTAAAGAATGACAAGGTTAATGTTTTTGGAACAGGTTAAAGTTTTTGGAGCAGATCTCATTTCCAAGAAACTATAAGCCCTATATTGACCAAACTTGCATGGATGATACATCTAAGAATGCACACAACTGGACTTGCTTTGGATGCTGGATTTGACCTACATTTTCTGGATGAGTGACCAGGTTAATGTTTTTGGAGCAGATCTCATTTTCAAGTAACTATAAGCCCCATGTTGACCAAACTTGCATGGACGATACATCTAAGGATGTACACTACTGGACTTGCTTTGGATGCTGGATTTGACCTACATTTTCTGGATGAGTGACCAGGTTAATGTTTTTGGAGCAGATCTCATTTCCAAGTAACTATAAGCCCTATGCTGACCAAACTTGCATGGATGATACATCTAAGGATGCACACTACTGGACTTGCTTTGGATGCTGGATTTGACCTACATTTTCTGGATGAGTGACCAGGTTAAAGTTTTTGGAGCAGGTCCATTCCCAAGTAACTTTAAGTCCTACTTAGACCAAACTTGCAAGGATATTGATCTTGGGATGCAGGCTAACTAGAAAAGAATTTGATTTGAGATTTGCCTTACTTAAACAAAAAATGGACACAGTAGAAAACTCACCAAATCATGTATCAATTTTTTTTAACCTTGACCTTCCTTTACTATATATTGTTCACAAAAACTCAGTTTTAAAGAAACTTTTCAAGATAATTTCATCAAACTTCATACACTAGAACAAATTTTCATATTGTATTACTAATGAACCCTGGGTGAGGCAATTGTGTCCTATAGACATATTTCTAGTTCTTCTAAGAAATTGAGTTATAGAATAGTGCATATAGGTACTTACTAAGAGTTTATTTCTCTGAAATAGATATTAAACTCTTTGTACATGTAATTGATAATCGAGTTACATCTGCGTGTACTTTTTAATACATAATAAATATAGATTTTTGGGGGAAAAAATGTCCCTTTGGTTGAAGATGGTTTGGTCAGTTTGAACATATTTCATTCTGTTGCTGTTAGGTGAGACAGATGGACTGGGTGGACTCTGTGTGGCCGAGACATCTGAAAGAATGTCAGACGGAGTCAACTAATATCATCGAGAAAATGAAATACCCCAAAGTGCAAAAGTAAGATCTCTGTTTTGAGAACTTAAGAATATTATTTTGATGCCAATGGGACTTTGAAATTCTATATTATCTCTTTAATGAAGAAATGAGGTTATTCTATCCAGAATTCTTGTTCTTCATGTATAATTATTGAGCAATAACTCTTTATTTTTCAATATGGCTTATGATATTTCTTATATGGCTGCAACATCAGAAGACAATGTATCACTGCCCTCATTTAGTCTCAAAGACAAATTATTTTTTCAGGCAAGAAAGCTTGTTCCCTTCAATATTTTTCCATCTTTAGGGCCCATCTTTATAATCAAAGCTTATGATATTTGGCAAATAGGTTGTACAACATTTGACCTTGACTTTATCTTGGCTGGAAAGTCTGTTCAGGCCAGAATACTTGGATTTAGTTATGTAGAATGTGGATACACCTCTGTATGACCTTGAACAAATTTAGACAATTTGAGAAGGAGGCATACTTTTAGTGAACCAAAATCACATATTTTAGCTATTTATAACAAATTTAGACAATTTGAAAAAGAGGCTTACTTTTAGTGAACCAAAATCACCTTTTCTAGCTACATATAACAAAATTGGACAATTTAATAAGGAGGCGTACATTTAGTGTACCAAAATCACATTTTCTAGCTATTTATAATATCTTCACAATGTTTCCAGCTACCATAAGAATGCTATGAGTAATATGTGCTTGAATTTTACAGATACTGTTTGATGAGTGTACAGGGCTGTTACACTGACTTCCACATTGATTTTGGTGGCACTTCAGTCTGGTATCACATTCTGCATGGAGAGAAAGTATTCTGGTTAATACCACCCACACAGAGAAATGTGGAGATATACACAAACTGGGTCCTGTCGGGGAAACAAGGAGACATTTTCTTAGCAGATCATGTCGAAGGCTGCCAGAGAATTGAGCTTCTGCAGGGATATACTTTTATAATACCATCAGGTAATCATAATCAAATACGACTAAAAGACAGTACAAGATCAAAACTATTGTATTTGACATTGTAAACTATAGATGAAACTGGAGGTCCACCCTCTATGAGTTGAATTTTTTTTGTTATGAAAGGTTTTTTTTTTGTAGATCTATACACCAGTGAATATGTTGTAGAATTTCTACATGTATAAGAACAACTTTAAAAGTTCTCCCCAATTCAATTCAATTATTTATAAAAACCTAAAGAGCACTTAAAAACATGTGTATATATATCTTTGTACATGAACTGTAAACCAACTGTTATTCATGTCATCTTTTATTCGTGATTCGTCAGTTTGAAATGAATCCGTGACAATTAATTTTCGTGACTGAGGAAACATTCTAAATAAATAATAAGCAAAATAAATGATTCACGGCGATTAATATTCGCGAGTAAATGTAGGTCACAAAACTCACGGATATTTCTCACACGCGAATAAAAGTTGATTTACAGTATATTACAAAACTGCATTGTATTTCTTTTATAGGGTGGATACATGCAGTTTTCACCCCTAAAGACTCCCTGGTGTTTGGAGGCAATTTTCTACATAGTTATAATATAGAAAATCAATTGCGAGTCTCAGAAGTGGAGGACAGAACTAGAGTGAGTATGATTAATTGTGAAAAGAAAAATTAATACAGTGATCATCTAAAGAATTTGTAATTCTAGTTTATTTCAATATGATTTCAAAAAAGGAGGAATTCACTATGCTTTGCGATACTCTTGCCAGACTGAATAAAATACCAGCTCTATTAGATACTCGTAAAATTAATCAATCTTGCACCTTGGTAATTTTACTTTCCTGAATTGATTGAAATTCAATAATTTTGAAAGAACTTTAAAGAGATATTCTGTGATAAGCTTACACTATGTTGATTAATTTTAGGTCCCACAAAAGTTTCGCTACCCTTTCTATACAGAGATAGCATGGTACGTTTTGGCAAGATACGTTACCTGCATCACTGGGAAACAGTGTCTAGAGATGCCTCCAGAGGACAAAGAAAATGAGGACAAAAGAGAGTTGTCTCCCTTCTTACATGATGAATGTTCACAGGATGGTGACAACAGTGTTCAAAGCCAGAGGCCAGCTACCCCAAAGCTGTCCAAGAGTGTCACTATTGAACTCACCAGAATAGATCAGTCCTCCCCAAAACACAGATCAGTCAGTGATGAGGAAAATGTCACCCCTCAGTGTGTGAGGTCTCCTCGCAAGTCCTCTTCTGACAGCTGTAGTTCAGCTGACACGGAAATATACGACAAGTCTGAGGACATTTTGGGATCTTGTGCCAACAGTGAGTTTCAGGAAAAACAAATGGGAGCAAAACAAACAGTTCAAAGGAAAATCAAGTCAAGTGATTCTGGATATAAGATGGTTCATAGTCCTTCTCTGAAGGTCAGCAAGAGGGAAAATAAAACTTATTATTTGACAAAGTGGGAATTAAATGGACTCTCGCAGTTAATTCAGTGGATAGAAGAATTGCCTTCTGCCAAGAAAGGTTATCCTAAGGATGTGCTTGATCCAGAGATGTTGTTAAATGATGCAAAGGTAATTAGTGGCAGATCTGAGGGGACAACTTCATTAATTAAGTAGAAAATCAAGGGGGGCTGGAATGACTAGCTCTAGTAAATCTGATTCTCTTCTAGACACAAATATCTTAGTTACAGTTAATGTTTGAATTTTAAGATGTCAGCCAGACATATGCAGCTTTTTTGGGTGTATATTTTAACCTTCAGGAGCATTTTGTAAAAATTAAATGTCAAACTGTTTCCTTACAAAAAGGACTTGGTGAAGAAGACAATTTTCGAGTGTCTTTTGATTTTTCTTTTATTTCAGCAATTACTGGACGATCATGCCAATGATGATCAGCATTTAGCATGTAATGGAGAGCCTATTCTAGTTTGGCCAGTCTCAAAAAAGGTATGTCAAGACTCGTAATCAGCATGGCATTGGCATTGAATCTTAGGTCATTTCAATTGAAAATAAATTGTTATAATTTACAGCCTCCCAAACCAAAAGTATATAAAACAGGGAAGGTTATAAAATCACAGCAGTCCAAGGGTAGTACATGTATCAGACGACGAAGGACGCGCTGCAAGAAATGTGAGCCATGCACAAGAACAGACTGTGGAGAGTGTAATTTTTGCAAAGATATGAGAAAATACGGGGGCCCAGGGCGCATGAAACAGTCTTGCAAGAGCAGGCAGTGTTTGGCAGTAAGTATATCAAAACACTAATTGAAATCAGGGTTTTCCCTAAGAATTGAAATAGCAGGGGACATAAAAAAAGTTAAGAAGGGGATTTGGGGTTCCTCCCCAAACAGGGGGTTGAGGGAGAATGCCAGAATAACCAGGGGATTGATTCATTATAGACAGGGAAATTCCCCGGCCTCCCTGTGAAATGGTTGGAAACAAATTACATTATCCCGAGTAAGTAGTATGTTATGTACATTTAAACAAACATGGATGTACATGCACTTCTGTTATTTGCTTTTATATTAAGATAGGAACTCAGAGGAAGACATTTATTTGACATCTTAAATATCTACCTACCAACAATCCAGATGTTGGCTCTCTACATACAATGTATTTTTCTCTTTTTTTTTCAGCCTGTAATACCCAATGCTGCAGTCTGTATGATATGCGGAAAGGATGACCGTGTGAAATCAGCAGAAAACCCTGAGGAGATGGTTACCACTCTTATGGAATGCTGTATTTGCTGGGAAATCAATCATCCAGAATGCCTCCGTAAGAAGCATGAGAATTTGGAGAGTGAGGGAATTATTAACGAGGACTCACCAAACAGCTGGGAATGTCCAAAGTGTTGTCAAGATGGCAAACAAGGACTGTTCAAGGTGAGAAGTTTACTATGATTCATAAATCAGTAATAATATCTGTTAATTAAATTCCCAGTGTATTTACAATTTGGACAATATTTGTGTGAGATGAGGCCATTTGTATTGCAATATAAGGACAGTGTCCTTATCAATTGATCAACCCAGTTTCATTGATTCACTTTCAGATGGTCTATAATAACTTCAAAATGAAAAGAAAGATAACGAAGATTTATGATTTATTATAGTAAATAATAGAAAATAAAATAACAAAAATTAATGCTTAAGTACGGGAAAATAGGAAATTAATTTCGAAATAAGATACCTGTTAAATGGCCGAAAGAGGGAGAGGGGAAAGAAACACAGCTTTACATAAGATTTAGAACAAATGAATTTAAATAACAAAGGAAAGGAGACTCCAGAAAGTTTCAATATAGATAGAAAACAAAATGGATCAGACTTCAGATTACTACATTATAAATGATATTCTGCTTTATATATTTTGTGTATAGAATAAGTTTACACGGATTAAGAGGGAGGATAATCTGTACAGTCCCAGGGCAGGGAGCCCAGCATCTTCATACGATTCCACCGCAGAGGTCAAATCTGAGTCAGAGGCAGAAGGCAAGAGGGTGGTCATGAAACAGCAAAAAGAATATACAGTATGTTGTTTATGTTTACAAGGTTACAACAAGCTTAATACCTTTAAAGAATGTGTACATTATAATGAATTTGTGTACTAGTATACAGAGTTACTTTCAGCCTGTGTTATTTTGCCCTATCAAACTGGCAAACGATTTCACCCCATTTTAAATTCATCCACTGACATGGACAAAGTGAGTTAAAAAAGGGCAAAATTTCCTTGTAAACATTTCATAAATATTTATTTCTACAGCTAAATCTTACAAAACTATTTGATATTTATATTGTCCATTTTGAGTACTGTGGAATCATTACTGTTTGTGGGGGACCGATGGTCATGGGTCACCCTTGCCCATGAATTTACATCCCCTTGAATATAGACTTTTCCAACTCTACCAGTTCTAATCTTGTATATTTACAAAATACCCACAAAATAATGTCCCCACTAATTTGATTACATACAACTATTGACCTCCATGAATTAAAATGATTCCACAGTGAAAGAAAGATGTACATAATTATCAAAATTGACTTGTAACATTCAGAAGAGGAAGTCGTAGAGACTTGATAAAAATGACCTTTTGGAATATTATTGATCTGTTGTTGATGTTGCTTTCTTCTTATCTCCCACTGAGTAGCGTACATTATATTTCAGCAGCACGTGGACACAGAGGAAGACTCCTTGACAGAAACAGAGAACAGTGTAGATGTCCCTCTGGAATCTCCTCCAAGTCAGGTGACAGAAGTAGTTCCCAAAACATCACCCGGACTGACGGTAAAAAAGGAGAAAAAGTCCCCCTTACAACAGTCTCTGAAAACCAAACTATCACCCAAAAAGTTTGGGATCAAGAGAAAACCAGGCAGACCAGCAGGCTCAAGTAATCTACCAAGAAAGGTTTGTGAAGACCAGAGTTAACCCCCCCCCCCCCCCCATCCCCTTCCCTAATCACAACTAAAAGTGTAGGGTATACAGTAAAACACACTTATAACAAAATGCCAGGGACAGACAATTTTGTTTTGTTATAAGCGTAATTCATTATATTCATGAAGTTTACAATATATCTTAGAGTCATTGGGAATGAAAATCACTTCACTGTAAGTGTGAATTCATTTTAAGCATGTTTGCTATAAGCCTGCTTAACTGTACTTGTAAGAACATGGATTATCAAAGTATGTAGGTTAATAAGCAACATCGTGTTTACCCTCAAGTTAAAATTTGAGGGGGAGAGCATATGATCAGATGAGCAATTGCTTCTTTTATGTTAAAAGTGGCTTATTCCTTAAGTAAGCAAGTGTCAGTTCAACTTCCTTTAAAATAACATTTAAACTAAATTCTTTTAGAATTTTTAAATTAAGTTTTAATTTAGCCAAAGAGTACTTCTCATTATAGAAACCATCATGGCCCGGTTCACCAGAGAAAAGTTCAAAAAAGATTAAAGAGACAGTAATTACCAGGTCAGGTCGTAAAGTGAAGAGATCCCCACAGCTGTCTGACGAAAACATGGAGTCAGAGTTTCCAAAGAAAAGACCAAGACGTGAGGTAGTTATACCGCGGAGATATCTTGATTAGTTCAGCGTTGGTGATCTGGGCAAATGTGAATACTGCAAGAACTTTGACTGTATCAAGAAAATCTAAGATTCAAAAAAAAATTCTTGGTGATGAAATTATCACTGATTTTAGGTTCAAACATTTTATAGACAATTCATAATAATGAAATTTATCAGATGAAATCAAATTTGAAGATCTAAATTCAATGTCATTTTGTTACTTTTTCTTTCTGAATCAATTTGGTGAAATAGTTAATGGTGAATAGTGTTAGCAAAATGCTGTTGTTGGGTTTTTTCCTTCAGTATTCAAATGTGCATGTGTTCTTTTTTGTTGATTGTACTTAATTCTTTAGATTGTCAGGATTATATCTGGATGTACACAAATTTTACAAATTCAATATACAGTTTTAAAAAATCCATTCAACTAGTGTTTATAAATATTAAGTTGCATGTTACTCTTTTGTATATTTTGTATATTTCGCACAAGTTTTTTGGAAATTTCCTGTGTATCAAAGTATTTCTTGCCAACAGTTCAGTCCAGATTTTAGTGGAAATAATGGTTTTTCTCTTATCATTGACATGAACTGTACTCAGCTTACATCTTGCAAATGGTGAACCATTTCCTGTTTACATAAATATATATATATACTATATATCATCAAACCATTGCTCAATTTAAATGTGTAAGATACTTGTAGTTTGCTCTTTTTAACCCATATTCTGTAAATTTGTTCACTCAATGTTTTTTTTATGACTCTCATTTAGAAAGCTCATTTGTTTATAATTTTGTAAATATGCCAACATTGCAATGAAAGTCATTCTTTTTCTCTAAATATTACATCAGATAACGCTAACAGATAAATAATTGATCGTGATTTTCTTATAAGGACCTTGTAAAAAATAAAATAATCTGGATATTAGATCTGCAAGATCCCTGAAGAAAAGAGAAATTATTTAATGAGGCCATTTTTAAACTATTTCCTCTGATGGAGCTCTTCTGAAATGAAAGCAGATTTCAATTTGGAAAGTCGTGTGACATATGACATGGGAGAGAATCTTACATAGGAGTAGGCAAATTGAATTCAAATATTTTAGAAAACAGTTTCAACATTTTCATTTAGTTTATCAGAACAGTTTTATATTTAGTAATCTGTCAAAACAGGATTATAATAATAAAAAAAAAAATACTTCTCACAACTTCTTGATTTAGACTTGTCTCTTCTGCCGAAAATATATTTTCTGCACTTTTTCATCATTGTTTACTTCTTCTTTTACAAAGCAAAATTATTTCAGAGAGTTATTTCCCTTTTTACTGCTTGGCCTACTTTTTATGCTTTCATTTATGGAAGAGTTTTGACATGGGAATTATTTGAAATTGTTTTTTCCTTTCTCAAATATGTAAAAGAATAGATTTTGTAAATTGTATGAAATATCTGTTAATCTTTTAGAATAAATTTGATATGTTGGAATCTCTCTCTACTGTCTTGTGTAAGGTTCAGCATGGTGTGCCTAAATAATGACTGAAGTCCTTGTCCTTCCAGGGCTTTGCATCCAGACCAGATGACCAAGGTGAAATGGAGGACAAAGTCATGGAAAGTCAAGGTCTTCTGTCATCCACTGATTGTAAAAATGAGGCCACAGATTACAACTTTTCCTCAGAAGAAGTGGAGCACTTTAAGTTTTTTCCAACAAAATTAAAAAAGGTTAGTGGAGATAAACAAAAAGTGGAACAGAAAAGGGGACTAAAGCAAACACAAGGAATAAAACGCAAGTATGGATCAACAAAAAAAGCAAAGAAAGTTGAAAATATTAAACAAACTACAAAGGGTATTGAAATGAAGAGTAGTGGATCTAGTGAAAGTGCACCAGGAAAAGTAACAGAGGTGGTGCAGAGAAAGTTTGTGGTCAGGCCCTCAGCTCCTCCACCACCCCCAGATTGTGTAGAACTTGAAAGTGGGGACCATCATCCTCTTGAGAGAGTTCACTGGACCAAGATTTTCTCATTTTTGCCTTACCCAGACCTGGCGAGGTGTCTGTCTGTTAATAAAGCATTTTACAGGTGGGGTATGAATCATGAGCTTTGGCCAAACATTGACTTGAGCAAAAGGAGAATATGCCAGCCACATTTAATAGGCATTGTGAAACGTCAACCAAATGGCCTGAAATTAAACAATGTGGTAATGACACAGCAACAATTATCTTGGCTCCTGGCACGAATCCCTCTCCTAAAGAGACTGTCCATGTCCTCATGTTCATGGGCAACAGTCAGTGCTCTCTGTTTTTCCTCATGTCCACTGTTGACAGCATTGAATTTGAACTGGATGCTGGGACTGGACCATGTTCACTTCAAGGATCTTGTTAGTCCGCCAAGTGACCTGCGACCTGGGATGAATGACGTGAGTCGACTTCATTTGCTGACCAGTTTACACATTGCTGGAACTGAAATTGAAGATGAGTCATTGCAGCTTATTCCCCAGTACGTGACTAAATTGAAGGAACTTGACATCAGTTATTGTCCAAGAATTACAAATGAAGGAATCAGAAAACTTCTGGAGACCAGTAATGCAGTGCTCACACAGTCTCTTCAAGTGATAGACATTTCTGGCTCTCGTGTGTTAACAAGTGTAGCACTTGACTATTTAGTGAAGTGCATCAATTTATCTGTGGTGAAAATTCATAAGTGTTCAAATATTACTGCCATGTCTGTGCAAAAATTTCCCCGAAAGTCTGTCAGATTTCTGAAGTAAGTTGTACATGATGTCGTGGTTTTTGTATTTTTTGTAATACATTGAGAGACCCAGTAATACATGTATTCAGAGATGTGGAAAACTATGAAAATTTATGATTTCAGAATTTCATTTTACAGATATTAGAATGAAGTAATCATTCTCTACATTATAAAACACACATTATTGTGTAGTGGAACATATATTAACAGCACCTTGATTGGTTCGTGTTGATGTTTAGAATATATAGTAGATCTGATGACATTTCAAATTCATTTATGAAATTGAATGCCATAAAGTTACAAAAGATCTTGTTTGCACCTCTGGAGGAGATCTATCATTTATCTTAATTATTTAGTAGCTTATTTGTTTCATAAAATGAAGATCATGCAAAATCAATTATACACATTCATGCCCATTCAGTACACATATAACTAGAAGCTTCTACATTACATAGGCTACTAGACCACTTTCTGCTTTGTGCACTTTACTGGGTAACCAGAGAAGAGAAATAGTTGATTATCAGATGAAGAACATCTTTCTATTGTTTTTCATGTAAAAATTATGTTATCCAAATTATTTTCCCCACCTGAAAGACATTCAGTCATATAAATGTAATAAATTGCAGAAATTAAAGTGTTTTTTTTTTTTGTTACATGTTATCCAGAAAGTATAAAGATGTATAACTTATATTCCTGAATTGGTGTTCATATATATACGACCAGTATATTACTTTTCCTTTTTCTTTGTGTAAATTTCATGGTTTGTAAAGCCAGTTCCATTGTGTTGAACCATTGAATTTTGTTAAAAAAATAAAATGATCTTTGTTTAATTGATCAGATGATCTTGTTTATTTTCATAATAAAGCTGGAAACAAAAAAGGATATGTTATTATCCTCAATATTTGTTTTCTTTATTGGAGGAGTTTTGGGTAAGTTGTTTGAAAAGTTATTATTTAAATGTCAAAAGCAAGCTGATTTACAACTCATATATGCCTCAACAAGCAAGGTCTTGAATGCTAAATATTCATTTTAAAATGTCAAAAATCCCGTTTTTTTTAAACCCCCCCCCCCCACCCAAAAAAAATCGAAATTCAACAAATATAGCTGAAAAGGTTTGTAAAAATAATAATTTACCCCACCCCACAAGGTGAAGTGATTCTTACAAAGTTTAGTATTTACTACATGTATTAATATTGCGGGGGTGGGGTGGGGGGTAGGGTAACTGTAAACTACGAAAAGAAACGACGTTCACAGGTACCCGCAGGATTACCAGTCTCACAATTTCAAATATTGTACAAGAAATGAACCGAGATTTTTTTTTTTCAAAAGGGATCTAGATCAAGGTCTTCAGAATAAAGGAGCCCAAACTGGTTGCATTAAAGTGTGAATTATAGTTTCTAAATTACTTGTAGAAATGTAAATTTCCTCATGGGGCCATGAACCTCTTCCTATTTATTTGTATATGGTTACATTTTCAAATGGACGTCTTTGTTGGACAAAAAACTACAAATAAGGAAATATCTTTATATCTTCATAAAGTCATTTGCTCTGTCTTCTCGCTGCATGCTGCTTAGTAATACACTGGTCTTTGAGATTTAGATTTATACTTACGTATAAAAATACCGGAACTATCTCATTTTCTTATTGAATCTATGATGAGGTAAAAAAGTAAATATAGTGTATAAGGAATATCTTTTTTGATGTTGGTGATCAAACAGTTTGCCCACGTGACAATTTAATGCAAATTATCACGTGAGAAATGGTTTGATCACATCATAAATCAAAAAAATAAAGACACCCCCCCCCCAAAAAAAAATAAACTACACAGTTATTCCTTGAATACAATGTAAGCAACCTTCAGTACAAAAATTCATATATGAACAGAGAAAACCAATGTTTAACAATACAGTAAACGCGATTTAGAGATGGAAATATTGAATTCAAACAAGCAAAACTTTATAAGAACATTCTGTTCGTTTATTAAAAAATATCACTAAAAGGTGCTCCTTAACGCGGTGAATATCTATAACTGTGATATATCGTGATTCCTTATACTCAGACATGTTATGAGACTCTGAATTTTTTTGCCATTGTTTTTCTTTCTATGCAGAACTCTGCGTATAAATAGATGTGAACCATAAACCTTGCATTTTTTAACAACAACAACCAAAAAAAAAAAAAAAGAAAAAATGCCAGTGAGGTATGGATCACAATACTCAAGGTCATAATTAATGCTGTGAAATGGACATGGAATTACTTTTATCATAAATGTGTCTTATATTTTAAGACAATGTGTAGAAATACTTGTGATACACAGCTGATCGTCAAGCCCATGGACATTTTAATTTTTATGCCCCCGTATCGAGGGGTGTATAGTTTTTGCCCTGTCCGTCCGTCTATCTGTCTGTTCGTCTGTTTGTCCGCAAAAACTTTAACATTGCCCATAACTTTTGATTGGTTACAGCTATGGCTTTCATATTTCACACGTGTATTCCTTGTGACAAGACCTTTCTTTGGGTACCACCATATTTGACCTTTTAACCTTGACCTTGGAGTTTGACCCAGTTTTGCAAAATTTTACCCAACTTTAACCTTGGCCATAACTTTTGAACAATTAGTGCTAGGGCTTTCATATTTCTTATGTGTAATCCTTGTGACAAGACCTTCCTTTGAATACCAACAACTTTAACCTTGACCTTGGAGTTTGACCTACTTTTGAAAAACTTTAACCTTGGCCATAACTTGTGAACCGTTGGTGCCAGGGCTTTCATACTTCACATATGTTATCCTTGTGACAAGACCTTCCTTTGGATACCAACAACTTTGACCCTTCGACCTTGACCTTGGAGTTTGACCTACTTTTGAAAAACTTTAACCTTGGCCATAACTTGTGAACCGTTGGTGCCAGGGCTTTCATACTTCACATATGTAATCCTTGTGACAAGACCTTTCTTTGGATACCAACAACTTTGACCCTTTGACCTTGGAGTTTGACCTACTTTTGGAAAACTTTAACCTTGGTCATAACTTTTGAACGATTGGTGCTTCGGCTTTCATATTTCACCTGTGTATTTCTTAGAAGAAGGCCTTTCCTTGGGTACCATTAATTTTGACCATTTGACCTTGATGTTTGACTTTTGAAAACTTTAACCTTTTCCATATCTATTCAATTGTTGCTGCTAGTGCCTTCATATTTCACAGGTTTATTCCTCGAGGCAAGACCTTACTTTGGGTACCAACATATTTGATTTGCATTTGAGAAAGTTTAACCTTTGCTATAAGTTGCCATACGGGGGGCATCATTGTTTCACAAACACATCTTGTTTTTTTTTTAATTTTTAAGGAGGGGTCATTTAATTTTTTTTAATTTTTAAGGAGGAGGGGTATCCCACTTCACTGACTAGTTTGAACATTACATCGATCCCCCCCCCCCCCAAGTCCGCACGCAATAGCTCAAGATTTTCTCATTTTTGCCTTATCCAGACCTGGAAAGGTGTCTGTCATCGTCGGATACCCACGGGTGATCTCGTCTTTACTCATCACCCGGGTGATGAGTAAAGACGAGATCACCCGTGGGTATCCGACGATGGGTGTCTGTCTGTTAATAAAGCATTTTACAGGTGGGGTATGAATCATGAGCTTTGGCCAAACATTGACTTGAGCAAAAGGAGAATATGCCAGCCACATTTAATAGGCATTGTAAAACGTCAACCAAATGGCCTGAAATTGAATAATGTGGTAACGCCTGCACCAGAGTTCATACTTACTCCTCTTATATTAGATTAGATATGAGAAGATGTTAAAGGACTTTAGGTTTTTATGCCCCCGTAATCGAAGATTCTGGGGCATATAGTTTTTGCCCTGTCCATCTGTCTGTTTGTTTGTCCGCAAAAACTTTAACATTGCCCATAACTTTTGATTGGTAGGAGCTATCGCTTTCATATTTCAAATGTGTGTTCTTTGTGACAAGACATTTCTTTGGGTACCATCATATTTGACCTTGGAGTTTGACCCAGTTTTGCAAAATTTTACTCAATGTTAACCTTGGCCATAACTTTTGAACAATTTGTGCTAGGGCTTTCATACTTCAAATATGAATCCTTGTGACAAGACCTTTTCTGGATACCAACAACTTTGACCCTTTGACCTTGACCTACTTTTGAAAAACTTTTACCTTGGCCATAACTTTCGAGCAGTTGTTTCCAAGGCATTCATACTTCACATGTGTATTCCTTATGACAAGACCTTCCTTTGGATACCAACAACTTTGACCCTTTGACCTTGACCTACTTTTGAAAACTTTAATCATAACCATAACTTTTGAGCAGTTGTTTTTAGGGCTTTCATACTTCACATGTGTATTCCTTGTGACAAGACGTTCCTTTGGAAACCAACAATTATAACCCATTGACCTTGGAGTTTGACCAAATTTTGGAAAACTTGACCCTTGGCTATTACTTTTGAACAATTGGTGCTAAGGCTATCATACTTCACATATGTAATCCTTGTGACAAGTCCTTCCTTTGGATACCAACAACTTTGACCTTGACCTTGGAGTTTGACTTACTTTTGAAAAAAAAACTTTAACCTTGGCCATAACTTTTGAGCAGTTGGTGCTAGGGCTTTCATACTTCACATATGTAATCCTTGTGACAAGAACTTACTTTGGATACCAACATTTTTTATCCCTTGATTGACCTTGACTTGGAGTTTGACCTACTTTTGAAAAACTTTAACCTTGGCCATAACTTTTGAGCAGTTGGTGCTAGGGCTTTCATACTTCACATATGTTATCCTTGTGACAAGAACTTACTTTGGATACCAACATTTTTTATCCCTTGACCTAGACTTGGAGTTTGACATACTTTTGAAAAACTTTAACCTTGGCCATAACTTTTGAAGGGTTGGTGCTAGGGCTTTCATATTCTACATGTGTATTTCTTGTGAGGCCTTTCCTTTCCTTTCCATAAATTTTGACCTTGACCTTGATGTTTGACTTATGTTTGAAAAAATTTAACCTTTTGCATATCTATTCAATGACTGCTGTTAGGGCTTTCATATTTCACAGGTATATTCCTCGAGACAAGACCTTACTTTGGGTAACAACATATTTGATTTGCATTTGAGAAAGTTTAACCTTCACTATAAGTTGCCATACAAGGGCATCAGTGTTTCATAAACACATCTTTTTTTGTATGTGAGTCTACCTTGATGATTTACAGATCAAGTTTGCAAATCATTTCGCTTTAATGAGTTTTGACTGAATTTCAGGCATTTTAATAATTTTCAGGGATTAACATGATTACACAGACTAACATTGTTTATGCAATACTCTCAGAATGCTTTCATATTCAAATACTCATACTTTTGCTAAGAGCAGGGGATATTTGAATGTCCATACATCCATCTGTCTATCTGTAACACTTTAGTTCCGGATGATATCTTTAAGGCTTTAGCTTTTGCAATGAAATTTCATATCATGACTCCCTGTAACTTGAAGAAAACCCTATTCATTCCGAGGTCAAACGTCAAGGTCAGAAATTCATAAAAAATTGCATAAAATGGTTTCCAGGTAACTAATTCTCCTACAACTTATGAAATGAAACTGAAAGTGATGACTCTAACTCAAAAAACATCCCTACTGATTTAGGGCCAAAGGGTGAAAGATCAAGGTCACAAATTCATATATGGTATGATCCTCACAACATCATGACTCCTGTGTCAACTCATTGCCATGGGAACTCTGATGTTGTGAGGGTGATACGTTATAAAATGGTTTGAAGATTCATTTCACTACTATCTATAACTACACCATGACTCTTATCAATTTGAAGTGAATGGGTCAAAGGTCAAGGTCACAAAATTGTATATTGTTTCAAATTGTTTTCAGATAACATATCAAATAAATTTCTGTTCCTAAAGGGGGGGGGGGGGGGGCATAAATTCCCTGAATTAGCTTGTTTTATCTAGAACAAATTGCTTTCACAAACAAGAGGCCTATGGCCCTCATCACTCACCAAAGCACTTTGGCTAGGAAAAAGCAGAACTCAGTTTAGTATCGAAAAGTTTAAATACAAATGTGGTTCCAACATTTGATCTTCTATTGAGGCCTTGCCCTACCTCCTGGGACATGATTGGAACACATCTGAAACTACTCTACACAAGGATGCATCTGAATTGATAAGACTGGCTTTGATGTTCCCGAGAAAATTTTCATTGATATATCCCTTATACTTTGACCCCCTGCTGTGGCCCCACCCAATCCCCAGGGGTCATGATTTGAACAAACCTGAATCTACACTACCTGAGGATAGTTCCATATTAATATGACTAATCATGGCTTTGCTGTTCTTGAGAGGAAAATTTTTCACATTTTTTTCCTATATATTCCTATGTTAAACTTTGATCCCCCATTGTGGCCCCACTCTACACCCTGAGGTCATGATTTGAACAAATCTAAATCTATACTACCTGAGGATGCTTCCATATCAATATGACTACACTAGACTTTGCTGTTCTTGAGAAGAAGATTGTTCAAGATTATTCCCTATATATTCCTATGTAAAATTTCAATCTCCTGTCCTGGACCCACACTACCCCAAGGGGTCATGATTTGAAAAAGTCTGAATCTACACTACCTGAGGATGCTTCCATAATAATTTGACTTATCATGGCCTTGCTGTCCCTATATCCCTATGTAAAATGTTGATCCCCCATTGTGGCCCCCTTCCCTCCCAGGGTCATGATTTGAACAAACCTAAATCTACAATACCTGAAGATGCTTCCATATTAATATGACTCAACAAGACTTTTTTATTCTTGAGATGAAGAATTTTAAAATTTTCCCCTATATATTCCTATGTAAAACTTTGATCCCCCATTGTGGCCCCACCCTACCCTTGGGGGGGGGGGGGGTGTCATGATTTGAATAAACTTGAATCTACTCTACCTGAGGATGCTTCCATATATGACTTAACATGGCTTTGCCTTGAGAAGAAGATTTTCAAAGATTTTTCCTAGGTATTACTATGTTAAAATTTGATCCCCATTTGTGGTCCTGACTGAACCCCAGGGGTCATGATTTGAACAAACTTGAATCTATACTATGTAAAGAAGGTTTCACATAAGTTTCAACTTTTTTGGCGCAGTTGTTCTTGAGAAGAAGATTAATGATACCAGCAAATTTTCACTATTTCTTAATTATCTCCCCTAGGAAGGGGGGCATTCATTTGAAAACTTGAATCCCCTTTACCCAAAGATGCTTTGTGCCAAGTTTGTTTGAAACTGGCCCAGCTTTTCTGGAGAAGAAGATGAAAATGTGAAACATTTACGACAATAACGACAGACAATGGACAAATTTTGATCAGAAAAGCTCACTTGAACCTTTGGATCAGGTGAACTAAAAATAAATAAATAATTAAGAGCTTCTATTCCAATTTGCAAGAATTTTATTGCATTGAATACATTGCAATAACATCAATTCATAACTATGCTCTTCAAGCATGTCAAGTCAATTTAATGTACAGAAATATACATGTTTATCATGTAGTTACAAACTAACCACCATAACTTTGCAATGCTCTGCCATTCCTGAAGACAAACAAGTAACAAGGCAAGTAAATAAAATCCTAAGACAACTAGAGTACATGTATATATATATATTTTTTCCTTGCACCTTCAGATTATTTCAAGGAAATGAATGAAAAATAAAGCATCATATATGACATGCCAAATTCAAATTTAAAAAGAAAAATAAAAAAAAAGCAAAACATGGTTTAATATAGGATCTCCCATAAACCTAGTTTTTCCAAACTTTGTTTTGCTTTTTTTTTTATGAATTTAGGACACCACATAAATTCAGAACTGATGATAGTTAACTGCACAAGAAATGTGATTCAAAAATACTGACTAGAACACTTCGAACCAACTGATATAAATAACTTTATGCCTTAATTATCTTTTTCAATAATTCATATACCGGGGTATTCTGTAAATGTTAGCACACACACACATATATATATGAAGTTCATGTTGAAAAAATATTTCATGAATTTATCACAAAATGAGATTCAATGGCAGAAAAATCTTTATCACATACAATGAGTTTAAAAAAAAGAAAGAAGAAAAAGTCATGAGATTCTCTTAAAATTTGATCATTTCATACATTTGTAAAAAGCACCTAGTCACTACAAAGCAATATTATACTTCAGTGTCTAGCTTGACATTAAATACGAAAACTCTCCAATGTTCCATCAATGTGAAGCAATCTAAGGTAGACATCTGTCCCGATTCCTTGCATGGTCTGCATGCTTAGGCTTCCACCTAAATACTCCGCATACGTTCTGGAGGAAGGAAGTCCAAATCCATACCTAGAAAAGAAGTCATGCACCACAAAGCTCACAAACATACAATTTTAAACTCAAGATATATCGTTCGTTTGTAAAATGCCAGGGCTACTGACCTTCATGTTGAACTTTGACCTAGTTTTAAAATTGTTTTAATATCTGTATTTTATTTTTGACTTTCAGTTGTTGGGCTGTGATTTCTAACATTTGAAAAAAAAAAACTACTACTAACAGTTGAATTTCGGTATCTCAAACACCGATATCTCAAATATCATGAATATGTCGAAGTGATTTGGGAGTCCCAACCACATATTCCTTTAGTATTTTACCCTTGAAATCTCGAATCCTCGGATATTTTAGAGTTTTTTCTTGGTCCAATGGAGTTTGAGATAACAAGGTTTAACTGTAATGCCTTGAAACTGAACCTTTAATAGATGTGCTTTGATATTCTGCATGCATAGTACATGTCACAAATTGTTTTATTTTGAAAAATTAATTAATATGTACTGGTTATGCATTAAGTTACAAGGCATTCAGACTTTGAGGGCTACTTTGTGACCTTGAAATTGGTCTTTGACCTTATTTTTGACCTTACAATTAGTAAGATGACTTTCTTTTCAATTCTACGACATCAAGATTTAATTAAAATTTCTTTGGTGACCACCTTATGGCTTTCATCTATCCTGTGTAAATGTTTCCATCACCAAAGATACACATTCCTAAATTCCTAGGGAAAGGAGCTGCCTTTCATTGCTTGATTGAATACATCAATTATACTCCAGCTAGCTCAAAACAACTGGGGAATGATTAATCATTAAAAGAAAGTAAGGACGAACACATCTGAGGGAGGGATAATGCTCAACATAAGATGTATTCTATGCAAGTTTGATCCAGGTACAACCAATTCTTTCAAACAAACTGGGGAGGGTTGCTGAAAACTAATTTCTTGATAAACATTTTTTTAACAAAATATTCAATGCTGCAAAAACTTACCCATGCATTCTGCCTGGTACCTCCCCATCCCTGTTAGAAGGGTTGGAAATTTCATCAAACAAACCGACCTGTGGTTCAGGGTCAATGTTGTTGTTATTGTTGCCTGAGGTTGTGAAGTTGTAGTTGTGCACTCTCTCTACAATGTTGTGAGGGATTCCTCCCCCTCTGTCAGACACTCTGAAAACAAGAAGAACCTACATACAGTATCATTTTACAAAATCATAAAATCATACCAAGTGATACCCGTACTGGTACTTTCAGTTTAAATTCGGCTTAGTATTCTAAATATCTAGCTGAACCGTCTCTCAACTGAGATTCTTTGGGCACTACTGTGTCCTGAGTGTCATTGTGACTGCCTCAGGCAACTTTTGGACAAATACATATTGAAAGCTCCTATCTTTAATAGACAGTATGCCCGAGATAAACACAGAAGGCTCAAAACTCTGAAAGCTCAAAACTTGAGATAAACACATATTTGATATGACTGTTGTCCCCCACTTGAGATAAACACAAGGAAAAATGGTAAACTCATTGAAAATTCTCAATGAGATGAAATCAATGAAAGATCATATTAGATCTTGATCATATTAGATCTTATCTCAAGCACAAGATAAAGACACAGAAGTTCAAGTTTGAGATAAACACACAGAAAGCTCAAACTTGATATCTCATACTTAAACACATTGAAAAGACAAAGTCTCAACAGGTCTTTGTGTAAATTTCTTGTTAAATAATATTTTTATGTTTTGCTCAATTTTGCTCAAGCTTGGTAAGCACAGATTCATAGAGTATACAAATACAAATACATGTCTATAATGACCATCAGAAACTTTATCTCAAAAGTCAAGGCCAATTTAAATGTTTGTGGAATTTCCATGTCTGGTCTTTATTACATGCACTTTATTCTATTTACATATCATGATTGTTTTCATTTCTTTTCATTATTTCTTTCCCCCTGTTTACTCTCAGTTATGAAATTTTTTTGTTGTTTGTGATTTTTCTTTTCAAATTTATTAACTGACCTAAAAAGTAAAATGAACAATTTTCAAACAAAATATATTTTTTCTGGCATTGTAAGTATATCAAATAAACAATTTTCAAACAAAATATATTTTTCAGTCATTGTAACTAAGTATATCAAATCTTGATTAATTTATAGCAAATTTAATATCTGTTTGATTATCATACACAATAAATTAAACTGCACCTTATCTTAGTGTCTACATAAAATCGCATCTATACATGCATTCATAACATAATAATTCAATAATTGTGTTATTTAACATGGAGGTTATCCAACAGTTTGTATTGTGTCTGAAATCTGATCAGACAGGAGTCAATGGTTCTTTTATAACCATTGTCTCTGAACAAGTCAACACCAGCTGAAAAAACATAATTGAGATGTTTTATGATCAATGGAGCAATATATTCCATTCTGGCACATGAAAATCACAATGCAGAGTCACCCTTTTTAAAAATTCAAATGCTATAAAAATACTCATGACACATACAGACATATTGATATTTTTCCATATTTATATAAAATGATAATTACTTTTAATGGGAAGTATGAAATCAATATAACAACAAGGTATTTCACTAACTTTCTTTTTTTTATTTTTTAAACCCACTGAATTTCTAATGTTTGCTTTAAGAAAACAGCATTTGATGTTTTGAGTAAACATTCAGAGAATTTTATCTGATAATCATAGCCTTCAATTGAAAGGAAATGTGCCACCAAAATCTACACCAAAAAAGGGTAAGTGGTGCCTAGCGGTGTTGTTGCCAATTTATTTAAATTAAGGCAACAGAAGCAGTACAGTCTGCATTGGGGAACACTTCTATACAGATTGAGGGTTGAATGTGTCAAGACTGAAGAGAGTTTGGACAGATTCTATGTGTAGGCATTATAGTCAGTGTTAATTTCGTTTGGGGAAAAAAGGTAAACATATTAATGCCATATTAGTTTAATAATAACGTACGTTGTCTCACAGTATCAGTAATTATAACTTTTTTTCTGTCATGAAAAAATAACTCAACATCAAAATGTTATGATAATTAAATGGATATTTACTCTTTCTACTAAATGTGTAATATGTTTTAAATTGACTTCAAACTGATACCAAAAAAGGCTTATATTTCAACGTCACCAAGGAATAGTTTAGAATTTTCCATTTTGACAGTCTCGCGATAGGAATCAGAACTGTCAGTTCAAGAGATTAGATTTCAAACAGAGTTGATCTCTTTTGAAAGATCTGACAAAAAACCTTTAAACTAACAAGAACACTTTGTAAACAAAGATCAGATAGACAGGTAGTAGGTTCTATAACAGACAAGTACGACATGACTACTCAGGAAATTAGTATATTGTGTCTTCAGGGAGGAAGAAAACTTAGGGTAAGATGTGTACAAATATATCAATATTTTTACCAGGTATATATGATAACTACCAGTCAATAATTTGCATTGATTAATAGCAACCTAGCCTATTTTGACATTTTCCATAATGGGTTCATAGAGATATATGGTTATAAATATTAGTTAATTAATTAATAAGCATGGGAATACATGTAATCCCACATACTGACCATGAGCATTGGACTGTGTACAATATATCCTCATGTTGACTAGGAACGATGATCTGTGAATTTATACTACTCTAATGAATCTAATTAAATCATGACAATTAATAATTATGAATGTGCCATTTTCATAATCAGTGAAAACAATGCACTGTATTTATTTTAATTTAATTTTTGAAATTGTATATGATAAATATTTGATATTATGAAATTTGTTCATTTTTTCCACATTAAATCATAAATGGAAAGACTGTTCAAGTTCCAAATGCACGCAAGTGCTCACAAATATATAATACTGATTACTATGAGAAAAACAAAATGTAAATCAGATTAAATATTATGTACTGAAGTGCTATATCATTTGGCCACTAAATCTTTAAATGTTGATTTAATTCATTACATAATAAGAATCTATAAATATCCAACTTATGGAAAAGTACACAAAAACCAAACCTGGCAGGAAGGGGAGAAAAGGGGGGGGGGGGGGTACACAATTTGAACACATTGGGATCATCATATTAACAATAATAATGTCATATCAATTATGGTTATTGTTCTTTAGATTTTTTAAGCCAAAGAAAAAAGTTTTGTAAACGAGAGTTTCAATTCTTTTTTGGACTCTTAAACTGAGGGTCATGCTTTACATAAAAAAGAGATACCATTAAAGCACATTAGTTCAATTAACTGTTACTATGTTTTCTTGAGAAAATTTCCCAATTACATTTTTGTGTAGAATTTAGGACCCCCTATCAGCATTGTTCCTAAGAATTCAAATAGCAGGGGACATTAAAAAAGTAGAAGGGTGTCTACGGTTCCTCCCATAACAAGGGGTGGAGGGGGAATACCAGAATAACCGGAGATTATGTCATTATAGGTGGGGAAATTACCTGGCCCCCAGGTCTTAGGGACAACCCTACCCTATTCTAGTCTCAACCTCAGATAATGATTACTTGATGGTTTGAACAATATGGAATCTAAAATACATTAATTTAAAAAAAATTACTTTAATACATTACATACAGTGTATCTGTACCAGTAGTTCTAAAGAACCATTTAACAACTACTTCACTGTTTTCTTAACTGTCTACACTTAAAAGGTTCTTTATTTGAATTTAATTGAATGTTCTCTATCCAAAAATACTTTGTACCAAGATTTGATTGAAATTGGATGATTTTTATAAATAGTGAATACATTCTGTACAACTGCTTCACTGTTTTCTTAACTGTCTACACTTCAAAGGTCCTTTATTTGAATATAATTGAATATTCTCCATCCAAAGATACTTTGTTCCAAGATTGATTGAAATCAGATGATTTTTATAAATAGTGAATACATTCTGTATAAAATGCTTTAAATGTCACATCTTAATAAATATTACTAAATGATTAAATTGTACCTAAAAAATACAGTTTATGGATATAATAAAAGTTATTTTGATAGCCAACTGGAGCTCACCCCCCCCCCCCCCCCTTAATAAATGGTACACAAAATCGATCAGTTATCTCTTTTACACAATGTTACATGACGTGTAGAAAAAATTGCTGAGAGCATAACTTATTAAGATTAACAGGCCAAAGGTTTTATAGACCTGTAACTAGTCATTACTCAATAGACAATTTAAATAGCAACAATAAGCAGCTTAAATGTATTAGCGGTTTTCTTTTTCACTTCAATATGGATTTAGTATTAAAAATTAGTTCAAAGACCAAGTCATGCATGGCATTTCTTTAACATAAGTACAGACTTCTAAATAGGTATTACATATATTTATATACATATGAAAATGATAGTTAACGATGGAATATCATGAGTTTGATTAATGAGATTGTTATATAATTAGGCTTACACTATGGAATTACTAAATACATTCTACAGGTAATATTCAATATATTTTGTTTTTTTTTCTTTTTCTTTTTATTACGTTTTTTTTTTTTTTTTTTTAACTTTATACGTACCAATCTTGCCAACTGCATTATCAATCACTGTTTGAACTTGCCATATGTGTACTAACTTCTGAGATATAATTAGTCTGATAAAATTCACTGAAAGAATTTTATTGACATTTTCAAAGGTTATCAAACTTCTGACACTGTTAAAGTCTTTTTCTACATTAATTTTTCACTCAAAAGCCTAACTTACTCAATATATTCAACAAATTGTTCTCAAATGAAACTCTTTCGTTTCTAGAACCAGTTTTCAATCACCAATCAAATATTCATAAATTTATATGATGGTAAAAAAGGTTCATTTTAGGTTAATAGTTACTCTAGGAAGCAGTTACTCTATGTGGATTTGCTTTTTTTTTTATAGCCGTTAATAAAAATTGTTTTATCTCCTTGGTTCACCAAGAAATGTTTATACATGTACGTTCACATATATTACACTTCCCTCATTCCTCAGGTATTAATTATTGATCATCACTTCTTTTATTGTTCTGTAATGAGGCTCAACAGAAATATACACACCCTCAATCTATATTTACGTATGTACATGTTCATGGATTATTGGATGAGATATTGATCATTTTCTTTTCTTTCATTTAAGGCCATTCCTTTGTCTTGGAAAGAGATGAATCATGAAGTTTTAGCTGAACACCATTTGGAACCATAATGTGGGACTACCACGAGAGGATTTCATTTTAACCGTAATTTATCTTGAGACAAATTTGATGCACTTGAATCACCTAGTTGTTATAATGCAGCTCACCATGGACCACAGAAGCAGATCTATGGAGTACGGCCAGGACTGTGACTCTGTGAATTATGATCAGGATGTTAATGGTAACACCCAGGACACAAAATCCGAGGAAAGGGACAGTGGAACGGGACTCTCCAGTCATTCCACCTCTGCTGATCCCATGAGTATGGACGACTCAGACGAGCCCCCCAGTATTGGGGAGGAGCTGAACTCCTCCTCCTATCACTTAGACATGGATGGGGAGCTGGTGCCCATTAACAAAGATGAACTACAGGACACATGTAGTGATTGTGAGGCCTCTCGTACTTACACTGTACCCACCCCTGTCAGTTTCATTAATTCTAACGAGTTAGTAGACCCCCTTCAGGAGTTGAATCAGATAAACATCAAGGAAAAAAAATATCCCGTTCTCCCCTCCATCAGCAAGAAATCGTGTACACCACGCTCCCACAGGAGTGAAACGTCACTGGACAATGAACTACTTGAAAAAAGTCTAGTGAGAGAACTGACCAAAAATCAAATGGACTTTTCAAGAGAAAGAATGGAAAAAGAGGCAGATTTTTTTGCGGATCATCGAATTAATACAAGCAAAGTAAAAGCTACCCCGCGCACTAATCCTCTCCCTCCTATAAGACCTGCAAATGTGTCTTCTCCAGATAAAATGGGAACATGATAACTGTGCATAACAATATTAGCATATAGTGAGGTTTTCTTGCTATGACAACAAAATACTATCTTGTTGCAAATGCTTCTTCTCCAGATAAAATGGGAACATGATAACTGTGCATAACAATACTTATGAGCATATAGTGATGTTTTGTGCTATGACAACAAAATACTATCTTGTTCGAAATTATTGCACCATAAAATGTGTTGAAAATTTGCATCCAAAAATTTACCACTTAACATGATCTGATGATATTTATCATATATGCAATTGTTATTTATATACTATGGTGTTTTTTTTATAATCATTATAACTACACTAATCTATGCAGATAGGCATTTAAAGAATTTTAGACAAAATAAGGTTGGATTTACTGTACTGCAATTTTTTTTTTTTTGCATCTCTTAAAACTGAAGAGTTCCTATTTATTGAACAACAACAGTTGTCCAACATGACTATATAAAATCCCATAGAAGTATATTATTTACAAAATAAGCTTATTTTACCTTTCCAATTCCAAATTTATTTGTACTTGAATTTGATTCAGTTACCATATAAAATCACATGTTGATGCATTGGTTTAGACTTATCATGCATTAAGACTTCTACAATCTCTAAAATACTAGTTCAAACCTTGAAACTATTACCTTATATAAAATTCCTACAATTATACTTGTCAATATATCATTATTGCCAGGCTCATGGTAAACCCTCTGATCAAATGAGACACCTATACAAATTCTATTGGGAATTTTAAGATGTACGTAATGCATGAACAAAGCTTGGTTGACCAAGACACAGATAAATTTTAAAACTAGCTGTTGTAAATTCAATTGTGAGCAAACAGCCATATTACTGTATCTGAATTATATATATTGTCAAATTTTTCAGCAGAATTATGATAATAATGCAAGGTTTTTTCTGTATATGTCAAAAATGATTAATAATCACAGCTTTCCTCTAGATTTATTTTTTCTTGATAATTCTCACATTTACATATCACATATGAATCCAGCAAAAATGTCTGAAAGAGAACCTTATAGTTACTGTTTGTTGTTCAAACCAATCTAGAGATGATGTACAGTTCTGCATTCATACAAAAAAGATTGCTTTGATGTAACAAGCTTAAGTTTCAAGTTCGATTTATTGCATATCACATCAAACTGATTGCATGTCACCATTACAAATCAAAATGTTTCATGCCTTCTAAAGCATAATTTATATAGCGCTTCAATATTCACAATGCAATGAAAATGATTTTTTATTAAAAAAAAAAAATTGTAAAGTGAAATTAAAGTGCCACACAAATACTTTGGATTTTTGTCATTGTACATAAAAATAAAAACATGAACCTCAAAGTTGGGGAAAAAAGATCGACTCCGTCTTCAAGAAATAGATATCTTACGATGGTTTTAAAACCCTAAGAAACATAAACCTCTCTACAACTATGTTACTGGTCCAGGGGAACAGGGAGTGTATTTTTTCAAAGTGAATAACTTGGCATGTTTTCTTATGTAGGGTGAATTCACCATGCATCAGACACCCTTGCACTTCAACAAGTTCTAGCGATATCGCTACCGACTGAATATTATCAAAATGGAACTTAACTTGTAGTTTTGTGGTTAAAATATAAATTTTTGACACAATTGTGCCCTATTTATTGAGAAAATATCATTAAAAACCAATTTTTTCCAAATAAGTCAGAATTCACCATGGATCGGACAATATTCACCATGCATCGGACATACAATATTTAAACCAGAAAAATATCATACCTTGATCTCGGCGCTTTAAAATTAGTGATATCGAAACATTTTTATCTTTTATTCAAAAATTAAACTTCTAATTAACTTTGAATGACTATTTCGATCCACAAATACGAAGAGATTTTAGTTGCTTCACATCGCCTTAGAAAGGCTTTACAATGCTAGTAAAATGGCAACTCGCATCTTTCTCTCGTGGGTTATAATCATCTAGTTTAAAGAAATAAATTGAGTCTACTTCTAGTCGTCATATATTGATTATTTGTATTTTTACTAAAAATTTAGAGTTTCTATTTTCTATTTCCGTAAAAAACAGATGTCATTTGGGTTTTACATGAAAATGGAAGTGATAACCCATGCATCGGAAAGTGTCTGATGCATGGTTAATTTGTGTCCGATGTACGGTGAAATAAACATACTAGTTAAAAACAACTTTAAAAATATTATACAAACATTGAAGTAAAATTCTTGAAAAATTTCTGTAAAATTATCAATCATTGACAAATTTTACCAAGGTCTGACCCGTTCCGTTGTCGTCTATTTAAAAGAACGACAACGCTAAAAATTGCAAAATCTTAAAATTCTGGTTACTCCCCTTTGATGATGCAAAATATGACGTAATTTCAAGGCCATTCTTGTGGTATTTTTATCACAACATGAAAATAAAAATTGGCATCATTAAAAAGTGTAATTCTTCATCTTTAAGAGGGAAACAAGTAAAAACACGGGGAGACTCAGGTTCAATGAAAGTTTATTGCTTAAAGTTGTCCAAAGCAAGGTATGTGTCCGATGCATGGTTAACTCTGACACCCTACCGGTATTTTGAATTTGTTGTCCATTGTCTTTTTTTTATATATAAACAGTAAAACTTGTCTAATCCGGCCACCACTGGTTCCAAAGAAATTGGCCAGATTAGACAACATTCCGGATTAGACAACATTTTAAACAATTGAAATTTACTGAAAAGGACTTGAAATTTACATTGTATTAGACAAGATTTCAGAATACACAACATCCGGATTAGACAAGTTTCACTGTATATATAAATTATGCTCCATTCGAAATTCATCCAAAAGCATTTTGCAACTCTTCACATTTTCTTTATTAAATTCATTCAAAATTAGCTGCAGAACTGTAGCTCTCCGAAAAAAAAAAAAGACAGACCGGAGAGCTACAGTGCCACCCATAGAAAAAACTGTATATTTATTGCGCACAAAAAGCTGCGCTCGGTTCTGGATTTATTTCTCAAAATTCTTACCTCAACTGCACAAAAGCTCGATTTCAAAAAATTCCTTAGACCTCTATCAACTACTCTTGTGGTTGACATCTTTACGAAGCGCATTATGCCGAATTGTCTAGCCACCCAAAATGGCAGTATAAATAGGCGAAATTTTGGATGGTCTCAATTTCAGGCCCAGGAGGGCTATTTACAACAGTTATAGGAAATGTTTTGATGTGGGAATAGTGAAAAAATGTGTTAGGAACACACGGTCAGTAATATTTTGAGATTTCAGTTTAAAAATACGGAGAAATAAATCGAGAAACAGCGCACTTTTTTGTGCGCAATAAATATACAGTTTTTTCTATGAGTGGCACTGTAGCTCTCCGGTCCGTCATTTTTTTTTCCGGAGAGCTGCAGTTCTGCAGCTAATTCAAAATTTGCTCATTTAAGATGAAGCCAAAAAAAGAAGAAAAAAACTTTTGAGCAAGAAAATCAAAACAAACTTGATTAGGAACATGTAGGTACAGTAATTTTACCTTATAATGAAGTCCAGATTGTTGTTGGCTATTGTGACAACAATATCAGGTATATTACTCCTATTACTGGCATGACTCTCAACAGAGGCTCTAAAAACAAAGATTTAATTTAGTCTTTCAAACAAAGATAAAAAGACATCATTTGGCATTTTGCTCAGGTTTCAAATATTGAAAATGTAAGAGAGAAATCAAGAAGATAAAAAATGTCATTACCTATAGGCATTTTTCAAAACTTCCGTCAATATGTACTCAAGAGGTTGTGGTATATAAGGAAATTTGGCATGAAGATGTCCATTTAAACGAATCTGAGGAGAGTGCCCATATTTAGACAAGCATAGGTTCCTGCAAAAAAAAAAAAATCTTTTAAATTTTTACAAATTTAAATCAATTCAAATCAGCATTTCTTTAGGAGGTCTATGAGTATTTACATTTCTATTATTAGTTCTGCTATTGAGAGTAAAACATGAAAGAAAACTAATTAACAATAACCTCTCATTCTAAAAGGATGATTTTTTGAGACTTCAGTCTTTGCTCAGGTTCTTATTATTAGAAAGATAGCTCATTGACAATGTAAAGTGTTAATCTGTCAAGTTGACATGGTATGGCATTTATTACCTGATACTTTCAGCACATTGTTCAACAAGCATCCTCGGGGAAAAGTTTACATCAACAATACCAACATGGTTTGGCTGTAAATTATTGCAATCCATAAACAAATAAGTTCAAGAAAACAATCAAACCATAATAAGATGAATGAATTGAAAAGCTTTAACCTTTGATAAATTTATATATATATTTTGCCAGTAATAACGTCTTAAAAAACTACTCACTCTTTCATCATGTAGAGCAACATGATGCTCTACTAACAATCGAATTCCTAGTCGAGATTTTAACATCCTGTCCAAAAACAACCTTATCATTTCTTCATCCTAAAATACAATAAAATATGACTTACTATTTTCAATAACATTTATAGATTTTTCTTGAAGAGAGTATCTTTTTTTATTTTAAAGAGTTTAAGTTTACTAGGTATTTTTTTTTTATTTCTATTTTTATCAACCAAATGTATCACACAATGAACATGGCAGGAAATGATAAAAACATTAAAGAAGGAAATTAAAATCATACAAAATATTCATTCAAGAAATTAATACTATCTAACTATAAAGCTACTTTTTGTAGTGTATAAATATTTTTATATTTAATCATTTTTTTTCTTCAGATGATATGTTTGTGAACATATCATTCAATTTTTCTGGTTGAAACATTTTTGCCAAGATGGCAATTTTACCAGTTCCATCCTTTCCAATGAAGCAGCCCTCATAAATCATATCCCCATCAATACCTGAGTTTTTTTTTCAGAAATGACATGTGTATATGGTGTACCTGAATGTGCCTTCTGCATTCTGAGAATCCTTCCGCAAGCATGGTAACGACATTGCTGTGATCATCAAGTAAAGTCTTCAGTGTGTTTGTATAGGCATGTTCTGATTTAAAGTCAACAATCTGAAATAGACAGATACAAGTTAGCTTAAATGTTGTTATTCTAACTATAGAGTTTATGCACTTTCAAATCCCCTATATCAACTAGAACATAATAATCTAAAATTGACAATAAACAGCTGTCCTAATAGAACTACAGTTCCTCACCAAAATATCATGTATGCATACATATTAAACTGGCAAACTCAAGTCTTCCCTTTAAACAATTTGGGATTCCTTCTTATACCCTCACTCTAGATTTTCTTCCATGGTTTGAGTGAATTTAGTTCAAATTTTGGGAAATAGTGTACTTTTGTTTAATTTCTAGCATAGCAGTTCAGGAAATAATGTTTTCCAGAAGTGTCCACCAAAGGTAGACAATATATCAGACAGTTCAAATGGTCAAAAAATAGGTAATGTACCAGAGACACACAATATACAATTATCAATCAGATGTGGTATATTTGCACACTTCACTGTGTATGTCTTCTGACCAAAAAATAAAAACAAACAAACAAACAAACAAAAAACTTTTTTGATGATTTGGAAAAAAAAATTGACTTACTGGTGGGTGTTCATGTAGTATGTAAAATGCTCTGATGTACATCTCATGCTGTAAAAGAAGAAATACAAAGCTGCTCATACTTAATGTATCACATAATAGGACACTACCATACAATTCTCTATACTTAATAAGTTTTAACTTAAGAGAAAAAAGAAAGGAACTAAATACTTACAACTTTAAGTATGGTAGGATTACAGCCAACAATGAAAGGAAGTCCTCGAAAACCACGGATTCTGTGAGCAATCCGTACAGGCAGTTCATTGTGTAGATACTGAGCACTCCGCTATTTTAATGTAAAAACTCAAATATCATCACAGATCTTGTTACAGATTTCGGCAACCCAGATTTTTCTATTCATATACATTTCCTATTCATCTAATTAAATCAAGATAATTTGCATATATTGTAGAAGCACTTTTTTACATATGGTCTTAACTTATGCTATGTAACAATTTTTCTGCAGAAATTTGTCTGGAGTACTAAAGTGCATGTACATGTAAGGCATATAGTGATTATCTTAGAAATCTGCATAATTTTCGACCCGCAGATTAAACAGAAATTGTGATTCCATGGAATTATGACCCAATGGAAAAAAGTGTTTTTACAGTACTTGTATATTGAAAGAATGAATTAAATTTTTGATAATTCATGAGTACATGAACAGTGACCCTTTAGACCAGCATATTTCATGAGGCAAGTTAGTGCTTAAAATTATGCAGGTGTGAAGCATTGTAGTTCATGTACCTCATGAATTATTGAAAATAAAATTCGTTTCTGATATTTACATGTACAACATGTATCTGATGATTTGACACAAAATATGACATGATTCAACTGTCATTTTTGAAAAGCAGCAGATTGCACTACTAGTATATATTTGACATCAAGTATGGTATTATGATGTCACAATAGTATCAGTGAAAAAAAATCATCCTCATCCATGTCAGTTCATGAGATGTACATGTACTGCTGTAATGAAGTTCTTTTGAAACAATAGATAGTATTCGATAGACAGGATTTTAGCAGGAGTTATTTCCCGTTGGTTGCCATGTTGGAGGTATACAAGCCTGAATTCCTTCATTATTCAACCAATTCAAACTTGTCATACTGGGCAATTGGGTGAAAATAACACAATTTTTCTTACAAATTTATGTTAACACAAGCTCCTTTAATTCGTAATTTTAGTGTTTTAAAGATTTTTGCCCTTATATTTCTGCCATACAAGTTTAAAATTGGTTGCTCAAAGAGGAAAATTCGCTCATTGGACCTCCAATATGGTGGCCAATGGGAAATAACTCTTGCTAAATTCAGGCCTATTGAAAATTATCTATATGCACATTGTCATGCTTAGTGATATATATAGATTCTTCAACACCATTCTTTACTAGATTATCTCACTGACAGTTTGAGTTGTGGCAGCATCTCTAGAAGTTTGTATCAGAAAAGTTGAATCATTCAAGCTTACCTGCCCTATATTATTCCACAAGAATTCTTGATACTGACAGTTGGAAGCAAATCACAATTCATTACAATTTACTCTTCACATTTCATTATAAATAATATGTGCATGTTTATTTTCTGAATTTTTGTGACTACAGGGGCCCATTTTACAAAAGAACTTACGACTATGACCAAAATCTTTAGTTAATTGTAAAATTTTCTACAATAAATTATTCTGTTAAAAATTGCCAGCGCAAAAATACCTTTGTACATTCCTCTAAAAAGATTAAAACCATGTTCAATTTATTTTAAATTAGAAATTTATAAGCAGAAGTAAATTTTGGTCTTAGTCATAAGTTCTTTTGTAAAATGGGCCACAGATTTTTTTTATTTCAATGAACAAAATGACCATACCAGTAAATGACTATTATCTGGACTCTTTCCAGCATACAGCAAAGTGGTTGGTGTAAGTCTCACAGATGGCTGCAAAATTTATTCATAGATAGGTTATCATACAAATATTGTAAACTTACAGTCCTAATCAAATATAAATCTAAAGATGTCTCCTAAAACAAACAAGATAAACATTATTCTTCCATGTATCAAGTTCATTTTTATGTGAGGAAATCCTTAGTTTGCAATCCTGTATGCAAAAATGAATAATAGTACTACAAAGTTTAATGTTTATAAAGTCAGAAATCTGATTTACATGTTCTTTTTTCCTTTGAAAAGTACACCTGATTTAAATGTTAAGTGTAACTAACAAAATAAAGTACAATTTATTTCCCCTTAGACTGAAACATTGCACTTAGTTTCTGTGTACAGCTGGTGGAATTTACATCTATCAATAACATAGATGCCTCATCATCAATATTAGTAATTACATGTTTCTATTAAAGTGTATATATGTCCCTCTCATTATGGACCTCAAGAAAATAAGTGCACACTTATTAGGTTTATTACTAACTGTCTCTGGGAATATATCATGTTGATCAACCTTGCCTCATTGTCTATGAATCTGAACAGCCCGATATATATTTCTGTAAACGGTCAGTAACAAACCCATTGATACGATACTTATATACAACAAATTGTATGGTACTATTTTGGGATATTCAAAATCTAGTGCTTCTATGGGTCTTGAGCAAATAATTGCAGTTGCAAACAAGAACTGTTACAGTAGTGATTCCACTCATCATAGTCAGCTGAAAGGCAATAAAATATAAATTCCACTGAAAATTGTAAAGGTACAGTAATTGCTGTGACATGTTCTTTGAAACAGCTGGTGTATATTAAACTTGGTATGTTCTAAGTCTCTCTCTCTCTCTCTCTCAAATTCTGGTTTAAATATCATTTTAGATATCATTTATCAGCATAAAATATTTGCTTTAATTAAAGGCCAATGCGGCATACTTTGCAATAGTCCGAAATATCTGACGTTTTCCAGGCTTTTTTCACGATTTTGATATTCATATGCCAGTAAACTTCAGAACCAGCGACATTATGAAAACTGGAAATTTTGCCTTCTCCAGCCGGAGTTGATTTTTGATACTTGCAAACCGAATTAGATGCCGAACTCAAAATTTATCGATAGCACAATGCTTCTAGTACTCACTAATATCGATGAAAAGAAAACAATCACTCCACATTTCGATACAAGATTTTAAAATGCAGGAAATGAAAACAAATCTCGACAGTCAGATAAAATGTTTTAATCAGATTGTATATTTTATTAATGAACCATAAAAAAACGATGTTGCTGAGTACTAAAGTATTGTACTATTGATAAGTTGTGAGTTTGACATTTAATTCGGTTCGCAAGTATCGAAAATCAACCCGAAAATGCCGCCTCCAGTTGAAGGCGGCGAATTCCCAGTTTTCATAATGGCGCTGGTTCTGATGTTTTCCTGGCACATAAAATATCAAAATCGTAAAAAAAAAACCCAGGAAAACGTCAGATATTTTGGACTATCTTTGCAAATACTGGCATTTGGATGGGGTGGGGATATAGGTCATTTTTAATCATTGATATATTCAATATGTAGAACTTATTATTGTTATTTTTTGTATTGTAGCATTTGCCTTTGTGTGAGACATAATTATTAGGTTATCTTGGTATCTAGTACTTGTAGTACAATCATGATTTACCTTTGCAGCCACCTGTTCGATGGCACTTTGGTTATAAAAAGAAGACACTGATGCTGAGGCTAAACGCTCTGAATAATCTTTTGTTCTGTAAAACTGCTTGAAATTTAAAAAAGAACTTATCAATCGAGAATACAACAGAGATCTTTCTATTGGCTGTCTTCCTTTCAAACAGCTGATTGTCGCCATCTTGCACTTTCAAGGCCTGTCTATATAAAAGTTTTCTTAGCACGTTCAAACATTTGTCAACAATTTAAAGTTTCATAAAATAATATATTCCTATCCCGGTTTCCATTCACGTCCGATGTACAGTACGTCAGTATGCTCTTTGTTTTCATGTCTTTCCTCACATCCACATGAAATCAGAAATGGCCTTGACTTATGGCGTCGTCAGCTATTATTTTCGAACTTAGCAGATTTTGATTAACGATGTTTTGCATTCCCGTTTAAGAAATAATTTGTATTCCAATTTGTTATTTAATTATTCAGTAAATTTAATATTTGAAGTTGCATGCCTGAAAGTTTCGTAAACAGCATGTAACGTGACCTCAGTCACATGACATTTCAAAACACGGGATGCATCACAAGTACTCAGGTGCACGAGGAAGTAAATAATATAAAGCATACACTGATACAGCGTTAATACATTCCGTGCCCTGTGATCCGATGATGTCCGTCCTTTTTTCGTCGTTTCTTGGTCTTGCCATTCTTACTGTCGCGAGTGGAGCTCCATCTGAAGATCTGATAGTTGCATTGCCAGGATTAAAGAGTCCTCTTCCATGGAAACAATACTCAGGATACTTGAATGGAACTGATAAAAAACACCTTCATTACTGGTAATAGATTTTTTTTAGCTCACCTGAGTTCTGATCAAGTGTCTAAATATCTGCCTGTTTGGTTGTTTGTCTGTTATATCAGAGATGTACGTGCATGTCACTTGTTATATAATTGTTATATATTAAATTATTGTGTTTATGCATGTACCTAAGTTTGTAAATCTGCCTACAGGGTCCGAAATTAGGCTACCTTATTAGGGCTTAAATTTATAGTTCATACTCATAGTATAATTCAAATATGTGTCAGACTAGCCGTTCTTAATCACTGTTAATATGGCACTAGTTATAAATTATAATAGCAATTTCATCTTCTCCAGAGTGACCAGAGCCCTATCATGCCATCTGGAACCAAACTTTTGACAAAGAATTTTTGGTTGAAGGAAATTGAAAGTATGTTTGAATGGAGGGCCACTACCTTTTTCAAGAGGAGATAATTAAGAAATATTGAAAATTGAGATATTTGTTATAGTAGGAGAATAGCCTAAGATTCATATGAACTAAGTATTATGTAACAGTTGTACCATCTTACTGCATATATGTATATAGTACTGTAAGAGGAGAGGAGAAAAATGCAATGAACCAGACTGAGATTTGAACCTGCATGGGCTCCCTGAATCTCTAGTTTGGTGCTCTACCAACTGAGCTATAAGCCACTGGCAATCGAACCCACCAGACCATACATTCCTCTCCCTTAAAGGTCTTTGCTTCTTCCCTGGCAGGTCTTTTACCTGTCACTTCCAGGACATGGCATTATACTAAATGTAACAGGAAATGAGAAAAATGCAATGGACCAGACCTGAGTGAGGATTCAAACCTGGGCCCCCTGAATCTCCAGAACTAAAAGCTATTTCACCACTGGTGATCAAACCCATCTGAATGTCACAGTACATTAAATGTGCATGTAATTGTGATAAGGTTTGATCCCAGTCACATTCCAGATATTGAATTTGAAACATCAAGATGTATTTCCTTTGGAAGAAAACATCAATGGGTGCGTTCATAGTTCTGCCGTTGGTAGACAAAAGTTGCTGTTGGTAAAATTAATTACCATTGGCATGCCAGTGGTACCAATGTTTTTTGCCAATGGTATATTTTTCTGCAGACGATCTAGAGTGTGGTAAATATTGGTAAATGACGTCACAACTATTTATCGACATGGCGATATACCAATATACCAAAGAAACATAAGTAGTTCTTTTTCCAGATTTGGTTGTGGGCCTGTAAGTTTAGTATATTCTTTAGACCGAATAAGTCTTGCAATTGTAGATTGAAAAGTTTCCCTGGTGAGACGAAAGTGCATTTTAAAGTCATCAATAGAGTATTGTCATCAATAGAGTATTGAGGAATGGTAATCTCATAGTAGTTGCAAATTCTTGTTATGGAATCTGACCTTTCTTCGTACAGATTAGTTATTAAATCTGAGCTGTGCAGATGATGGATAGACAGGTTCAACATATGACAGCAATGTTGTTGCTGTATAATTAGGGCAGCAACAAGGTGTTTGCTGTTTGACATGTTTACAAATCTGTAAATCAGTATTACCAACGCTTCCATTGAACTCCCATTGGTAACATTGGTAAAATCAATACATTTGTATGCCAATACCCGTTCAGGGTTTATTTGTACAATTGGTACCGTTGTCAAATTATTGCACCATTGGTATATTGAAAGTTGGTACTACTGGTAGAACTCTGAACGCACCCAATGTAATGTACACACCACTGATCCATGGTGCCTCCTAACAATAATGTATGAATTTCAAATGGCTGATTTAAAATCCAGGATGTGTATGGAAATGTTATTAGTTGATTATACTTGAACCAAAATGGATAAGGCTTACAAAGGCAATGCCAACTGCCTAGTCCATTTTTTTTTCAAATAATAAAATATGTTCAAATCAATTATACTCACCAAAATAAAGGATCACTACATAGTTTATATTTACAGTTCAGATTTTATCATTTTTATGAGCATGAATGTCACTGGGAAAAAAAAAATGGTAATGGAATCTAAATGTTTTGTTGAATAATTAAATGGAAAGAACACGTGTTGCAGGATAGAAACATACATGTACAAAAAGGTAACATTACATTAAGGATACATTGAATTACCAAAGTGCATTTCCAGGATGAAATACAATAAGTGTCAACATAAAACCTTTTTTAAAAAAAATATAAAAATTAAAAAAAAAAATTATAGAATAAAACAGTGCACTTATTTCCTTTCCCTTAATTTTGCTGAAATTTCAGTGTAATCAATATTTTTTTCAAAGATAATAATTTAAGAAACAGAGAGTAAGAAATGTGATATTTCAATATAAGTGGAGTAGTCTGTAAGCATTTAAATAGTAAATACTGTACATCATAAAAATTTGTCATTCCTGCTGAGAGTCTTGGACTTGCAGAAGATTTAAATATAATTTGGCACACAAGTAGATTGCACTAAGCTACATAATTCTATTTATTTTTTTTTATATCAATGAATGGTGTTGCTATGGTTACTAAAAATAGAGATTCCTGTGAAATACTTTCAAAAGGCTACACCTCCTACAGTTTTAGTCTGAGTTTAATATTACTTGGCATGCTAGTAGACTACACTGAAATACGTAATTGTCTTTTAAATTATTCCTTTTTGATTTTGATGATTGTTGTTGCCATGGTTACTAAAAATAGAAATTTTTGTCAAATTCTTTCAAAAATTAACTTGTCCTGTAGTTTTGGTTCAATTGCAACAAATCTTGTAACAAAGAGACTTAACCAAGGATCATTATTCTATTAATTGCTGTTGCACAGTTTCAAGTCCAAGTGCTACTTTTTTCTTCCTTTGTTATAAGTACAAAAAAGTAGAGCTACAGTCTTATCAGAGACTTCTGGTTGTCAAATATTGTCATACAGGGATATCTTCTGGAAATCATTAGTGTTAAAGCAAAAGTGAGCAGGGAACTCACAGATGAACCTCAAACTTGAATTTATTTTCTTTTGATTCAGGTATTTGGAGTCTTCTAGTTCAACACAAGCAACAGATCCCCTTGTGCTGTGGATGAATGGAGGACCAGGGTGTAGTTCTGATCTAGGCCTTTTGTCAGAACATGGTCCATTCAGGGTATTAATAAAGCATTTGGATGATATTATTTAGCATCACTAATATGTTTAAGTATATTTCTTCAAGAAATTTGAAGTCTCAAAACATATGTGTAAGAAAAACTTGGGACTTGAGGGAACAGACAAATCATGCATCTGCATACAGTATGGAAATGTGGAATTCTACCAATTTGAAATCATATAATTTTTTTAAAGGAAATTAAGCCAATTTAAGGTACTTTAATCAATGTTCTGCCAAGGAAACAATCCTAATTTCCTCTCTACTAGCTCCCATTATCTTACTCAATTTTAATGTTACTGGTAACTAAATTTTCATCTCTAAATCCAACCAGATAGGACAAATTTGTACAGGGATATAATGGGGATTTGAATTCTGGAGACCCTCCTACCCATCCCATGTCCTAAAGAAATGATCTATTACATTTTTTAGATAACTTGCATTTTTTTATTACAGCGCCATAAACTTTTCAAGAATGAGTAAATTTGAAAATTTCATATATTACAACTAAGAAGGGAGTTATATTTTTGGCTTTCAGAATACTTACGTTAATTAATGATGTTTTTTGTTCTAGGTTGCTCCAGATGGAAAAACACTGACATTGAACCCATACAGCTGGAATAAGGTGATACATGTAGTAGATTGAAATATATATTACCCATCACAAAAAAACCTTCACAAAACTTGGAATAACTATAAGCACGACAGATCTTTGCACCACTGTATCTCATATACATTTCAAACTTTAAATGGCCAAAACATAACAATACATAGTCTGTTATCTTGGACCAAACAATCCACATGAAAATTGTATTCACTGAAAGTATAACATGGGAATAGTCCACAAATTGCCTTATACAATGGAGTGGAGAAAACTTCTACATTTATAAAATGATAGTTTTTAACTGTGAGCATGGAAAGTATGGTATAAATTATAGTATTTCCTATGTAGCTTGTAACACGAGCTTTGATTGGTTACAAAGTCGGCTGTAAATTTCCGTACACCCGACTTGAGCTGGGGGTAAAATATGTGACATAACAATGCATAGTTTCTCGATGATATAAAGCAAATAACATGATGACACGATGCATTGTAGGACGTACTAGTATATCTTATCGATAGCTTGAAACACAGTTGATTGGACTTGTTTACAAAGAATTTATTTGGGTACATTATAGGAAATAAATTCGTTATCCAGGTCCAATCAAGGGTGTACGGGGATTTACCCTGGGTTGTATTCCATACACCCTTCACCCTCAGCCTTCCCCTGATACCCTTCATTGGACCTGGATAACTAATAATGTACACATTGTATTTAATCTATGAAGTGCATGAAAAAAAAATTGTTATTCTGAGAGGGAGTTGAAAAGTTACCTTTTCTGAGCATTAATTTTCTGAAGTATTCTTGTAGTTACCCATAATTCAACTCATTTAGCTGATTGGTCAGTGTGTAAGTCAAAGTGGTGCCTCATGTAGCATATAAATATATTCTATTTATGTCAGAAAACATAGTTTTCTCAATCCATTTCAAAAATACAATAGGAAATCATTTGTTTGTGCACAAGATAATAATTGATATATACAACACATATTATAAGATGATAAATTCCAATTGCACTTGTTGAAACAAGAGGGTTACATAATTCTTCATGTGAAACAGATACAAAATTCTTCATGAAAAGTTTTTGTTTGTTGAAGAGAGAGGAGCTCATATAGTACATGCAGTTGCTACAGAGAAAGAAAAAAAATGTGTATTTCCAATATAGATTGATTTTGGACACATTATTCCTTTTTAATATTCACTTAACAATGTACATTTATTGAGAGCAACATGCATTTTGTCGGACCCAAGAACCAAACTGTTTGCCTGAGGCCATCAGGCCAAAGGCAAACAGTTTGTTTTGAGGGGTTGACAAAATGCATTTTGCTCGAGAACACAGTTAATAAATGTTCTGTTATACCTTTTATTTATTTATTTTATTTTTTTTTTTTGGACATACATGTATGTCGACCACCAACAAATGCAAATGAGATTTAGCTGACCCCACCCATTAATTGACGTAAGCGGTCCAACATCTCATCGACAGGTCCAATATCTCACTCCGCGGTCAAACATCAATTTTTTTATGCTCGCTCAGTAAAACATTGGAAATGTTAGACTTTTATTAGTATTGATTTATATAGGAACAAATTTTTAAAGGTATAACAAAATAAATTTAGTACATATAATGGGTGAGAGTATAAAAAATTTAATAGATGATTTATAATTGACATTAGAAACTTTCTTCACCATTAGAATTAATTTTTGTAGATTGCCAATATGCTGTACTTAGAGGCACCAGCGGGGGTGGGGTTTTCCTATGCTGATGATAAAGAATATAAAACAAATGATGATGAGGTAAGAATTTGTCTCTGTCTGTGCATAAAAAAAGTAGACTGTGAACATTTGAAGAGATTATTATGTTTGGTAAACAACCAGGCTATTCCTTTATTTGGAATATTTTAGTGTACAAAAACAGTCAAATTTTGCCTCGAATTTGATGGGGTTGAGAAAAATCTATTAGAAATCCGAGGATTCAAAATATTGAGGTTAAAATACATAAAAACAATAGTAGTTGGGACTTCCAACTCACTTCGACATAGCTATGGTATTCGATTGTTCTATATTATACAGAAGTTCACTTGTACTATTATTTGTTACATTATTTAATAAGTAGAATTAGAATGCTACATCATTTGAGTAGATTCCAATGAAATTAATTTTTCATTCTTAATTTGATCCTATAAACCAAGTCTCCTACGAAAAAGTTCAGGACATGGGAAATGCATTGACTTAATTACTTGTTCCACATGTTTATATTTCTTCTTCACATTGCACTGGCTTTGAACAGTTTGTCTATCTACTCATAACCACAGAGAAAATCTGCTGAGTAGAAATACTCTAGTCATACTTTTTTTCCGTGTGGGATTAATTTACGTTATGTACAAGGTCACACATTTTCCGTGGAAAATTGTCACAGAGTATCTGAAGTGCAATCAAGACATATAATGGGAATCCAAGAAATGCATGTAATTTTCTACCCAAAAATTGTGATTCCGTGGAATTTTGACCCCATGGAAAAAAGTACATTTACAATAACTAAGGCATCCCCAAATCCATATAAGCAGTAAAGCCTGTTTTAATAGCATCAAACAAAAATATAGTGAAGACTTGCTTGTAACAGAGTCATTTTTCCAAACAATGAGAAAAATATTAAAAGGATATAAGACATTTCAGATTTTATGAAGCAAACTCAGGTGGCCCAAATTTGATGGAGATATGTAATGGAGAGTGTAATTGTTTTACTTTATGCCCTGTTCACACGGAGAGTTTAATTCGAATTAAACGTAAGTTACTGCGAATTAAATTTGATTCGCGTTCACACGGAGAATTTAAAGCGAATTAGTTTAATTCGAATTAGTTTACTGCGCATTAAATTACTTCGCATTAGCTCCGTGTGAACGCTAAGTGAAGCTAATTCGAATTAAATTCTGACGCATGCGTAAGGGCAGAATTAAGTCACAGGCCACATGCCGATGGTCAAATATAGGTACTTGTGCTATTTTTGAGTGGAAAACAAAGGAAAATTATGTTAATCACTAAAATGTGTACAGACACTATGACACTATGTCAAATGTATACCTGCTCTGCACAATATGACGTGATTTGTAAATGACGTCATAAAAGCCTCACCGAAAAGCCTTGTTGTAGAAATAAAATTATAATTCGCATTAGTTTACTTCGCATTAGCTGTCGTGTGAACGCAATTTAATTCGCATTAGTTTAATTCGCATCATTTTACTTCGCATTAATTTACTGCGAATTAAACTCTCCGTGTGAACAGGGCATTATTTTATTTTTTTTTTAGGTCTCCCTTTATAATTATATGGCTCTGAAAGATTTCTTCAGGAAATTTCCAGAATTGACCAAAAATGAATTTTTTATAACTGGTGAAAGTTATGGTGGAATTTATGTACCAACACTATCTCAGCGAGTCATCAAGGATCCCAGTATAAACTTCCAAGGATTTGCTGTGGGTAATGGAATATCAGACTATGGAATGAACACAGACTCTCTAGTGTATTTTGCCTATAATCATGGATTGATTGGACAAAAGTGAGTTCTTTCTTGGATGTGATTTTTTTTGGTCATCATAGCTCAAACCAATTTCTGCTACTTTGTTTTATTCACAAATGGTTCTTGTCATGACCAAATTATTATATTGTATATTTATCAAAAATGTTTCCTTAGTCACAACAATTCAGATTTCTTACTGTTGAATCTCGAATAAAAGTCGTTGCAAATGTAACAGGTAAGGAGAAAATTTATGAATTGACCTGCAATTGAACCTCGGACCCCTGCATTACTAATCAGGTGCTCTAATCACTGAGCTCCCCAGGCCAGTATCCATATGGTCCATATAGTCCAAATCACTTTATTCCTCCCTCCTTAAATTTGTCTTTGCCCTTAAAGACACACAGTCCAGATTCTTTAGCCCCTGGCAGAACATTCACCTGCAAGTCCAGGGGTGTTCAATGGCACCAAATGTAACAGGAAAGGAGAACATTTATGGCTTGACCTGGAATTGAACCAAGGACCCCAGCAATACTAGTCAGGTGCTCTAACCACTGAGCTACCCAGGCAGATATCCACTGTCCAGTGTCCATATAGCCCAAAACAATACACAAATAATACTTGGTTTACAGTATAAAATAGATAGGGAAATACCTTCAAGATATATTTTGATATATTATTTTCTTATTACTTTCAATTTTCAAAAAACTATTTTTGTAAACAAGTTTCTATCAAGGGAGAGAACTTACATACAGTCTAGTACTAGACATTCTTGCCTGCTATCTAATCCCTTTTGGAAATAAATATTGTTTGAATTAAATAAAATGTATTTTTTTAATAGATCAGTGTCATAAACATACAATACTTTGAATTGAAACGAAGTTTTAGGCAGGAGTTTTACTAATTTTCAGAATTTGGGAAGATTTGGGAAGCTGTTGTGGAGGTAATCTGACCAGATGTACATTTCACAGTAATCCAAGCAAGAGTCCAATGTGTGGTAGAGCAGTAAGTATTAAAATAATTCTATCAGGCTGTAAAACTGAGGCCTGTTCCACAAAGCAAATGTTTGCAAGTGCTCGCGAACATTTCTGTTGGAGAGATAAGGAATTTTGGTGAGCGCTCTCTCTTTTGAACAGTCCTCAGACCTGATTAATTTGATAGTAATTCATTTACTGGGATATCAATCATTTTGATATTCATTGATAGTAATTCATTTATTTGTATCATGTACAGTGAGACTTGTCTAATCCGGATGTTGTATATTCTGAAATCTTGCCTAATACATACGGTGTAAACTTGAAGACCCTTTCAGTAAATTCAATTGTAAAAAATATTATCTAATCCAGAATGTTGTCTTATCCGGTCAATGTCTATGGAACCAGTGGTGTCTGACAAGACAAGTTTTACTGTATACAAATACAGTAAAAACTGTATGATCTGATACATGTGCAATCCATTTCACTGCGAAGTCAATGAATCTTATTTTAATTCCCTCTTTGCTATTTTTGATGTTCTTTATACTGTGCAATCCAACACACTGTCTATACTGACACAAATTTGTGTCATTTGTGTCAATTAAATGATGGATGCTGACCCATTGTTAAGAGAGATAACTCAACAGTGATAATTCTTTACGTTTCTTTTCTAAAATTTTCATCTTCAGCAATTGTTTGTCTCAATATTTTGACCCACACTGTATACTAATTTAAGTCCTAAAATATCCTCATCTATTGTATAAAAAAATGTCTTGATTACAAGAAAAACAAATATTTTAGTGAGTAGAGGGCTATTTTCCTTAGGGAAGATTATTAATACATGTAGCTTGATTAAAACAATATTGAAATTTTATTGCAGATAAGTGAAGTTGAAACGATAGTGGGCATGAGTGGTTTAAATGCATACAATCTGTATGCTAAATGTGAGTCCAATAAGGCTGGTGTCTGGTTTGACAAGGAAACAAATGCCTACACTTACTCCTTGTTCCCATGGCATTACCATAGAAATCCTGAATACAAGAAACAACTAAAGGTAATGTCAACTTTTAAAAATTGAATTTTCAAAATGTTTAATTGTATTGAATGAAAACAATTCTGTGGACTTATCAAGATTCAAGACCACTTAATTGAGTCCATTTTCAGAGAATATGAAAGCAATTTGCATGGTATTGACCATTTGTACACTGGAACCTTCAATTCAGAATTTTCACATATACACTGTATAAGCTTATAAAAAAAATTTGATATTAATATACCTTTCTATATCTCCAATACCACATACACGTTTTTTATGCCCTCGTATCGAAGAGGGGGGGGGTATAGTTTTTGCCCTGTTCGTCCATCTGTCTGTCTGTTTGTCCACAAAAACTTTAATATTGCCCATAACTTTTGATTGGTTGGAGCTATTGCTTTCATATTTCACATGTGTATTCCTTGTGACTAGACCTTTCTTCGGGTAGCATCATGTTTGACCTTTTGATCTTGACCTTGGAGTTTGACCCAGTTTCACAAAATTTTACCAAACTTTAACCTTGCGCATAACTTTTGAACAATTGGTGCTAGAGCTTTCATACTTCACATGTTTAATACTTGTGACAAGACCTTCCTTTGGATACCAACATCTTTGACCCTTTGACTTTGACCTTGGAGTTTGACCTACTTTTGGAAAACTTTAACCTTAGTCATAACTTTTGAATGGTTTGTGCTAGGGCTTTCATATTTGAAATGTTTATTCCTTGTGACAAGACCTTCCTTTAAATACCAACAATTGTAATCCATTGACCATGACCTTGGAGTTTGACCTACTTTTGCTAATCTTTAACCTTGGCCATAACTTTTGAACGATTTGTGCTACGGCTTTCTTATTTCACTTGTGTATTTCTTGTAAGAAGGCCTTTCCTTGGGCACCATTAATTTTGACCATTTTACCTTGACCTTGATGCTTGACTTTTGAAAACTTTAACCTTTTCCATATCTATTCAATGGTGCTGCTAGTGCTTTCATATTTCACAGGTATCTTCCTCAAGATGAGACCTTACTTTGGGTACCTACATATTTGATTTGCATTTGAAAAAGTTTAACCTTTGCTATAAGTTGCCATATTGGGGCATTAGTGTTTCACAAACACATTTTGTTTTTTCATGTTTTATAAAGCAATTCCTTTTTGTTTTGATATTTAGGCCAAAAAAAATTAATCAATAATTTCTCAGGCACCGCGGCATCAGGTCAAACACTACCGCATTGATCAATTTTATTGACATTGAAAAGGGAAATAACTCAATTTTTGATTTTTCCAAACTGAAAAAGAAAATTGAGTTATTCCCCTTTTCATAACTGCTAATAGATAGACGTTTTTATTAGATAAAAAATACATTTCTTGTTGATACAGTATTTTATGAATTAACTTTGTTTGGAATAACATTATTTAAAGTTGAATGCACATTATAATTAATGAGAGAACAAAAAAAGTAAGAATCAGTTGATATCATCATTTTGTTGAACGACTGATATGAAAAAAAAGGTATAACATCTGCTTCAAAAAAAAAAAAAAAAAAAAAGAACCTGCCTGCCGCATTGAATTTTGAAATTTTTGGCCTGAGAAACTATTTATTAATTTTTTATGGCCTTACAATGCTACACTGCTTGTTTTACAGTTTGTCCAGCATTTGATGAGTCAAGGTCATAACCTCCGTCTTACCCCACCGTGTTTAAACTACAATAATGTGATAAAGTACATGAGATCTAAAGAAACTAGAAAAGCACTCCACATTCCAGATAATGTACAAGCATGGGATATTTGCAGGTATGATCATATACAAAGCAATTAAGGTGTTAGGACTTTATTTTCAGTGTTAAAATACATGTATCGAAAGCATTTTGGAATTGCTAGCATGATTTCATTTTTTTTTAATTTTTTGTTTATTTGATTGAAATTTGTTCACAACTTTTGAGATGTAATGTTTACAGTCAAACAAACAGATGTGGGTGAACATGCTGTCCAACATTGTTGGCAGAGGTAATTTGTGCCAAAAGGATAGGTATAAAAATACACATACCACAGTTTATAACAAAGGCACCTCAAAGTGAAGCATCCCTTTGCAACATGATTTCATTCAAAGAACACCAACAGATGGATACCTGTCACTGTCCTTCACTTTTGATCTTATGGCCTTAGAATCAAAAGGCTTCTTCTCTAAACCACCATGCATCTCTGTTGAAATTTTATGACTAGACTCTTTAAACTGAGTCTGAAATTTAGTTTTTACCTATCACAGTTTTTGCCCTTGATCATTTAAATGTTGAAATAATAGTCTTCTCCCCTGGTCACTCTGCATCTCTATAACAAGAAGAAACTGATAAATCAGTGATACTCTTCAAATTGGGTTGACTCAATTACATCTACATGTATCACAGTCTTTGATCGTAAGCTATGACCTTCTATCCCCCCAATGTATGTGGGTGTTCCTCCTCACCTACAACTTCTATAGTAAGTTTGAGACTGAAAGGTTGAATGCTTCTCTTCATATTGTGTCTACAATAACGCTGAGGTCTCAGGGTAACTTTGACAGTAACATTTGACATTTTGAATCTCAAATGAATAAGCATATTCCTATCTGGTACATGTACTCCTTATCACATTCACAACACTGTTAGGTAGGGATGTGCGATTTTATCAGTATACTGGTATATCATGATTTTTTATTGCATGATACGTATCGTGATACAGAGACTAAAATACCAGTATTTGGTACATAGTTTTAAATTCCGGAAACTATTCATTTATTTCTTCAAACTGCTAAATAACTATTACAAGAAGTGTAAAAAAAATGTTGAAAACAGTTAAACAATGACATCCAAATGTGCTTCATATTATATAAATAAAAAAATTTAAAAAGTGAAGTTATGTTTTTACAAGGAAATATAAGAAATAATATGGAAATTCATTTGAAATTGTAGTAAAAATTGCGTATAAAAATATCATGATATTGTCATGATATTTTTGGAAAAAATCATGATATATCACTATACAAATTTTTTGGCAATACCCATCCCTACTGTTAGGAACCCACACATGTTCATAGTCATGTACAGGCCAGTTACTGTTTTCCCTTGCAAATTTGTTGTGAGGGGATAATAATCTGACACTGATGACCTATTGCTTTTCAGTTCATAATAATTTTAAAATTTCAAGAAAAAGCTCTATAGTAACTATTAGACACCAAGAGTGGAGTTTAGTTTTAGGTTGTTTTAACCTCTACCAAAAAAGTAAAGTAAGTAAAACACACATATAACAAAGTGCCAGGGACGGAACATTTTGCTTTGTTATAGACGTAACTCGCTATATCTGTTAAGTTCCCAAAATATTTTAAAGCCATGGGGAATGAAAATCACTTTGCTGTAAGTGTCAATTCTTTCTAAGTGTGTTCACTATAAGTGAGTTTTACTGTAGTTTACAGTAACTGACTTCTCATTAAACTACTGCAGCAGACACAATTAATGTTTTTCAAAAGCCTAAATGAATGACTAACTTTTGTATCCCCTGTCAGCTGCAGGTAAAGATGACCAAGTTTTTTAAGAATCTTCTATACACATTAATGAAAAATGTTTTTTGGACTTTGAGAAAATTATATTGTATAAAGATGAAAATTGAGTTGATCTATTTCATTTTTAACAAAAATACCTGTAAGTTACATCCTGTCCCAGAAAGAATGTCTATAAAGACAACAAAATAATGAACAGAAATCAGGGTTGCTTTCTTAAATGGGGAAAACACATGCTGATAAAGTATTTACTTACTTCGTTTTGGTATAATACAATGTTAAGAATAACTGATTACAAACTAATTATTACAAAGTAGATTTCATTTTTCAATTTTAAGGTAGTCCGATCCTCAGGTTCTGAAAATCAGCTTTTAAGTAATGGAAAATGCTCACAAAAATGTCTCTGATTTCACATAGTAACATGAATTTACCAATGAAATTTCTTCAAAGTTCATCATTAAATTTAATCATACTATATAGGGAAAATTATCAAATCTCAAATATATCTTCTGGAAATGCAAATGAAAACACCGGCCAGCTATACATTTTCTTATTGAAAATTGATCAGCAAATATAATTTAGGATAGAAAAATACAGGTATCCAGGTATTTGGAAAAAATTACGTCTTTTTTATGCTTGTACAGTATTTTAGTTCTTTTTACTTCAATTGTCATATAATACATAGTGTAAAAAGCTTGTGCTTTCATGGCTAGACATCACATATCACATTTAATTTCATATCATGCTAACAAGCAGTGGTATCTAATGCTAGACTAAAGAAAATTCGATTTCTTTAAAAATGAATTCACTTTTTTTCTTCTATGGGGTACAAATGTCAACTTTTTACAGGATCGTTTCTAAGACTTCAAAGAACCATGAATCTTATTAATAAGATGCATAAAATGAAAATTGTTGCATGAAAAGATCTCAAATTCAAGCTTAAATTTGAAACTTTTTAAATAAAATAATAAATTTAAGAGTTATCCTTCCTGGCTGAGGATCTGATATCCTTAAATTAAAGGACAGATCACTCTAACTGCATAAAAGTACATGTACAATGAAATTAGAATTCTTTAGTGTACAAAAAGTCCTGAAACATAGCTCTGTATCAAATTAGCTGCTTTAAAGGATGATGCAGTCATGGTGATGTTTTGATTGCCCAAACATTCTTACTTGATGCATTTTGTAGCTATTTTATTATTTCCAAAGTAACTTACAGTAGGATAATAACAACCTTGCAAGATGCATTTAGACCTGCATGCAGTTATCATTTACATGTAAATTGTGTGGTAAAATAGGACCTAATCAGTGCGTTTGTTTGGTTTAGACATCAGGTAGACTGACAATGTAAAATAAAAAAAAATTACCTGTATTATACAAAGTAGTTTTGAGTACTGTAGTTCAGTTAATATGACAGATTTGAACAATCACCTGTATACAAATGTATGTATGAATATTTTTACAATTTAGCTACAGAATAATAAGCAGTAAAAGCTTTGATGTAACATCTACATTAAATTTATGTTGCAGTGCAGTGGTTGGAGCACAGTATAAAACCCTTTATCAATCAATGAAGATACCATACATAGATGTACTAAACAAAGGGGTAAGTAGACAGATATGCCGTATATTACTGTATTAAAATGTACAAGCTCAGCGTAGTTTGTCAAAAATGCAGACCTTTTCATTGTCAAATTCATAATTATTTTTATGTGCCCGTCTTTTGATAGACAGTTTAATGGTACTGGCTTCCTTATTTGTCCTGTTTTTTGTGTTCAAATCACATCTTGTACACTGTACACTTGTATATCTGTATATCTTGTACACAAGAACCTTCAAACCTTGTCAGTTGATGCATCTTTGGGGAAGGTATATTAAAACACCGAAGTAGGTCACCCTGACTTTATTTTGTAATTATATGGCTATAAATATTCAAGTCATGACTGGATCTCTGATGCCTAGGACCATCAAACTATGTTCAGTTGATACATCTTGGGGGGGGGGGGGTGTCTTGCAACCCAAAAGTATAGGTAACTCAATTTAAGTGTATAGTCATGAATGAGAGAGTCATTTGTAACTATGAACATACATGGATATGCATGGTGTAGTTCCAGACAAGCATATCATATTGTACCACAGCAGTTACTCTTTATTATCCCCTTGCAACAAAGTTGGAGGGGATATAGTAACAGGCTTGTGTGTGTGAGTGTGTGGGTGCATGCATAACAGAAGTTATGCAAGTAATAATTTATATTGAGATCTATGTGCTCTTTTGCGAGGAGGGGAAGCTCTACTTTACAGTGCCATTTTTTTTAATTCCAGAAGAGGATACTGGTGTATAATGGAGATGTTGATATGGCCTGTAATTTTCTGGGAGATGAATGGTTTACAGATGATCTCAATCTTAAGGTACAAAAATAAACAGTTGTTTTGTTTTATTTTGGAATTATGTCCTATTAGCTGAGCAAATTTAAGTTTAATGGTGAAATGTAAAGAGTATATGATATGTGATTTAAAAATTATTGTCATCAACATGCTATTAAACTACAATTGTACAACCTTGCATAAAATCAATACTGAAGAAGTACTTTTTTATGCTTGTATTAATTTAAGCTATGTACATGGTCACAGATTTTCCACAGAAAATTATCCCAGCTTACTTAAAGTATGTGTAAGGCATATAGTGGCAATTAAAGAAATCCACAAAATTTTCTACATTGATTCCGTGGAATTATATATGACTCTGTGGAAAAAGTTTGTTCATAGTAACTTAAGACGTGGTCAGTTAGGCTTATGTTTGGGATTATAAAGGGTTTCAATTATCTGTGTTTTATAATTATAGGTGAAAGTTCCAAGAAAAATATGGAAGACGATGGTGGAGGATGGAACGTTACAAGTAGCAGGTTTTGTGAAGCAGTTTGAGAATCTTACCGTGGTTACAGTCAGGGTAGGACTTTCTGTTAACTTCTGTCCTTAAATTCACTGACATTTACAATCCTACTTTTTCAAATGTTTTAATGTTGTATATAGAGCTTTAGGTTTTCTACACAATAATTTGAACTATATACATGTAATTCAAATATGAATCCATATATGAAAGATGTCTGATTTCAAATTGACTTTGTGCATTTTGCTTGAAGATTTTTTTTTTTAAAAGATCTTGCTTTACCTTCATATTTATTACATTAATAAGTGCTTGTATGAGAAACAGTAATACCTATACATGATCATTTTATTTTCTTCCAGGGAGCTGGCCACATGGTGCCTACAGACAAACCATCACAAGCTTTATACATGTTTACAAATTTTATACAGAACAAGCCTTACATGTCATAATGGAGTTTTGTAAATTTTGTAATATAGTCTGAAATTTGTTACTCTTTTTACCAAGTTTTATTATAATAAACTTTGAAATGTAGAAAAAAAAACAGAACCAGAGGCTTTGTTTGTTTGTATGTTTATTTGTCTGCTTTATGTTCTTTCAAAAATATTTCACTTGTATTGCACTGCCACCAATTGCAAGTGAGAGGCTGTATTTAAACTGTATGCTCTATTTATGGCCAATGAAGTTTGTGTAAAATTTGAGGAAATGATAAAAAGTATAAGAAATATATTACTCTGTCCCATCTGAATTCACATAAAACAAATTTAATGAATGTTTTAAGCATCACTTGCTATTTAAAATAATTTCACTAGGATGTTTATTTCACAGATGTATTCTGCCTTAAAATCATAGAAAATAGAAGGGAAACAAAAGAAAAACACACACGTATAGTAAATTTCAATCAAGATATTCTTAGAGTAATCTGAATTATTACATTTTCAAGAGTGAAATACTGTGATTTATTTATTGAATAAAAGTGATATTCTCTCACAGTGTGAAAGGATACCAAAGTGATATTCTCTTACAGTGTGAAAGGATATCAAAGTAAGTAAAAAATAATTTCTGGCCTGTATTAAGATAGAGATTATAGTAACTAAACCATCTTAACAGAGACTAAAACTGCTTATTTCTTCGCAAATATGTTGCTAAAATCAATGTTACAATTTTCCAGTCTCACAACTGCTAAGTTATGATGTCTCAACCGCTCAACTATGATGTCACAGCCTTTGACACTGTGTTAAGAAAAGACAGAGGCAAAGGGAAAATCAAAGAAAATATAATAAACAGAAAATTCAATGTTTTGTAGTTGGATATGGAATTTATTTCACTTGTGAGACAGGATTTTTTTAAAAAATATTTTCACTCATGCTTCGCACTCGTAAAAATATCAAAAAATCCTGTCCCACTCGTGAAATAAATTCTACATCCAACTACAAAACATTGAATATCCTCTATGTATCTTGTGGGAAAAAAATAATACATCATATTAATTTGAACGGGGGGGGGGGGGGCTCACTTTTTATATAATAATATATAATGAGGAATATGTAAAACCTAATTCCTTCAAGGAAAGAAATAGACAAAGAAGGCGGTTTGGGCTTTTGAAAGAAAGAAAAAACAGAATAATTTATAGTGGCTCATAGTGAAAGTGTTTTCGAGTATTTTTGTCATCAAAATTAAAGCGTTGTTTAATGCGGAATAGGGCATTTAAGTACACGGAGATTATCGTGACACTTGTATTGAAGGAAAACTATCTAGTTATTTGGTTTTACGATGTGCACAAAGACATTTGAAAATGTCATTATATAGGAATAAAACTAGCTCTATACGTGCTTGACTTTATTTATAAAGTACAGAAGGAGTTCAATTTGTGGAAATTTCAGTGCATTAAATAAAGAGTGAATATGGTTTGCAAAATGAATGCGACAATGCTCATTGGGGATGTACCGTATATACAGTTACAGAACACGGTAAACGGACGTATTTTAGCGCTGATCGTATTTTAGCTCCTTTTACGCTAATACATGATTTAAACCAATATTTATCGTTTTCAACACTCAAGTGCGCTAATTTCTGACTGCGCTAATCAGTTCAAGAGGAAGATGGTGGTAAATTTTGAGTGAGCTAATTTATGAACATTTACAGTGACTAGTTTGTATGTCTGTTTTTATGTATGTTTTAAACTTACTTTTAAAACATGATCCTCAAATGTTAACTTTCCCAGGATAGATTACAGTCAGATGTACGCTTTTTGAAAATTTTAAAGTATGTGATTTTTTGATTGATATAAGAAAAGCTGCTCTTTAAAAAACGCGCATTTGATATATTCAACCTGCGCTCTAAAAAAAAAAACAAAACAAAAAAAAAAACAAGAAAACAGAAGCGCGGGGAGTATGAATCTAGAAGCAATGATTTTGTGATGTGCTTACTTTCTCATTTATAAACATCTTTAAATATATGTACTATACACTAAAAAAATACTGGATTTAGAACTAAATAAATTTATTTAGACACGTATCTTTAAGTGAAAAGGTATTGGGATAATTTCATTTGGGAATAAAATCGTTTTATGAGGATAGGCAAAAATTAAAGTGACAAACATTTTTGAATTCGTATTTATACGTATGCATCATGGTAAAAAAAATATATATTGACAGATATTTGCTTTTCTCGAGTTAAGTATGTTGTTATATTTTTTGTTTTTCACAAAATCCTATTCCATGGTTCTATTGGAGCAGAAATTTTGTTTTCCAGAAACCATTACATCTGTTGAAAATCGTATGGAAGTCCAGACTTCAAGAATATACGACATAGGAATCATATTTCATGCCGTATACCGATTTTTATTTAAAAATTAAATATATAAGTATACGACTACGTGTACTTATTTTCAATTAAAAATCAGTAAACGACACATATGCAATCCACCTACCTGGTATATGGAAACATGTTATATACCTCGAAAATCACGAAATACAGAACTGAACATATTGCAACAGTTAATACCTCAGGAGTCTTTCAAATAGTTTTATTGTCTTGTTTTACATAATTTCTTTGTAAATGCCTTAACACGACTATCTAAATTCTGAAATGTCAGTTTTTCTTTTGCCTTTAATCTTTTCAAGGATTCGACTTTTTTGTCGGGTACGGGTGGTTCGTTATCCTCTTTATATGTGAACATAGTTTTTAAAGTCCGATATGATTTCGATTTGTGTTCATCTTCATTTGGTGTATCGGAGCCCTTCTTAGTACAAAACTGTCCTTCAGAATCACTAGGCCTAGTTTGAGATATTCCCGTCATAGGACGATTGAGAGACAGTATATTTATGGTCAATCTATTCGCCGTTGGAGAACTCTCCCCTTTTGGCCCCGGGTTCCGTGAAAAGTGACTGGTGTTTGGTCGAGTCTGAAGACCATGCGGTAACTTTCTCGTAGACCGTTGAAATGCCGACTGGGACCTCCCTTGTTTGATATTATTTGACAGAACTGGATATTTTTGTTTTCCTTGTCTTGTTGGAGGTCGTGAACGTTGCCTATCGTTCTCAAATGGTTGGGTGTAAATGTTCCTTTTGCTTTTGGGTCTTTTTTCAATGATCTGATTTCCTGGTCCAAATTCCAAAACACAATTGTTGGGAACTCTGTCCAGAATATCGGCCACTGAATGGACTTTGGTGAAAGGAAAGTGACGTCGTTTTTCGTGGTCTTTATGAAATTCCTCTCCATCAAAGTCAATAGATTTTATAGTTAATGTTTTCTCAAGTTCGTGAATCATATCCAGTTCACGGTCGTATTTAAAGTGGTTACGTTTGCTGAGATGGGCAGCTTTGGCGATCCTTTCCAACATCAAACGATTCTCTAAATGGTTCGCTGCACGGACTGGTCTACTGAATTCTTTGTATAAAAACTTTGGTTGATTGGATTGGCGCATATATTCCTTTCCACGCAATTCATCATTAAGTTGCTTTACTATTTCTCCCATCTTTATCGAAAGAAAATAAACACTGAATTAAAAACAAAAGTTTCCAGGTCACAGACAATGTAAGATCATGGAAATCAATCATTTACCATTAGATTGTGGAAAAGGAGCAAGGCCGTATGTAATAACAATGAAAACAGAAATATTTACGTTTAAGATAACCTTAATAAAGGCTTTTACTTATTACGTTTTGGTGTTCTAGAGAAGCAGAAGTTTAAATTTCCCAATGTTAACAATAGCGTAGAAAAACAATTATATTTAATCCTTTGCCTTCTTAATAGAGAGATACACAACATAAGTAATATTTTAAAAAGAATTGACAGTTTATTGATAAATACTGTTTTCTTCCAGGAGATTTAGCCTTAGTTTTTCTATTCTAAGTTACTTTTTAAGTCTGCCTGCCCGTCGACATCTATCATAATTGTTTGTTAGCTTTTTTATGCTCATGTTATTTTAAAGTTTTGCAATTTAAGAAATTCAAAACTATCTGAAACTCATCTCCAGAAGCATGGGATTTTGTTAAAGAAAAGTTTGGCACAGGGTAACGTTCACTTAACAGAATTCAAGTTTGTTGTATGAACGAGTGTATTCTTTTCAAGAGGAAATGGGGGTGGGGGTACTGAAAACTAAAACCGACATAATTTATGTGAAAAGTTCCTTATGTATACTGCAGAAAGTTGTTCAAATCATGGCTTTAATTGAAAGAACAGAAACGAATTTATCAGGCGGCAGTAAATACACAAATTTATAATATAGCTACCACCAAGTAAATTCAAAATTTATTCAATTTCTATACTGTTTTCATCTCTAGAGTCTATAAACCAACAGCCGAACGGTCATTCTACAATTTATAATTTTCAACCTGCAAAGAACCCCCCCCCCATTTATGAGCTTAATTTTTTTAAATACGTTTCACAAAGAAAAATATACTTGTGTATGTATATCCTTCAAAATATTATACGTAACCCCCCCCCCCCCATTATACAAGAAAATCTGAGCCGTCTCCAAATTTTCCAATTTTCTTCAACGCCTAAGCCATAAATGCGGTTACCACGATATATTAAAATTCATAAGCTTCCACGATTATGGAACATCCCCCATCTGTACAATTAAAGATATCAAGGTACTATTCCTGATTGAACTGTAACTAATATCTATTTAATTACCAGACAGCTCTGTTTTTGTTGAGATTATAGAAGATTATACAGATGCTTAGTGTGTCAATAAATTTTATTAAATTTCTAAAACTTCTCAATCCAAACTAATTTTATAGTATTATTTGACAAATTCCAGGGCACACGAAATGCAATATATCTTTTATCATCTTGAGAAACTCAGGATTATGGATCAACATTATGTACACGTAATACACGAAAACATAGAAACGACGGGATTCGATGAAGGAGGTAAATGTCCAATCAATATTGATTTCCGTTATTAAATAGAAAGTGGTCGAAAATTGTCAAGTACAGTTGAAAAAGAAAAGTTTTTTTTGTGTGTGTGGAAACCTATTTTGAAAGAAATCACGAGGCTCATGGGCCTCAACGCTCACTGAGTCGCCTTGTCCTCGATGTTCTTTAAAAGATTTTTTCTCTCTATTCCCATGTTAAACTTTTCACCTATTGCGACTGTAACCTTTCCAAAGGTACTGACTTTCCAAAACTTTTAAACTCCACTACATGCTGAGGTTGTTTTATATCAATATACATGATCAATTATGCCATACTATTCTTCAGAATATTTTTAAATATTTTCTCTATATCCTTCTAAGTTTTATTTTGACCCCATCGTAACCCTAAGGGTCATGATTTGAACAAACTGCACGTAGAAATGAATCCAATAATCAAGCTGGCGACTTTCTATGCTCAAAAGCTTTCAAAACCTTATAACCTGAACATTCATTCGAAAAATAATGACCAGACATCAAAAGCAAGAACAACATTATGTATCCTTGACTGCTATATCTTTTCAAGTTGCAAGTTTCTTCTTTACAAATTCATGCTCATCTCTGAGATTGTTACACTTTCAATCGGTGTGGTGACCTTGACCTTGTTCAAATGACTTTAAATCAAGGCCAGAATACGTCTTCTAGTCATGAGAGACTTTTCTTCAAATAAAAAAAAACCCTCCCTGGCTTGAAGTTACGATAATTTTTATTTTAATGTTGGAGACAGATTTAAAACAACATCCCTTCTCCCGACTGCGTAAAAAAACTACAAATGATAATTTTAAAGGAATTAATTATATCTACGCAGTTGTGAAAGGTTCAGGCAAATGGAACTAATACCGTAAATGAAGGAGCATTTTGGAAACAAAAAGCCAGATGCTGGACAGACAGACGGACGACCAATAATATAGATTTGAAAGCCCTTCATTTTTTTTCGACCAGTGCGAACAATAAAAATATTTGACAAGGTTCGCTGCTCTATATTAATCAAGATAAATCGTTTTGTTATACATGTATAGATACATACTTATAACAGTAAAACATAAAGCTCATAATAAACCGTTACATTTTTCTGTCTTAAAACGCCTCCTCTCAAAAAAGAATTTTAAAAAATGTAGACAATTGCTTAACTTGGGAAATATGTCAGTAACACAGATTTATCTAGTATACATATTGGTTAATATCATAGACAGCTACTTTACCTTCTGGCATCAAAAAGGCGCTGACATACTGCTCCAGTGTATAAGATATACTAAGCCCAATGTCCTTTGTTCCGTGTACAATACACCACACTGAAGACATGCAAACTTCTGACGGTTTGTTTGATTTAGTGCAAGTTGGTAAACCTAATTTAAACAACGGATGATTATCTGTACAAAAGGAATATTCGTTTACATAGGATCTAAATTTCTCAAGACACTAGTAAGTGCGCGAGAGATTTAAAATTATAAAAGAAGGGAATTTGTTTATTTTGTCAATTTACACTTTACACTTCTTTGTGGACGTCTATACAATGTACAGCGTTTTAAAATACTGTGATGCCACCTTAATAAGTGCATGATTAATGAACATTTTTTAAACAAATTATTGCATGCAAACACTAAACATGGCCGAAGGAACGGGGGGCATGCCCCCCAATAATTTTGCCGATATATAGATTACTATAGAAAACATAGCTACTATATGCTTGTACCCCCTCAATAAAAACGTCTGACTTTTTTCTTTTGGCTTGTCAAGGAAAGGAATTTTTGGTAGTTGATAGTGCCCCCAACTGAAAATGTATGGCTGTGCCCCCCCCCCCCAACTGAAATTGCTTCCTTCCTTCCGGGCCTGCTAAAATTTGTGTTTATCCTCTTTACTTGTTTTGCACTGTCTTTTATATGGTAGAGGAAATGTCTATGAAAAGCCAAGAACTGCCCAGCCTGGAATAATACGGCTTTTTAAGATTTTTTTGCTAAAGACGGCAAAGCTTTTTGAATAAGCTATACTTGTATAGTGTAGATGCATTGTCCATAGCAGGCATGCGCGGATCTAGAAGGGGGGGGGGGGTCGGGGGTCCGTACCTCCTCCCCCCCCCCCCTGGAATTTGCAGTTATTAAAAGTATAATCTGAAGCAAATAAAAAATGACTTTGGAACCCCCCCCCCCTAGAAAACGTGGACCTCAGGTAATGTCTATAAAAAGCCAAGAACTGCCCAGCCTGGAATAATACGGCCTTTTAAGTTTTTTTTGTTGAAGACGGCAAAGCTTTTTGAATAAGCTATACTTGTATAGTGTAGATGCATTGTCCATAGCAGGCATGCGCGGATCTAGAAGGGGGGGGGGTCGGGGATCTAGACCCCCCCCTTGGAATTTCCAGTTATTAAAAGTATATTCTGAAGCAAATAAAAAATGACTTTGGAACCCCCTAGAAAACATGGACCTCAGGTAATGTCTATAAAAAGCCAAGAACTGTCCAGCCTGAAATAATACGACCTTTTAAGTTTTTTTTGTTGAAGACGGCAAAGCTTTTTGAATAAGCTATACTTGTATAGTGTAGATGCATTGTCCATAGCAGGCATGCGCGGATCTAGAAGGGGGGGGGGTCGGGGATCTAGACCCCCCTTGGAATTTCCAGTTATTAAAAGTATATTCTGAAGCAAATAAAAAATGACTTTGGAACCCCCTAGAAAACATGGACCTCAGGTAATGTCTATAAAAAGCCAAGAACTGTCCAGCTGGAATAATACGACCTTTTATGTTTTTTTTGCTAAAGACGGCAAAGCTTTTTGAATAAGCTATACTTGTATAGTATAGATGCATTGTCCATAGCAGGCATGCGGGGATCTAGAGGAGGGTGGGGGGTGGGTCGGGGATCCGGACCCCCCCCCCCGAATTTGCAGTTATTAAAAGTATATTCTGAAGCAAATAAAAATGACTTTGGAACCCCCCTAGAAAACGTGGACCTCACCATCACAACCACAATAGAAGTTTTTCACGTTTTTTTTTTTTTTTTTTTTTTTGTTCGTATTTTGTTTTTTGCTAGTCAAGGAATTTTTGGTTGGATTTTTTTTTTGACTGGGATGGACACCCCCCCCCCCCCCCCCGAAATGATTCCTGGATCCGCGCCTGGCAGGGCTATCTTAACGGGACTAATAAATCTTTGCATGATTTAAACATTGCATCAAGAACAAATAAATAAATAAATAAATAAATAAATAAATAAATAAATAAATAAATAAATAAATAAAATAAAATAAAATAAATAAATAAATAAATAAATAAATAAATAAATAAATAAATAAATAAATAAAAAAGACTTCTACACCATAAGTTATCTACTTGAATTTTCAAAGGGCATATATAAACTGCTCAAATAGTCATAAACAAACTTTTATCTCACCTACACAGATTAATGAACCAGATATCAGCCTCGGGGACCTTGTCCAAATGACCTTGGATCAGGGTCATGGCATATTAATTTGTCATTTGCAACCTTTGTGTCAAAGAGAATGTTACGTTTTCAGTACAAAGAATTTCTGGGCCCGTTTTACAAAAGAACTTAGGTTTAAGTTTGTGTTTGTGTGTGTGTGTTTTTTTGGTTTTGTTTTGTTTATTTGTTTGTTTTTTGCCGGTCAAGAAATTTTCTGGGCTTGATACATTTAGAATTTATGGTCCCTTGTTTTTTTTTAGCTCACCTGAGCTGAAAGCTCAAGTGAGCTTTTCTGATCACATTTTGTCCGGCGTCCGTCTGTCCGTCTGTCTATCCGTCCGTCTGTCTGTCTGTAAACTTTTCACATTTTCGACTTCTTCTCAAGAACCACTGGGCCAATTTCAACCAAACTTGGCACAAAGTATCCTTGGGTAAAGGGGATACAAGTTTGTTCAAATGAAGGGCCACGCCCTCTTTCAGGGGGAGATAATAAGGAATTAGTGAAAAAATAATGGCACCATTTAAAAATCTTCTTCTCAAGAACCACAGAGCCAGGAAAGATGAAACTCATGTGGAAGCATCCTCAGCTAGTGTAGATTCAAATTTGTTCAAACCATGACCCCCGGGGGTAGGGCGGGGCCACAATGGAGGATCAAATTTTTACATAGAAATATATAGGAAAAATCTTTTAAAATCTTCTTCTCAAGAACAGCAAAGCCATGATGAGTCATATTTATATGGAAGCATCCTCAGGTAGTGTAGATTCAAGTTTGTTCAAACCATGACCCCCGGGGGTAGGGTGGGGCCACAATGGAGGATCAAATTTTTACATAGAAATATATAGGAAAAATCTTTAAAAATCTTCTTCTCAAGAACAGCAAAGCCATGATGAGTCATATTTATATGGAAGCATCCTCAGATAGTGTAGATTCAAATTTGTTCAGATCATGACCCCGGGGGGTAGGGTGGGGCCAAAATGGAGGATCAAAGTTTTACACAGAAATATATAGGAAAAATCTTTAAAAATCTTCCTAAGAGTCATATTTATATGGAAGCATCCTCAGGTAGTGTAGATTCAAGTTTGTTCAAACCATGACCCCCGGGGTTAGGGCGGGGCCGCAATGGACTATCAAAGTTTTACATAGAAATATATAGGAAAAACCTTCTTCTCAGGAACGGCAAAGCCCAGATTTGTCATATTTATACGGAAGCATCCTCAGGTAGTGTAGATTCAAATTTATTCAAATCTTGACCCCCGGGGTAGGGCGGGGCCACAATGGAGGATCAAAGTTTTACATAGAAATGTATAGGAAAAATTTAAAAAATCTTCTTCTCAGGAACAGCAAAGCCCTGATTGACCATATTTATTTGGAAGCATCCTCAGGTAGTGTAGATTCTATTTTGTTCAAATCATGACTCCCGTGGATAGGGTGGGCCACAATGGAGGATCAAAGTCTTAAATAGAAATATATAGGAAAATATCTTCTTCTGAAGAACTGCAAACCATGATTAGTCATTTTGATTCAATTTTGTTCAAATGATGACCCCCAGGGGTAGGGTGGGGCCCAATGGGGGATTGAAAGTTTTACATAAGAACATATAGAAAAAATATTTCTTCTCAAGTTCAGAAAAGCTATGTTTAGTCATATTGATACGGAAGCATCCTCAGGTAGTGTTGATTCAAGTTTGTTCAAATGATGACCCCTGGGATAGGGAGGAGCCACAATGGGGGATCAAATTTTTACAAAGGAATATATGGGAATTTTTTTTAAAAAAACTTCTCAAGTACAACAAAGCCATTTGTTATATTGACATGGAAGCATCATCAGGTTGTTTAGAATTCATGCCCCCCCCCCCCCCCCGTAATCTTTTCAATACTGAACTGATTTGTGCTTTTGCCTAGCCAATGTGCTCAGGTGAGCGATGTGGCCCATGGGCCTCTTGTTTTGTTTTTGTTTGTTTTTTTTTCTGCTTGTTAAGAAATTTTTGGGTTGGAAATTTATTGTCTGGGGTGGAACCCCCCCCCCCCCCCCCGAAAAAATCCTTGATCCGCGCCTGTCGCTGAATCTGTTTTATGACGTTTTTCTGATTTGGATACTTTCTTTGCACCGTCCTTATAAATGGGGTATAATGACCTGATGCCATGATAATATGAAAACCTATAATAAAAGCAAGTTTTCATTATATTTGTCCCGGGCCGGGAATCCGAATCTTGAATAACATTCATAGTAAACTTTGATACTTGACCGGAACACTTTGTACCAGACAGAGACATACTGAAGTTTCAGCGTTTCGATCATTACATTGTGACGTAGAACAAAATCCCAATTTTTTCTTATATAAGACTAATGTCTTCTTTTTTACGTTAAAGATCAAATGTAATGTGGAAAAGTACTTTGAAACACCCTGTACTTTATGGTCTCTGTATCTTCAGTTCTGCAACTTTTAAATCAACTCGATAGTCCTGTCTAGTTGAAACAATAACGTTCCGTATACGAATTTACTACATTTTCAACAGTGAAATACTGTGATTTATTTATTGAATAAAAGTGATATTCTCTCACAGTGTGAAAGGATACCAAAATGATATTCTCTCACAGTGTGAAAGGAAATCAAAGTAAGTAAAAATTAATTTCTGGCCTGTCATAAGATAGAGATATTAACTAAGCATCTTGATAGAGCTAAAACTGCAAATTTCTTCCCAAATATGTAGCTAAAATTCATGCTATGTAATGTTTTAAATCACATAACTGCAGCGCTAGGCTATGACGTCTCAACCGCTTAACTATGACGTCAAGCCTATGACGGTGTTAAGAAAAGACAGAGGCAAAGGGAAAATCAAAGAAAATGTAATAAACAGAAAATTCAATGTTTTGTAGATGAATATGGAATTTATTTCACTCGTGAGACAGAATTTTTTTATATTTTCACTCGTGCTTCGCACTCGTGAAAATATCAAAAAATCCTGTCCCACTCGTGAAATAAATTCCATATTCATCTACAAAACATTGAATATCCTCTATATATATGATTTACCTTTACACTACCATTTACAAGGGTACTTCTTTGTTTGACGTCAGTTTATTACCCGCTTTGTGCAGTTTGACGAGGTTTATTTCTGCATGCATACATGTGCCATTTATAGCACCGCAAGGGGGTCAAGTTTCAATTCATTTTACGAAATTTTTTTTCAAAATATTTATCACTGTGACGTCACGTCATTGACATAAAAATCTAAACTGAAAAATAAACCATAGTTTTTTTTTTGTTTTTAAATTATTCTACTTTTTTTTTTTACATATATAATATTGAAATAACATGAAATAGAAAAACCAGATTTAATTTGTTAATAGTTTCTGTCGGTCCCTTCCACCTAAATCAATAATATCAGCTTGGAAATTTTTTGAGGATACTCCTTTTTTTCCTCTTAAATTTTGTCAGTCTGTTGCAAGATTTCTTCTACGTCCCTTGAATTTTAACTTTTTTATTTGATAGACAAAGAAGTTTCATTCAACAACAATATTTTATTAAAACATAATTTTAACTGCTCAGTGAGCTTATAAAGAAAATCAGATTCATCTCCTGTCTCTGCGACTCATGTTAGCATGTCTCTCCGTGCCGTGGCTTATGTAGTCCAGTCTGAAATTAAAATGTAAAATTAATTGTAAATATTTTCTACATTAAGCTTAACATGAAATCAAAATATGTGGATGTTAATTGATAGTACCTGATGCTGAACATCTCTGTGTGAAAATTCAACCACTTGGCTAAGCTTTTCTGCTCCTGGTCTAAAGCATTCAATTTCATTGCTACAACAAAATATTCAAAAACACATTAAATAAAAAGTATTATTTAACTTTCTGATACTCTGTCCGTTTCTCACTCCAGTTCCACTCTCTATACTTTTCAAAGAATCATGAAACTTCATAATTCATTTTTTTTCCTTTAAAAATCTTCATACGTGTACTATTATAGTAATTGAAACTCTTACTAACCTAATGCCTTCTCTGCCTCGTCGGCATCGTTCAGCAAAGCATTCAAAACCAGCCTCATATGAATATTTTCTGAAAATACCAGAAAAATAAATCAAAACATCGTTTAAGTCCTACAGATAGAGAGAGAAAAAGAAAATGCAAAGAATATATAATACATGTAACAATATTAACCTTCTACTAGACCCGCCATTTTGCTTTTTAGGTCTTTCATTGCAGTGTTGAACTGTCGAACAAACTGAACAGAACCAACAACAGAAGTAACTAAGAGCAGAAAGGCCAGAAAGAAGAGCAGATCTGTTGCCGAGAAGAAAGACAGAGCAGCAGCAGAAGTGGTTGTGGCAAAGCTGTTGACTCTCTCACCGAGCGACAGCAGCTCATGCTAAGAGAAGGGAAAGGGAGGGTTAGAAAGAAAGAGAAAATGACTGTTAGAACACAAAACAAACATGCAAAAATACTAAGTTCAAAAATTATAAAATATTTCTATCAAAAAGTCAAGAACTTACCCCTATGGTGGCACCCATCTCCTTACTTAACTGCCACACATCACAACCAACCCTGTTAAAAACACAAAAAGACGTTGCTAAGGACGCATTCTTTTTGCAATCAACAATTTATTTAATTTTTTATTAAATAAATAAATAATGAACGTTAATAAATAGAAATATTTCAATTTACGTACTCATACATGTCCAAATGCATGGTACGTCCTGCTGATGACAAGAATGTGCCAAGAAGTGCGGAAGATCTAATAAGCATAGAGGTTTTCATCTTGCGTCTTGCTTTGACAATGCTTGGAATGCAACTGATGCCAAGCCTTGAATTCTCGTGCTTATATACTATCCAGGGAATATACCTGATGCCGATTGGCTCAATTTTTCTCGTGCTGATTGGCTACAAAGTTGTGAGCTGTCCAATGAGCGGAGAGCGTCAAAACGTTGTACTCACGTCAAAAAGCAAGATGGAGTTCGGTTTTGTGTTTCTTGATAAACACTGTTTTGTCAGTTTTGTGAACGTTTTTACCATAAAATGATTTATAACAGTAATAACCCGAATTCCTGAAAGATATTCCTTTAGAATACCCATTGGAATTATTCAAATGACAAGTCTATTTCGTGATATTTCAATAAAACGATGTAAAAAGAAGTCTTCAGGATCTCCCTGTTTTGTTTAGAAATTTTTCACGCGTAAGTCGTACAAATTTCTATCATTTTTTTGGCATGAGTATATTAATTACAACTTGAAGAATCATTTTAACAAAAAAAAAATTAAAATATTCCGTTGAGAATGTCTTCTTACATACGACATTGTTCTTCCATAGAAAAACACATGGTTGCCTGATTTTTTATTGTGGAATTTCAGTTAGCCAAAGTCTAGCTTTGGAAAAACACTCTTAATGCAGACATTTACTTTTAACACAAGAAGTAAAATTCTATACGAATAGGCACAATATCGAGCATATTTTATATATAAATCCGTGATGAGAGTTGTTTCTTTTTGCTTTGTTTACATAGGCGTTTCTATGACGTCATGACAACGATATTCTGGCGGAATAATACCTATTCATCCGTCCTTTTATGATAATATTCACCAAGCAAGTGTGCTTGTCAATAAGAACCTGCATGAAATGCAATATCTATTCATTTGATAACCAAACAGACGAAAAGAAACATCTAAAATAACTTTCCGTACTCTCAATATAAAATGGCTTCACACTTGCACGGCAAGTCACGTAGATATTGATGAAAAATGACGTCTTATAGAGGAGTTCAAGCAAGACTGAATAGTGCCCTTTTATCAGCATCTGAGTGACATTTATGCTAATTTGGCCTAGATCGTCGCGATCCTCTTTTCTTTTCTTTGAATGGCATTCATTAGACCTAGACCAAATTTCATTTCATCTTAAGCCATGCAGACGTTACATCAGTTGACATTGATTCATATTTGGGCTTATTTAATATATCTTATCGTAAGACAATGTCTGTATCTCTCAAAACATCTAACATCCCTGTACTTACATCAACCACTGTGGTAAAATTAAAGTCCAGATTAGATCGAAGTCAAAGACCGCCATTTTTACTGACATCACAAGGTAGTGCTGAAGGCGGAATAATTTAAAAAGGCTGAGTGAATGTCTAGGCCCTAATATTATTTATTACTTGAAATTAAGACGTTTATTATGAGTAATTTGATAATCAAATAACAGAGTATACATATAAATACAATAGTTCTATTGTTTTCATGTTTTTTGGGGTACTATTTGCATTAGCCCAAGTATATTCACTTTCACTGACTCCTCAGTATGCAGCAGCAACGCATCGAGATGCATGGATAGGCATCATTTGCTTAGACAACAAACCCTAACCTGCAAGTATTTTGCTTTAAGTATACTTTTTTGGGAAAGGAAAACAACTTGGTTACTAAATTATGGGTGGACAAGGGGCGTGATACTAACCTTCTCCCAACTTACTTCCCCTCCCCCTCTCTTTCCCTCAAGGCCTTCTTTGCTTATCCAGCAAACCCTGTCCTGCAGGTGTTTTGCTTTAACTTAAGTATATTTTTTGGGAAAGGAAAACAATTAGTTACTAAATTATGGGTGGACAAGGGGCATGGTAGTCTTCTCCCAACTTACTTCCTCCCCTCCTCTTTCTTCTTCATCATTTCTCAGTTTTACCCTTTCTTCTCCCCATCCCACTTCCTAACTACTAGATAAATTTAGGAGTACAAGGTCCTTGTACTCCTAAATTTACCTAGTAGTTCATATACCACAGTATGCTTTCAAAAAAAAAAATGTACCAGACTCAAGTCATATGAATTCTGCAGCTAAAACCACAGGGCCAACAAATGCATCCATAAGAAACTAAATGGACAGCAGGGAGCATGGTGCACTTTTAATAACTTATTATTTTTGACTCAAACTTCAAGTCTGTTTTGCTAACATTTGATCTTTGAACTTTGTAAGATGATGAATCTCGAAGCCAGGAATTTAACAATCCAAAAGTTTTTCATTCAAAGTGCTATACCTTTGAATTTTACTTATATTGATTTTAAAATCTCTTTTTGATATATATGTAACCTTTGGAAGTAAACTAGAACAAAGCCTGAGTTCAACGTCATTATTTGGTATAACAATGTGGGCTCATTATATATAAATGCATGTGAAATTTCAGCCCCACATAATAGTAGAGGTGCATTTCAAAAAGCTGGTTGAATCTTTTAATATTAAATGGTCAGGGTTGTACTGATTAAGTACATGTGTAAGTAAATTTTGGTTTTGCCATATGATTGAAATGTTTAAAAAATGATACCCTTGTACTGAAATTACTCTTTGATAGTGTTCATTTTTTGCCTACAGTATTATATGGCTTTTAAGCTTGATCTGCAAAATTTACTCAAATTCCAGATAGTATGCTTATATATTTACAAAATTTGAGTAAGGCATTTAGAGTGAACAAAAAGAACAGCAAGATAACACATAGAGTTGATTTCTCAAACTACATGCATAACTATTTCTTGATGCATTGATTCAGATAATTAAATATTCTTAATTTTTGTAAATTGTAACCACAACAATATTTTGTAACGTGGAACTGGGTACATCAGCCCTGTAGCTCAGTGGTAGAGTAATGCACGTTGTAAGCGGGAGGTCCTGAGTATATTTCGAATCCCATTCATTATTGGCAGAGAGATATATATCATGGAAATTGGGTAGGATTATGGGATGTGTGGGCTTTATAAAGATTGTCCCAGCAATGGCCAGCATGGATGTACTGCATTATAAAAAAATCTCTCCAAAAATATATCTCCACAAGAAGCAATGAATAAGCTTTGGATTTTATTAAAATTGAGCACCACAAAGATTTTTTAACAAAGAAATTAGCATAGGGTAAGGACTATATAATACATGTGTATATAAATATAAACAATGCACAAGCTCCTGAGGTGGTCCATTTTAAAGCTAGCATATGTAAAAAATGTCAATAAAATCATATTTGAGAGATCAACTAGATGTTGGACAAATCAAACAAAAAATACAGTGTAAGATATAAATATTTCATTAAATTGATAGTGAGAGTATTTTTGATACCATCAAGGACACAATGTCAGATTGATAAAATCATTTTGGGATCATTGTTTAAGAAAGGAAATGAAATGAATTAATGTGAAGCTTAAGTTCATTGTGATTGACATTCAGATCAACATAATGTTAGACAATATTGATCCGTCATCTATTTGAATTTCGATATCTTAAACACCGATATCTCCAATACCAGGGATATGTCGAAGTGAGTTGGCAGTCCCAACCACTTTTTCTTTATGTCTTTTACTCTCATTATCTCAAATCCTTCAATATCTCTTTTAAAAGTTTAATCTTGGTTCCAACAAGTTTGAGATTTAATGGGGTTTGACTGCATATTTGAAATAAAACAAATTCATTAAGACTGAAGGGTGATGAAAAATTCTGATATAAGCAGACAAGAGGCCCAGGGGCCACATCGCTCACCTGAGCACTATGGCTAGGAAAAAGCAGAAATCACTTCAATCTTGAAGGGTTGAAAAGTTTAAATATAAAAGTGATTGGGGGGGGGGGGGGTGTCAGGAATTGAACAAATTTGAATCTACATTATCTGAGGATGCTTCCATTTAAATATGACCAATCATGGCTTTGCTGTTCTTGAGTAGAAGATTTTTAAAGATTTAACCTATGTATTCCTATGTAAAACTTTGATCACCCATTGTGGCCCCACCCGACCCCCAGGGGTCATGTTTGAACAAACTTGAATGTACACTATCTAAGAATGCTTCCATATGAATATGACCAATCATGGCTTTGCTATTCTTAACAAATAGTTTTTTTTAAAGATTTTTACTATGTGTTCCAATGTAAAACTTTGATCGCCCATTGTGGCCCCACCCAACCCCCGGGGGTCATGATTCGAACAAATTTGTATGTACACTATCTGAGGATGCTACCATATAAATATGACCAATCATGGCTTTGCTATTCTTAACAAATTGTTATTTTTTTAGAATTTTTACTATGTGTTCCTATGTAAAACTTTGATCGCCCATTGTGGCCCCACCCGACCCCCGGGGGTCATGAGTTGAATAAATTTGAATCTACACTATGAGAGGATGCTTCCATGTAAATATGACCAATCATGGCTTTGCTGTTCTTGAGAAGAAGATTTTTAAAGATTTTTCCTATATATTCCTATGCAAAACTTTGATCGCCGATTGTGGCCCCACCCGACCCCCGGGGGTCATGATTTGAACAAATTTGAATCTACACTACCTGAGGATGCTTCCATGTAAATATGACCAATCATGGCTTTGCTATTCTTGAGAAGAAGATTTTTAAAGATTTTTCCTATATATTCCTATGTAAAACTTTGATCGCCCATTGTGGCCCCACCCTACCCCCGGGGGTCATGATTTGAACAAACTTGAATCTACACTACCTGAGGATGCTTCCAAGTAAATATGACCAATCATGGCTTTGCTATTCTTGAGAAGAAGATTTTTAAAGATTTTTCCTATATATTCCTATGTAAAACTTTGATCGCCCATTGTGGCCCCACCCTACCCCCGGGGGTCATGATTTGAACAAACTTGAATCTACACTACCTGAGGATGCTTCCAAGTAAATATGACCAATCATGGCTTTGCTGTTTTTGAGAAGAAGATTTTTGAAGATTTTTCCTATATATTCCTATGTAAAACTTTGATCGCCCATTGTGGCCCCACCCGACCCCCGGGGGTCATGATTTGAACAAACTTGAATGTACACTATCTGAGGATGCTACCATATAAATATGACCAAGTATGGCTTTGCTGTTCTTGAGAAGAAGATTTTTAAAGATTTTTCCTGTATATTTCCTATGTAAAACTTTGATCGCCCATTGCGGCCCCACCCTACCCCCGGGGGTCATGATTTGAACAAATTTGAATCTACACTACCTGAGGATGCTTCCACATAAGTTTCATGTTTTCAAGCACAGTGGTTCTTGAGAAGAAGATTTTTTAATGATGCCATTAATTTTTCACGAATTCTTAATTATCTCCCCTTGGAAGAGGGCGTGGCCCTTCATTTGAACAAACTTGAATCCCCTTTACCCAAGGATACTTTGTGGCAAGTTTGGTTGAAATTGGCCCAGTGGTTCTTGAGAAGAAGTCGAAAATGTGAAAAGTTTACAGACGGACAGACGGACAGACAGACGGACAGACGGACTACAGACAAAATGTGATCAGAAAAGCTCACTTGAGCCTTCGGCTCAGGTGAGCTAAAAAACTGGGATATGTGTGAGTACCGGTATTCATTTAGGAGGCATGATCACTACAAAAATATATAAAACTATGGGACATTGACCTTTCACAGATGTACACTTTACACTCTAAAAAAAGGGGGGGTTACTAACAACAGCCAAACAAACTGCATTGTATCTCTAATTCATTATATTCAGTTAATAATTTATTACGATACTGTATTAATCCTTTGGGGGAAAAAATATGACATTTTGAAGACAGGCATTGGCAACCGAGTCAAAACATATTTCAGTGTGACCATACTACTCAAATAATAACTTTTAATGATTGTTGTTTCAAAATAACTTTGTAACAATGCTGTAAGTATCTTAAGCTAAGCATACAGTTCTCACATGGAGATTTACTCGGTCTTTACTTTCAGGATTGTATGTCAAACTGGAAAACAGTGTCCTTCCACTGAAAATTATCTTCATCTACAGGAGTAAGTAGGGTTTTCTCCAAAAATTCACAATGTCCTTCATAGTCCACAGTTATAATTGAATGGGTCCTGAAAAAGTAGATGAGACTGATAGAGATAATAGGCCTTTGGACAACATCACTCATACTTGTCTCCTTCATCTTCATGCTCACACTAAAATGATAACAAATGTGAATATGCACTACACAAGGCATCGTCAGAAACCCACGGCCAATCTCGCATACGCTTATTGAATAAGCATAATTATGCGAGATTGGCCGTGGGTTTCAGACGATGTACACAAGGATGTCTGCATATCAGTTTTACAAATTGTAGTTGAATTTTTTAATTAAATTTCAGAGATTCTCAGTTAAAGACCATGATTTGACAATGTCCTTAGTTTTTGACTTGGACAAGCAACCTATTTTTATTATTACATGTAATCTATACTTCTATAAAAATGTTTCAAAAATCCTTTTTGATCACTGTAAAATCAACAAGTGCCATCATTAAATTACAAGATCATACGCCATCATTAAATTACAATATTATACATCTTAAAATCTCTAACATTTCTAGTATTTTAAAAATGTTAATATCTTTTGAGATGGTTGACATAGAGCTGAATACAATTAAACTACCTGGTTCCATAACGCTGTTCAGGCATCTTTACAAATAAGGAGCTCAACCGATGAACATGCCTGTCTAGGTCTTCTGAACTTTCATCTGGATGACTATTTTGAGCCTGTTTTTTTAAAATCTCATCATCTGCAAAACTTTAATATTACAAACATCATAATATATTTAAGAGGTCATATGATATAAGTAAATGTACATTTTTGTCACATTACACAGAGATAGCAAGAATATATTGACTGCTCAATATCTCTAGACTCCTTTATAGAATGACAGACATACATTGGTTACCCACAAGGAGTAGATGACCCCTATTGATTTTGAAGTCGCAAGGTCAAAGGTCAAACTGGCCATAGGAAGATATTGAACACTCAGTATTCCTTTGCCTGACAAACATCAAATGTGGTACACTGGTACCCTAAGAGTATATGACCCCTATTAATTTTGACATACACGCCAACTTTTGAAAATCTCCATTGGGGTTTTGCGTGTGACGAAAAATTTTCAAAGCTTTAAATTTGCGACATTTTGCCATGAAAATAAATGTTTATCCCATGTTTTTTTAATTTATAATATTGATATCACTTATTAAACAACTTGAAACTGCTTAAGGATAAATGATACAAAATTTTTCCTTCCAAAATTCAAGTCCCTTAATTTGCTTAAATGGGTGATTCTCTCACTACAGAAGTGATATATGTTTAGGTAAACAACATTATGTTTGACCAAGACACTAATTGGAGAAAAAAAGGAAAACGTACAACTTTCAGTTCAATAAATTTTTTTGCAAAGCTTTAGATATATATGAAGTTTTGTTACTATAAAGTTTCTGGGAAACAATTTGTAAGATTCTATATTAATTTTACATTTTACACAATTAGAATTTCCTAATTAGACATTATATTGAAAGAAATATTGAAAAATTTAAGGTCACAAGGTCAAGGGCCAAACCTATTAAACTACTCTAAACAAGTGAAAATATTCTCAGTTAAATATCTTGAGAACCATTTGCTTGACAGAAATCAAACTTTATACACTGGTACTCCCTTAGGAGTAGATGACCCCTATTGATTTTGAGGTCAAAAGGATCAAACAACTCTGGACATTGGAACATATTGTCACCTCAGTATCTTGAGAACCATTTGCTTTACAGACTTAAAACTTGGTACACCAGTACTCTCTGAGAAGTAAATTCCTATGTCTAATGATAATGAGGTCTGATAGATATCAATCTTAGCATTATGCTAGCCCCTGACTAGTAGATATCCCATCATTACAGACATTCTAAATTTAAATTTGATCCTTTTAAATATTGCCATACGAGGAGGATTTATGTTCTCTAAAACATTTCTTGTTTCTAATTTAATTCAGGCTCAGAACTGAAGAAAACTGAGTATGAGGAAAGTCAAATTCAAATAAAGCCATGGATTCAGACAAACCTTGTACTATCCTGAAGCAATGAGACAAGTTCATTCCTTAGTTCTGCTTTCTTATCCTTGTGATTAAAGTCTCTTATGATATTTTTAAATAATTCCTTTCCTCTTGCAACTTTTTTCCATGGTGTCTTTCCAGACACAGAATTCCCCAGGCAGATATAATCTGTGAATAAATGACAGTAATGTTAATAAACTATGAAAATTTTGCAACATGTACTTTACAAGAAAACTCTTTAGCATGCATAAATAGCATATCTACCAGTCATGTAATTTCTGTATTTGTCTGAGTAATTCAGGCAAAATAAAAAAAAATAACACAAATTGCAAAATAACAACACCTTTGGTTAATAAAATTGGAAATGTAGGAATTTTAAGTTAAAATGCAAACTGCAGAAAATAACAATTATATCTGTGTGTATATATTATTATATGATTGAATGATTCCTAGCTCCCTGATTAGTTGAGATCCAACATTGTACAAAAAATACTATGTTATGTTCACCAGCAACATGACTTTTCAGGTGAACATTAAGGATTTATCTTTCCTACATTGGACTAAAAATAGATAGGGAAATTCTAAATTCATAGAAATAGTTCTGGAAAGTTATTTCACATGCACCCTACCTCCACTCAGATGAACATAACATTCATGCACAAAAAATCCGGGGTAAGGGTGCAGGAGGCCTGTCCCCTCCCCCAACTTTTTTTCTTATAATGTCCCCCATTTCAAAATTGATCCTACTTGTATTGTCTGACATTTATTTTTTCTACATTGCACTAAAATAGATTAAATAATTCCAAATTATTACAACTGCATGTTTATTTTAACCCTGTTTCTCTCAGGGGATTTGGCTATTACTTCAACAAGTAAGATAGCACATTGGATTGCTTAATGAGTTTGTATCAATTAATCATTAAATGGTATAGTAAAACAATTATTGTTTCGGTTTTTTTTTTTCAGTCAATGCGATGATTTAGCCACATTCAAAGTACAGTATTCACCTCACCCTTTAGGCTCAGTGAATATTGTACTAAATCATTGTATTGACCTCAAAAACAGCAATAATTGTATATTATAATGGTTTTATTGTCTTACCATTATCTTGAGGAATATCTTCACAATTACAAGCATCTACTTTGTTATTGAAATAAGCCACGTCTGTATTCTTGCTGCTGCAATACAAATGAATCAAATCTAAAGTAATTTAAAACAACAACACCAACTTAAGTTAGCTTGACAGACTAAGATTGCTCAATTCTCTGTATCAGTACAGTAAATCCTGGTTTCTAAACTGGATACCAATATGTTTCACTTAGTTACCCTTACAAAGGAGTTATAATGTGAGTGATATACTGGTATTTTTTTTTTAGTTTAGTACTTAATCCCATGTGTATACTTTCCTATTTGTAGTATGACCTTGAGTCAAGATCATAATTGATACCTGTAAGGTACTCATACAAAACAGAATGTAAATTTTTAATATATGACAAATTTCAAACTACTCTAAAAAGAAATTGTATCTTCTCTTTTTTATGGGGACCTTGAAGTATTTTGACCATAAACATATTAGGCACATGTCATTTCTTTGGCACAGCCAAAACCATAGTCATTTTAATTCTGGTACAGTGTACTGACTCTCAAAACTATAGCATAGCAATATGATTTTCAATTAGTGTATACAGTTTATTGTCTTACCTGCAATCTAGAAGTAGAAGATGAAAACCATTGTATAAATCCTTCTTTGGTCGTACACACAGTTTTATATATAAATGACAGTTTAGGTCTGAAGTGAGGAAATTTCTGACTAAATGTCCTGAAAGTAACAAAGGAAACACCTTTCATTGAAATCAGAAACTAATATATATGGAACTGTGTGTCTTGGTGCAGAGTACTTGCATGTGTACAAAATCAGACCAAACTGAATGAATTTTTATTTTTTCCTAACTATGGGAATTTAACTGTTAATGAAAATCAAAAACTGAAAAAAGACAAGAAATGTGTATCTCAGTCAATAACACAAGGCCCTGCTGTTCTTCAGAAGATTTTTTAAAGACTTTTTACCCCCACAGGAATTTGCAGTATATTTGGCCAAATAAAAAAATATGTGTGGTTCCGGTTACCCGACCGTCCCTATTTTATACCACCGACCCTAAACTTTTTTTTTGCAATTTTCATATTTTTTCCGGAAATTTTCCCCGATTTCCATCAATGGCTCTGGTTTAAGTTTTAGCAATGATGGCCTCCTTGCACAACATTGTGCAAGTGTTTAATAGTGTTAAATCCAAAGCAAGCTAGCACGTAGGTGTGACCGTGTCCCCTACCAATATTGTCTAGTACAGTGTATATTATCACACCACATCTAAATGTCATTTGCAAAGCAGTAATAGGTATTATTTAGAAAATTAAGAAAATCATTTTGTTTAAAAAAAAAAAAAAAAAAAAAAAATCCCTACCTACCTACCCTAATTTTTTTGGAGGTGTAACCGGAACCACACATATTTTTTTGTTTGGCCTTTGCAATTTTTTGTTGTTGCTATGATGACATTGGTCTTAAAGCTATATTTTAAAGTGTGCTCTTTCTTGAGTTGCTGTGTGGAAGGGATGTGGGATGGGGTTATAGTCTTATTAGGACAGTTCTAGTTTCATTTGAACTGTTTCTGTAATCAGTACTTTTTCTTATATCCTAGAATATATATTATATTTTTGTATACTATTTAAGTATCAGAAAATAAAACATAGGTAATCAAAGATTACGAAGCTCACCTTGACGAATGTTATCTACATGTAAGGCAAATTTCACATATTTTTTTTCTAGTTAGGGTACATCCCAAGATCAATATCCATGCAAGTTTGATTTAATTATAGACCTGCTCAAAAAACTTTTGACTTGTTTGGTAATCAAGAAAATTTTGGTCAGTTCCAACATCCAAAGCAAGTCTGGAAGTTTTCATCCTTAGATGCACCATCTATGCAAGTTTAATCATAACAGGCCATAATATTATATAGCTACTCCAAAAAAATTACCCTGGTCACTCATCTGGAAAATGTACGTCAGATTCAGAATCCAAGGCAAGTCTGGAAGTGTCCATCCCTAGATACATCATCCATGCTAATTTGGTTAAAATATGGCTAAAATTCACTCATGTGGAAAATCTAGGTCAGATCCAGCATTCAAAGCAGGTTGGTTAGTGTACATCCCTAGATGCATCATCCATGAAAGTTTGGTCCAGGTAGGGTTTATAGTTACTTGGGAACGAGACTACTCCTAAATCTAAACCTGCTCTCACATGTGGAAAATCTAGGTCAGATCCAGCATCCGAAGCAAGTGTGGTAGTGTCCATCCCTAGATGCATCATCCATGCAAGTTTGGTCCGGGTAGGGCTTATAGTTACTTGGGAATGGACCTGCTCCTAAAACTTTAACCTGATCACTCATCTGGAAAATCTAGGTCAGATCCAGCATCCGAAGTAAGTTTGGTAGTGTCCATCCCTAGATGCATCATCCATGCAAGTTTGGTCAAGGTAGGGCTTATAGTTACTTGGGAATGGACCTGCTCCTAAAACTTGAACCTGGTCACTCATCCGGAAAATCTAGGTCAGATCCAGCATCTGAAGCAAGTGTGTAGTGTCCATCCCTAGATGCATCATCCATGCAAGTTTGGTCAAGGTAGGGCTTATAGTTACTTGGGAATGGACCTGCTCCTAAAACTTTAACCTGGTCACTCATCTGGAAAATCTAGGTCAGATCCAGCATCCGAAGCAAGTGTGGTAGTGTCCATCCCTAGATGCATCATCCATGCAAGTTTGATCCAGGTAGGGCAGGGTTCGAAATTAACTATATACAACTCGCAAAATGCGAGTTAGAATTCCCAAATTGCGAGTTAAAAATTAGGTAACTCGCAAAAACTTGCGAGTTGATTTTTTTTTGCATTGAAACTGTAGCAAAATTATATAATATGACAGAACACAATGCTTTTGATTTAAATCAGTAATTTAAATAAAAGTCACACTGTAGTTTTATTATGTGTATTGTACAGTAGTTACTTTTTCCTTAAGTTACATGTATTTAATTTATTTAAATTTAACTTTATATGAAAATTGCGAGTAGTCTTATAAAATTGCGAGTTCACTTTCTTGGTACTCGCAATTATTTGCGAGTTGTAATTTTAGGGAGTTTTTAACCCTGTAGGGCTTATAGTTACTTAGGAATGGACCTGCTCCTAAACCTTTAACCTGGTCACTCATCTGGAAAATCTAGGTCAGATCCAGCATCCGAAGCAAGTTTGGTAGTGTCCATCCCTAGATGCATCATCCATGCAAGTTTGGTCCAGGTAAGGCTTATAGTTACTTGGGAATGGGACTTGCTCCTAAAACTTTAACCTGGGACACTGACGCTAACGCCGACGACAGGGGTATAGCATAAGCTCATCTCGACTTCGTCGAGGTGAGCTAAAAATTGGCGGCAATGAGGAAGCTTTAAAACTTCAGTCTTATTTTCTGAGAAAGGAGGGCGATTTTTTAAATTTTTCCTTATGACATACATGTATACATGTAGACTGTATTTTTTTTCCATAGAAAATATAGGCTCATTATATTTTCGTAATAAGGTGGGGGGTGGGGGTGAAGAGATAAATGTTATCTACTTTTTGGGTGGTCATGATATGAATATGTTCAACTTTCTAATCAAGTTTTAGTGTAATATTTGTAAATAATTCCTGTTTTCCTTACCTCTGCTCTCTTTATGAATGTCATTGAACCCTAGTATGTTTAGAAGTACTCCAACTTTCCCAGTTTTAGACATTCCCAGCCAAGTGCTTCCTCCCACATTCTCTTTATGACAATCTTGCCCTGAAACAAACCTATTTTTTTCACATAAATACATATACCTACATGACTGTATATAATCTGTAAAACCTATCTAAAAAAATGAAGAGCTTAATACTAGCAACATTTAAGCCAGCAAATAGTTTGTCAAAGATGTCTTTCACATATGAAATAATGCAAAGAAATAATGCAAAAAAATTGTGACCTAATAAAGTTGAAGTGTTGATTGAATTACTGAATGAAGCTTTTAATTACCACTCATGCAGTTCTTGTCGTGATCCCAGTAATCTAGTGGCTTGGTCGCTCGATCCCAAAATTCATCTCTGTTACTAGCAATAATCAATCTGTATTTGTTGGGTTCTGGTGTGTCATTGAAATAGAGAAATAAAACACACATTCTTGAAGATTTCAACTGGAAAAAAAAAAAAGATTCCCTCAGCTGCTTTTTGTCATAGTGAAAACTATTATGTTGTCCACAATGAAATACCTATATACCATACTAAAGTGACTAGTATATATGTATCCTTATTCCAACACATTCAAAATAAATACGTAGTAACAAAAAAGTTCTAGTTGATTTCACTACAGTTTGGCAACAAACTGCAACCATACAACAGAAACCTTTACCGTTTGGTACTGTTTGGCATGATTGAAAACATTTCTGACACCTTTAATTTCATATTTTACTTCATAAATCTAAAGCCCAATCATTTTGTCGGTGTATCAGTACTGGAAAAATGTATCGCAATACAATTTTTTGTTAATGAATCGCAATATGCCAGAACATCGATTTTTCTTATAAATTTCAATGTAAAACTTTGTTTCCCTATTGTGGCCCCACCCTACCCCCGTGGGCCAAGATTTGAATAATTTAGATTCACACTACCTCAGGAAGCTTCCACATAAGTTTCAGCTTTTCTGGCCCAGTGGTTCTTGAGAAAAAGATTTTTAAAGATTTTTCTTATTCAATGCAAAACTTCGTTTCCCTATAGTGGCCCCACCCTACCCCAGGAGGCCATGTTTTGAACAATTTAAAATCTACACTACTTCAGGAAGCTTCCAAATAAGTTTCAGCTTTTTTTAATGACCCCACCCATTTTTGTCTTTTCTTGATTATCTCTCCTTGGAAGAGGGCTTGGTGCTTCATTTCAACAATTAGAATCCCTATTATTCAGGGATGCTTTTTACCAACTTTGGTTAAAATTGGCCCAATGGTTCTTGAGAAGAAGTTGAAAATGTGAAAAGTTTACAGATGGACGGACGACGGACAATGGGTGATCAGAAAAGCTCACTTGAGCTTTCACCCTAAAAATTCCCATCTTGAAAACTGTAGGAGGAGTTATCCACACAAATAGGATACCCTAAAAGTATATATTTTCCAAATTTGAAATTCAAATTCTATGCACATCTCTGATATATTTATGTACAAATGATCTGCAAAATAAGAAATTCCTATCTTGAAAACTGTAGCTCAGCTAGGAGTTATCCGGACAAATGGGGTACCCTTCTGGCAGCCACCCGACTTCCTGTCATTTTCACCATTTCAATAACTGAATTTTTCTTATGGAAAACCCTATTTAAAATGTTATCCTGCATGATACATATAAATAAGAGACAGTACAATTACAAGTTTTACTTTTACTAGTTTAAGTTGTGAGGACTCAAATATTATGATGTACCAGACCAGGATTCAACTCCGGGTTCCCTGAATCACTAGTCAGGTGCTCTACCAACTGGGTTATCATTACTTTCTAGGCTTTTTTTTCTTTTACAAACTTTAACATATTGGTCAGCTTTATATTTTTAGTGAAGCTTGGCTGGTAAAAAGTGACTTTTAAGCAATAAAATTATATATTATTGCATTTTAAAAACAAATTAAGCAGTTAATTTGTACCTCCTATAACATAACAAACTGGAAACCAAAACCTGAACAAAGGCTAAGTTATAACTTGGCACACCTGTTCCGAAACGTCTGTCAGTGTCACTCGTTCAGTCGTTGTTTTTCTTTCTATTTTCACTTTTATTTTCATCGGGTGTGTGTAAAAGTAGATTTTGATCTCGTGACACGGCCTTGCTCTTTTTATTTTTACAGTATTATTATTATTATTATTATTATTATTATTATTATTATTATTATTATTATTATTATTATTATTGTCTTTTTTTAAATTAATATTTTTTAATCAACTAAATGTAGAATTTTTTCATATAAGTAGAACATATTATAAGCGGATTACGACTTGAAGTTTTGACATAAGGTAACATCCGGTTTTGCTTCCAGAGTGTGACACATGTACCTGGTGACTGTTGTAAAGTCAAAAGCAGTATGGTACGTTGATTCAAGTAAATCGTCCAATTAGAATTGTGGTGATGGTTTTTTTTTTCTTTTTTGTGAGGATCTGATGATTGCACAATCGTATCCATACTTTACATCTGAAGCTTTGGGCCAGTTGGACTGAAGCTTTGGAGCTCTTACTGATGATAAAGCCAAAAACTCGAATAGGTTGAACACTTTGCCCTTATTTACCAAAAATATCTGTCTTTCTTGAGGAGAAATTTACCTATGCCATATATTTCTTATGTTGGCCACTGTATTTCAGATAACTAGGTGTGATGGAGTCCTTGGCAGATATCAGTGGTGGCGGACTCTACAATTTATCTTCACCAACAAATCATCATAAATCTGTCAAGTACACTAAACTTCTGTCACACAATGAGGATGGAGAAGATGATGAATTATTTGGTAATGATATTAATTATAACACAGTCTCTAGCCTTGTCAGGGTTTTAATAAAATATGCATACATAACTATACTGTAAAAGCAGAAATATTCGTCGGGGAATAAATTTCGTTTATTTAAGGAATAACTGTCTTATTTTTTGGATTCATGATGTGATCAATCAAGTGGCTTGAGTTATTCCTTATATTTACATGCTCCTGATTCTGCAAATTCCCGTGCTAATAGCCCCGCTTCTGTCTCTATTTGTCCCGCCCCGCACGTGATTTTTTAACTGCGCCTATCGATGAACCAGTAGATTTATGTAGAAGTAAAGTATTTTTACAATTTGTAATTTCATCTACGACAAAGACATTGGAAATGTAAATATTTCAGTGTAAACAATAATTCCCATGCAAAATTTTTATTTGACTATATATTGAATATTATAAGGGTTATTTTAGAAACAACAAAATTTTATGCTCATGAAACCTTTTTAGATGACATTAATATTAAATGAAATTTTATCCCCACAAAAAATTTGTGTTTCTACAGTATATAAATGGAGGGGGGGGGGGCTGTGTGTTCTGTTTAATTCAGTATAGAGTGGTTCATCCTATTGGTGGCCTTGCATAGTCTAAGAACTTATTTAATGTTTTATCTTTTTTTTTTAATGAAGTTTTTAGCTGCTTTAGAACCTTGGATGAAGGATGAATTTGGACATTTTATAATTGTGCTAGTGTGGAAATGTCAGTCATCTAAGAATTATGTAGATATTAAGATATTCATCAAGACTGCTGTCTTTTAGTCACATGTAGGTGAATGTAATGTTTTTCTCACAACTTTGATATTTTCCCAGAAGTGTTAAATAAGATTTAACCAGACTTTGTAACTATTCCAAATTTGACACCCAGCATCCTAGGGTTTCATGAAATTTATTTTAGCTTTCTCACATGAACAAAGTTCACTTCATTTCATCTGAGTCCCAAGGAATGAAATCATTGATCTATATAAGTATTTAAAATGCTATGCTGATATATTCATTTGTGTTGTTTAAATTTGTTAAAATCATGGCTTCAGGGGGCTACCTGTCATGAAAAATAACAAACATGACAAAAGGGATTGAATATCTTTTATTTTTGAATGAAATGAAATACTTATTTCCAATATTTTTTTTTTCAAAACAAAAGGTCTACAGTTTGTCAAAGCAAAATACAAACCTTTTTTGTAGTGTAGAATTTAATTTGCTCACTATAGGTAATACTGATGTGGCTTTTATTAATGTTTAAAATGTTTTGATTTGTTGTGAAAGGCTGAATTCCAGGTTACAAATCTTCATCTCTAATTTTGATATGATAAAATTATGCTGCTTTAATGTCAATTATAGTTTTCTTTTCCTTTCAAAATTTAATTTGGTTAAAAAATTGAAAGAAAATTGCTTAAAATTTGAATGTTGACCATATGATTCTGTTTAATTATCTGTTTGGTTTCAGAGGAAAGATTAGAACAAGTGGCCTTGATTGATGATAGTTCTGGTGATGATTTATATGGCTCAGCAAACGCTGAAGGGGGAGAAGTTTTTACAGTGGAAGATGCTGTGGAAGCCATTGGTTTTGGGTTTTTCCAAATCCGTCTATACATCATATGTGGTCTGTTTACAGTAAGTAGTTGTGTTGTCTATACATCATATGTGGTCTGTTTACAGTAAGTAATCATGTCGTCTCTTCATCATATGTGGTCTGTTTACAGTAAGTAATCGTGTCATCTATACATCATATGTGGTCTGTTTACAGTAAGTAATTGTGTCGTCTCTTCATCTTATGTGGTCTGTTTACAGTAAGTAATTGTGTTGTCTAAACATCATATGTGGTCTGTTTACAGTAAGTAATTGTGTTGTCTATACATCATATGTGGTCTGTTTACAGTAAGTAATTGTGTTGTCTATACATCATATGTGGTCTGTTTATAGTAAGTAATTGTGTCGTCTCTTCATCATATGTGGTCTGTTTACAGTAAGTAATTGTGTTGTCTATACATCATATGTGGTCTGTTTACAGTAAGTAATTGTGTCGTCTATACATCATATGTGGTCTGTTTACAGTAAGTAATTGTGTCGTCTATACATCATATGTGGTCTGTTCACTGTACAGGGTTCAACACGAACATTTGTAGGCCTTAGTTGAAATCTCGTGATCAGGAAGTACTATCGTTTTCCCGATCTCGTTCTTTTTTCTCTATACATTACATCCAAAACATCTGACATCTATCTTTATGTGTCATACTAAATCATGATCATTGTATATCAAATGTTTAATTTCATATCAATCAGTTCTAAAATTAAGCTCTGAATTGACTTGCAATTACCTAACTACCCACCGAGAAGCTAGACAGATTTAAATACGTGCGGGGTTTTCCAGTAAAAGTTGTCGAGAATCGAACATCGGTAATTTATTCATTTTGTTTTCCAGAAATTTTTATTGGTCCGTTTGGACTAATTAGCCACATATTTTATTAGTCCGAATGAAAATGTTTTAGTCTGAGACTAAGAGACTAACAGACTAACCTTAGTGTCAAACCTGCTGTAAGTAATTGTGCCTCTTAATTGTAGTTTGAGGGACATACTGTGGCTATTTTGGATACCTTTATCATTTCTCTTTCATTTTAATTCTTTTTTTTGAGAACTCTCTGAAACTACTTATATTTGAAAAAAAAATCATTTAATGGTACAGTGTATATTGGTATGAAAATTAATATAAACCATATACAGTCCTGTGTGTGTACACAAAAATATGCTGAAGTTGACTGGCTTTTAGGAAATAAGCTATTATACATCCCTGTCCAGGTTGGAATTGTTTTACAATAGAAATTAAATAATTATAAAAGTCCTCATTAATTAAGACTTCCTGTACTCAAGCAGAAATTGAAAATTTTATAGACATACATGTACTCTTGTATTGCAAAAATAATGACAACATTTGTGAAAACCTCTTTAGAAGTATGTTCAAATTATTCCTTCCAAGACCATTATGATATCATTGTATTAATTAAGACTGTATAGGATGAGAATGGGAAAGTGCTCTTACTTGTGACTGACTTGCCTATGAAGAAGGATGCAGGTACAGCATCTATATTATGGTTGAAATTATGAATGACTCAATACACTTTCATATGAATTTTTGTCTGTATTTTAGGCAGCAGATGCACTGGAGATGATGTTGCTGGCAGTACTTTCTCCTGCCCTGCGTTGTGAATGGCAGCTTGATCATTTCCATGTAGCCTTTTTAACTACAGTAAGTCCGTATGTTTTTAGATGTTTTGTATATGATTTTAAAGCTGTTTTTATGAACTGGTTTATTATTAATCATTGTAAAAAAAAATTTAGATTTATCAACCCTCTGTTCACTTATATAATAATTTTGCTTAAACGCTAATGATTTTCAAAAAGAAATCTAATTTGTGATTAATATGCTCACAATTTCAACATACCCTGTGGGGCAAAACTTTGACAGGAATGGCCTTTTGGCAACTTTATAATTAATAAAAATGAAATATTTCAGTGAGAGTTATCTCTCTTACCAAAGGGTCAATGAACCTTAACTTTTACATACATTTGTTCTTTACAGGTTGTTTTTATTGGGATGTGTATAATGGCTCCATTCTGGGGATTTTTAGGGGATAAATATGGAAGACAAACTGTAAGTATCAGAACCAAACAAAAAAAAAATAGAATCCTAGTTCAAAGACCACATCATTCTGTAGAAAATTGTGTCATGTTGGCATTTTCAATTTGCAATTCATTTGAATTAGCCAAATACATGTGTAAAGGAGTAGGATAATTTACAGTTTTAATTTCTGTTGTTGTTTTATTTCTTTTTTTAAATCTGCTAAATTAAAAAAAAAAATAGATATTTGCAGAAATAACCCTTTAATATTTTGTAACTGTTGAAGCACACAATGCAGTAAACATGGAACAGCTCCTGCTTTGTGCAAAGTTGTTCTGCATCAAGCATTTTTCATGAAGCAAGCTAGCCTTTTGAGACAAGTAATTTAATAACACATTGTCAATTTTCACAGGCTGCTTGGATTTCAATGGATATTTATGGTATACTGTATGCTTGGTTCTTGTTTGTTTACTCATTCTGTTAAGTTTTTCAGGACAATATATTTCTAAACTTTCTTTACATAAAGAGAGCTCTTAAACTTGAAGTAAGTGCATTAACTAAAGTTATGGATCTATAAGAATAAATTCATTTTGTTCTTGACTTTTCAGTTTTCACTTAATTTAGGACAATTTTTGTAAAAATTATTTGACCTAGAATGATCTTGTTTCATGTAATCTACCAAATTTTCAAATTAAAGACATATTCTATGATACCATTGTGATAATTGTAGTCACTGGCAGCTGCCTACTCTGACTATATTTAGTGAATTTTCAGAAAATATCCCTAGAAAGCATGGCTTTCAATTTTCCCCCATGTAATAAGGGGTACATGTATTTGAGGAAAATCTGAGCTCTAAGAATTTACCTATCAAAAAACTCTATGAGATCAGTTTCTTGCATGGATTTGCAAGTGTAATAATAATAAAAAAAAAACAACAACAAACTTAAACCACAGAAGTAGCAGTTATTAAAAGGAACAAGTCATTTTTGTGGAGTTTTCTATTGTATTTTAATGACATTGATATATTAAATTTAAGTTAAGGATTTTGCTAACCTTCTGAAAAGCTTTTTAAATTTTTTTTGTTGGTAAGTTAAGTGTTAATTGAGTTTGGTTAGTGTGAATTGTTTTTTGTCCAATTCAAAGTGAATTATAAGGGTTGTCAGCATGCAATGCCCAATACTTATATTGTAGGTATTTAAATGAAAGCATGCATCAGCCTGTATGAATTATGATTGACTGATACAACTTCTATCTCTTATTAATAATGCTCTTCATATTTGTTACCACTGAATATGATAATTAAGGATTGATGCAAAATTCTATAGTGTATAGAATGATTCTTCTGTTTTGCATGCTGTTAATATTTTCATGCATTAAAACTACATTGGCCAATATTATGTACAATTTTCTGCCCTTGAGATAATAGATCTGGAGCATTGATTTTATCTTCTTCAAGTTTTTCTGTCTACTGGATTAAGTCCACAACTTAAATCTCTGGTCTTTTTTTTAATATGTTGGTCAGAGACTTAATTTTAATTATTTTAACCAAGGTCAAAATGAATATCTTCTTGAGGTGGACTACCACAGGTATTGACCATTTCAGATTGCTACTGTTTTTTACATAACACTTTTTAAACATTTTGTTTTAGTCTTGAAGTGTAGTAGAAAATACAGTGTATGTACTGAAGTTTTTCATAAATCACTACTTTATTTTCAATAATTTACACCATCAATAAATTTTAGTTAATTTTGCAGCCTTTGAATCACTTTCTTGTGACAAACTACTCTTCATGTACATGTTCTTGTAATACTGCCAAATTTAGAGTTTGAATGTATACTGTTTGACATTTGACATTGACATTTGGGGATAGGTCATAATATAGGAAGTCACAAGATTATAATGGCTACATCTGTAGTATCTGCTGATTGTTTTTGCTATGCTAACAATATTTTCAATTGAAGAGTGATTCAAATGTATGGTTATCATTTGAGAAAACAGTTACAGAAAATTGTTCAAACTTCCTGCGTTTTTCTGAGGGACTTCAAGTTTCATGTGAAAGTGTTTGAAGTACTGAACCAACAAAAAAAAGATTAATATTAATTATTTACAGTGGAGCCTCATTATCCGGACACTTGTGTTCCCAAGCAAATGTCCCAAGTCAAGAGTAATGAAATGGACTTTTGTTTATTTGAGGTATTAATGTTAATTCTGTTCCCCACAAATTCTGTCTGAAAGTTAAAGTGTCCAGATTGTACTCATGATTATTGAGGCTCCACTGTTGTTATGTATAAAGTGTGTTTGATTGACTCTACATGTAGATTTGAACTAGATTCTGATTCAAACCAAAGCAATACCTTTTTTCCGCTCTACATGTTAGCTCTAATTATTTACATGGTCTGTTTCCTAGTTTTACCACTGTTATAATTGTTTACAATGTTTTTACTCTTTTTTCAGACACTGTACATGGTGACAATGTGGATTGGTTATTTTGGATTTTTAACTACATTTAGTCCATCCTTTATATGGGTACTCATTTTACGGGGTCTTGTTGGAGCTGGACTCGCAGGATCACCCCAAAGGTACTTACTTGTAAGAGTATTAAAATAGAGGTACTCACTTGTAAGAGTATTACAATTGAGGTAATCACTTGTAAGAGTATTACAATATAGGTAATCACTTGTAATAGTATTACAATATAGGTAATCACTTGTAATAGTATCAAGATGGAATTACTCATTTGTATTTTGTAAGAGCATAATTATAGGTACTTGCTTGTGAGAATATCGCAAAAAAATTACTCACTGGTGAAAGTATGCAGTAGAATTAGTCGCTTCTAAGAGTATTACAATAGAATTACTCACTTCCAAGAGTATCACAATAAACGTAGTACTCACTTGTAAGGGTATCACAATAGAGGTTTTCACTTGTAAGATCATTACAGTAGAGGTTCTCACTTTTAAAAGTATCATGAATGGAGGTTTTTACTTAAGAAGAAGTAACTTTAGCTGAAAATAAATTTTGTCATTCAATTTTTTTCATATTTTTTACATTACTAATTAAGTTTGTCCCACATATCTTAAAACAGTTTATTCATTGAGTTTCTTACCTCATTTTAAAGACATTGATTGATAAATACTGTGCACTAAAGTATCTATGTGGAGTTTTGATTCTTCAAATTTACAGACCCATTATTCTTTCCATAATGTATCACAATACAGAGGTTCTCACTTGTTAGAGTATCACAATAGAGGTTTTCGTTTGTTAGGGTATCACAGTAGAGGTTTTCGCTTGTAAGAGTATCAAAAACAAAGAAATTCAAAGGTTTATTGTATAAAGATTTTGGTGCATTTCTCACCAGTAGTAACAGACATTGAATTCAAATTCTTATCATTAAGTCCTTTTACGTCAGGGATGGGCACGATTACTGAAAAATGTAATCGATTAATAATCGATTACTTACAGGAATTTTGTGTAATCGATTATTAATCGATTACACTCATTTTTGTCCTGTAATTGATTGTAATCGATTACTTTGGAAGATGTAATCAATTAATAATCGATTACTTTTAAGATTTTATCCCTTCAAAGATCAAAGCAATATTTAAATGGTAAATGTTGGTGTTATCCACTGAAGTTTGAATATGTTCCTGCAGTTTCAGTGCAGATTCTTTTAAGGTTTTATTCTGGCTAACATTCTCACTAAATGCTCAAATGAGGGATTCTCTACCATGGAAAGTGGATACATGATTCCTACAATAAAATATGCCAAGGAATTAATTATTCCTTTCAACCTTGAATCTGAACCTCCATATTTATTGACTTGTTGCAAAAATTATTTAATATTTTATTGTGAAGTACTTCATTAGAAGTATTTGGGCTGCCCGTACATGTATGTTGACAGTACATATTAAACATTCCTGTACGCATCTTTTTCAAAAAAAATAAGTAAATTAGAACGAACTCTTAGTAATAAACATGTAATTTAAAATTAAATGTGTCTAAGTAATTTAACTAATAGCACAATTTCATTCTGTATTGAAATAAGTGTCTTGAGAGCTATTAATTCTTTTAATAATATTGTTTGTCTTCAATGGAACTATCAATTATAAAAGTTAAACACTAGGTAGTTCATAGTTTACACCTCATTATCTGCAAATCATTTAAGGATGTCTCGGTCAATTAATTAGCCAATTAAGATAAGCAAACAGAGTGACACACTCTCTCTCTTACAGACACTTATAACCTCTCACTGTTATAAAAGCAACCTTACAATTTTGAATGAAAACATGAGAATGATTTTGCAAATTTTAAAGTTAATAAAACACAAGATTGAAGTTGCTTAAACATTTTCAGTTATGAATAAGTATTTCCATCTTCTTCTTTTTTCAAGTACAATGTAGTTTATTAACTAAATTATTTATATTTAATACAGTACTTGAATCTGTTTTTGCTATTTATAATTTTCTATTACAAGAGAAAGTTTTTCAACATCTGAAATATGAAAAAGGACATGTAGCAAGAGGACAATGGGTCAAATGTATAATGCGCACGAAAAATCTGTATATTTTATTAATAAATGGTTGAAATAATAATAATAATAATAAAATTTTATATAGCGCCTTATCTTATGTGAACTCTAAAGCGCTTTACATAGATATAATAATCTACATAATAAAAGGAAGACTAAAACAATCTTATATCACCTATAAAATAGTAAGACATTCTGAAAATACAGTCACGTTGATATTAAAACAAGTCATACGGATATACACTTTCCACTTCAAGTAAAGGCTCTTTTAAAAAGATGAGTCTTAAGTTTCCTTTTAAAAACTTCCAATATGTGAACTTGTCTAAGTTCTACTGGCAGCTGATTCCAAAGTGTTGGAGCAACTCTATCGAATCTACGATCACCGTATGTTTTTGATCGGACTCGAGGCACAACCAACTTGTTTGACGAAACCGAGTGAAGTGACCTGGCGGGTCTGTATTCGCAAACTAGTTCAGAAAGATAAGTCGTTGCCAAACCATGAAGTGCTTTGAAAACATAGACACATAGTTTGTATTGCACTCTATATTTGACAGGAAGCCAATGTAGCTCAACAAGTATGGGCTGAATATGTTCACGCTTGCCTGTCCTAGTAATAAGTCTAGCAGCCATGTTTTGAACCCTCTGCAATTTGCATATATATGTGCTATTTATGTTGAATAAGAGCGCATTACCATAGTCCAGTCGTGATGTCACCGTAGAGTGGACAAGTGTTTTACATGCCCCATCCATAAGAAAATGTCTAATGCGTCCTATTTTGCGAATCTGCGAGTAACATGTCCTTGAAACAGCATTACATTGCTTTTCAAAAGATAGGATTCAATCAAAAAATGCACCAAGATTTCTGACATTCGGAACACTGTGAATGATTTTTTCTCCAAACGATAAGCTGAATTCGGTCATGGTTTTGATTCGACTCTTAGGGGCAAATACAATAAGATCAGTTTTATCCTCGTTTAATTTCAGCATGTTACTAGACATCCAAGACTTGATTTCATTCAGACAGCATGCTAACCGAGAAGACACATTCAGCCAGGTCTCAGTTGGTTCTACTACTAGATAAACTTGTGTATCATCGGCGTATACGTGGTACCTCATACCATGACGCAAGCAAATCTCGGTGAGCGGACGGGAAAAAATACAGTATATTTTAGGCCCCAACACTGAGCCTTGAGATACACCAATATTTAATGGTAATGAATCGGAAATTTCGGAACCAACTGATATGCGTTGCGTTCTTTGACTCATGTATGACTTGATCCACAAAAGAGCCTTCTCTGTTATACCAAAAGTGTGTGCAAGCCGTTTGTACAAGATGCTATGGTCAATGACATTGAAGGCTGCCGAAAGATCCAACATAACTAGAACTGCACAACTGTTGTTGTCCAGCGCAGCAGCAATGTCATGATGAACACAAAGTAGGGCTGTCTCAGTGGAATGGTATTTCCTGTAAGCGGACTGAAGGTCATTGTTAAGACGGTTTTGTTCTAGATGACGATCAATTCGAATGCTGACGACCTTTTCCAAAACTTTTGATATGAAAGGCAAGTTCGAGACAGGTCGATAATTTTTGAAACATTCTTTATCCAAACCTTGTTTTTTAAGCAATGGTTTCACAACTGCCTCCTTGAAACTCGATGGAACGGAACACTCAGATATCGATTTGTTGATGATATCTGTGATATGAAGCACTAATACTGAACTTTCACATTCTTTGAGTAAATTGGTTGGTAACGGGTCTATACAGCACGTTTTTGGTGCAGAGTTTGACAAAATTTTCAAAATTCCTCACAAGTTGTAGGATCAAAATTGACCAACGCTTCACCCTGAAATGGTTTATCAAAAGACATGGAATTAGTGTCGCCTCTGCTTTCACTGACCAACTCATCTCGAATGTTGTTTATCTTGTTACTGAAAAATGATCCAAACTTGTTCGCTAATTCCAAATCAGATGTACAGTCGGGAAGAATAGGAGCATTTGATTCTCCAAGTAGTGAATTCGTAATTTTGAAAATTGTTCCTTGATCTTTACCGCAAGAATTAATTTTGGACAGATAGTAGTCTCGCTTGCTTTCAACGAGTAGCTTCGTGCTCGATGAACACTTTTCTTTGTAAATCAAATGATGCACAGTCAGTTTAGTGCGCCTCCAAACCCTTTCAGCTTTTCTTTTCTCACGTTTTGCTTCGTGCAGTTCAGATGAGTACCACTTTGTGTTTGGTCTTAACGTAATTTCTTTACTTAAGAGAGGTGCATGTTTGTCGACAACATCGCGCACAATGGAATCGTAATTCGTAACATGGTCATCAAGCGAAATGTCATCTGATTTCAGAAAACTAAGGGTGTCATCGAGGTCGGAACTCAGGTCCTTTATATTAACTTCACGAAATTGCCTAAAACTCACTAATTTCTTTGGTTTTTCCGGTTTCGAAACATTCAAAACAGTACATATACCCTTGTGATCACCGGACACATTCCCTCTCAGATCACATAATAAGGGATCTTTTACCTCCGGTTTAGAAAACAGGAGGTTGTTCGACTCTCTGGTAATGACCAGATCAAGTATATGCCCCCTTTTGTGGGTTGGTTCATCAACATGCTGTTTTAAACCAAACTCATCAAGAGAGTTAAGGAACTTCCGCATTTTTGACGTTATGCACATGGATGTTGAAATCGCCTGTGATAAGAAGTTCTTCTGATGTAACGACTAATGGTGCTAAGTACTGAGAGAATTCCCCAATAAAACAGGACAAACTGGCTGAAGGAGGTCTATACATGACAGACATTCGAAACTTATAATCCTGTGAATACACGATGCATCCGATATGTTCAAACTGAACATTGTCCTAGGGTTGCTTTTCTTCAACTATTTTTAAATTTTGTCTTGCTATGATAGCTACACCCCCTCCCTTACGGTCAATTCTGGGTTTATGATAAGTTTTGTAGCCTACAGGGGTTAATTCATTTAAAACTATTTGATCCGTATCAGTTCCAAGCCAAGTCTCCGTGATGGCCAATATATCAATCTCATCCCAGACGATGAAGTCTGAAATTGAAACGGTCTTATTTTTCACAGATCTGCAATTTATAGTAAATAAACGTAGAGACTTTTTGACTCTTTGTGATATTGACAATGAAATTTTCGTCAGATTGTCTTTACTAATGCCAAGTGAAGAATCAATTCTCTTTGCCCGATTTTGAATTAATGTTGGGATAGGGAAAGCTTCACATACTTTATTGGGAACTTCCTTTGGTACGGTTGATAAGGGATTGTTGAGTATATCACCCAAGATGTACACCAGATTATCTCCATTAACCCCAAGTTGATGCCCCCCGTATTTCAACCGCCCAACACAGACAGTGTGGATATGTCTAATGAACCTGCGTCCACCCTTCGTCCCCCTTCTTACACGAGAATTTTTCGTACGGCCTGTCACACTAGCAATATTTGATCTTGCAAAACACATCGTATGGCAACTATATATCTTGTGGGTATGAAAAATATGCGGAGCGACTTACCAATACTACTAAAGTACAGAACAAGATAACTCGTACTACTCGTAACTCGTAGCTCACACAAGTAAAATCACAATGAGGTCACGGTCCAGTGAACACAGAATTAAAATTTTACTAAGATATTACTTTAAAAAAAACAAGATTTTAAGAAAAAAAAAGGTTTCTTCTGTTGGGTTCGATAAGTCGATACGTAAAAGCTCAACCAATTTTAAAAAAATAAAACTAAAGCAACACTTCTGAATTATTTAATACTAGACCTGTAAGCCTATAATGCAAATTTTATTGAAAACATTATTAAACTAATGAAAATAAAAGTTAGGAAATCCAAACATTACACTAGGTGGTTTATATTTGATATTTATGTGTGACTGACTGGAAATTATTCTCCAAAATAACATCCATTTATGTATAAAATAATCGAAAGTAATCAAAAAAGTAATTATAATTACTTTGAAAGTTTTAGCTGTAATCGATTAAATTACGATTACAAGTAATTGAAAATCTCTTCGATTACAGATTACTGTCGATTACTTGAAAAAAATGTAATCATTACAATCGATTACGATTACTCGATTACGATCACCCCATCCCTGTTTTACGTATAAAATTCTTACAGTATCCTGTATTTCTTTATACATGTAGATATATATGTGTAATTATATGTCATTCCAACAGGTTTCTGTTTTCTTTCCAGCTTTGCATTATTAGCTGAGTTTTTACCATCAAAGTCAAGAGCAAAGATGTTGCAGATTGGTGGGGTAGGTATATTTTCTATATATTTATCAGAATTTAAAAGATTGGGAAACTAAATATGTTGCTTGTCTCTGGTGCAGGAAGACTTTTTAAGGACACCTGCATGGACAAACCTTGTTTTTCTATAAGGTTTTTGAGATAAACTGATTAATAAGTAATTGTTGCTATAAAAAGTTAATCTTTATAGAAAAATAAAAAAAAAATGTCTGTCACCAGTCCTGCAACTAGTCAAGAATAAGAATATTTTATTAAGACTGGTATGTCTTTGAAAGCCATTTTGAACAGATTTTATATCTTTATTTTGAAATTTAAAATTATTTTTAAATTTATATGGTGTCTTCTCTCCTGTGCAAGAGAAGAACTTTTCCAATGGTGTAGTAGCAGATGTCAGGTCTTGTTTTTTCTTTCTATAACATTATTTGATATCACAACTCCTTGAAAACCTTAAGTATCATAATTCATAAACTTGAATTTTTTGCCAAATTGTGTGTATTACATGTAGTATAATGGTGTTTTTTGGTGCTCCTAATCTTTAGGCAAAGGAAGGATTTAGTCTTGATATTATAATTACAATTAACTCTTCTGTCGTGGAACTATGTGTAGGATGCTTGATGTTTTTAGTACCAAAATTCCCAGGATTTGTGAAAATACACTGGACTATGAACTCTGTCTAACAGTGATTTCATCTATCTTAAAAATCCTTGGTTAAGGTGAGCATGCTTTAATTTGATGTCAATTTTAACCTTAGAGGCTGGAAAAGTGGGTTAAATCTATTGGATTTCTTCCATAACTGGATGTGTCAATGATTTTAGTTCTGTGTCAGTGTACAAAGGTAGGTAGTTATGCACTATAGTGAGTGTCATACTCAGCAGGCCCATTCCTTGTCGCTTACCCTTTCCTTGCTAGAACGTACGTAGGCTGCTTTTCATCTGTGATTCATTTTTGTGACGAGCACGTTCAGCATGCATTTCCTTGTGTGCTGCTGATGCACTCAATGGTCTCTCTCTCTCTCTCTTTTTCAGGCAGTTCAACATGAAATTATATTGAGTTGAACCTCATATATCAAAAATTGTTCTTTTTGAATAGCATGGATATGTAGAAAAGCGAGTTGAAAGTCCCAATGACTTTTTGTTTATGTATATATATATATAAATATTTAACCCTCCATATCTCGAAATTTTTTCTTTGTCCTATCAAGTTCAAGATAATAGTTTTTTAAAAGGTCTTTTATATTAAACTTTTCACGATTAATTTAAACATGTATTGTAAATTAAGATATTGCTTGGACAGTCATGATTTTAAAAGCTCATTAAATTGTGTCTTTTGTAAAATGATCTTTAGTCAATATCTTCACACATATTTTGCCATGAGCAATTAAGTGCTAATATTTTTACTTCATTTTAAGCAATTGCAATGAAGTCAAAGTTGCAGGTTGAACAAATTTGATTTCAACATCCTATCCAAAGGATTTGCCTTATATCACAAAACTAAATCATAACACATTAATGTAATTCAGTGTGAATGCATAAAATATCTATGCATTTTGGAAATATAAATATGACATTGGATAAACATCTTCTTGATGCAAATTTCTGTATCAAATCTGAAAATAGTATATGCATCCAGTATTGTAATTACATAAAAGGAAAATGTTTAAGGCTGCTCATGTACAAGACATTTTTAATTGAATGCCAAAGTTTTAGTTGAGGAATGAATCTATTTGTTTTTATTTGAAGGTTGCATGGGCAATGGGCACTGTCTTTGAAATTTCCATAGCTTCCATAGTCATTCCAGCGCTGGGGTGGAGGTGGCTTTTAGCCCTGTCAGCACTTCCTTCTTTTCTCATATGCATCTTACTCAAGGTGGGTATAATGGTGAAAATGATGACAAGGGTTTCTATATATCTCTGCAGTTGCTATAAATACTAGTATGTATTATTTGCCACAACTTTTATATGCAATTTGCAGTTTAAAATCAATCTGTGACAATTAGTTTTTGTAACTGAAGAAATTTTCTTCATACATGTAAATACCAAAGAATTCATTCAAGCCAAAAAATATTCACCTGTAAAATAGGTCACAAAATTGACAATTATGTTTTGCATGCAAATGAAAATTGAGTTTTAAGTAGTATACTTGAGTTATCGATATATTTTATTTCACAAGCAAACGTTTTTTCCAGTTACTTCCAGAATCGGCCAGGTACCTAGTTGCTGCGGGTGAGAAAGAGAAGGCACTTTGTATTCTTCAGAAAGCCGCAAAGTTAAACAAGTCAAAGCTTCCTAGTGGAAGACTCACAGTATCACATGTTGTAAGGATTGTTTATTCTGTAATTTTTGTATTGTGCTTATTTTGTACACATTTCAAATCAGAACCTTGTTCGTATTAAGAGGTAGTGATAAAAACTTTGGCTAAATCCCCCCCCCCCCCATCTCCCAAAAAGATGAATTTCCATGGTGCTAAATTACCTGCAGGCTTTTTTTAATTATGATATATGTATTCCTCATATAATTTGAAAATTGGTATAAACTATTCCAAATTTGACAAATCAAATAAAAAAAAATATGGATAAAATTGAACAAATATGAGTTGAATTCACAAGGTGGAAAAAACAGCTTTATTTATAACTGTGTAACAATTGCATACCAACCTCAAAAATAAACTTGCAGTTCAAGGTTGATGGTTATTCAAACGTGCCCACAATTCGGGATAGATACTTTGATCAATCTGATTTTATCAACAGGGAACAAGGGGAAATTTCTTTGATCTCATGTCACCAGAATATCGTCGGACTACGTTACAAATGTGGTTGATGTGGTTTGTTACTGCCTTCTCCTACTACGGAATGGTGCTAGCTAGTGCTGAAATTCTTCAAGTCCATAACACAAAGGGAGAAACAAAGGGTACTTTGTTCATTATAAATCAACATCATTGATAAGAAAATTTATAAATTAAGGTTCTTATATCCAAACAGAGATTGTAAATCTTAAGGGTCATAGACCCTCTGGTAAGAGAAAACTGTCATCAGAATTAATGACTTTCATTCCTTTCAAAAATTGTTAATTTAAAAGGCAATTACTGTTAAATTTTACACCATAGGGTATTTTAAAATTATTTGCATTTTAATAATAATTCTTTTTTTTAAATATCAAATTTTGAAAATCAATTTTATTAAAACAAACCTTTGTATTTACGAACAAGCTTTGCAAGAAGGAACCCTCATAACTGTACAAAAAAAAAATCTTGCTTAGCATTAATGATTTGAAATTCTCCAGCCAATTCTTAAATAATTTCTGTGAATCAGAGGTCACAAATAGCTGGTGAACTGCAGCTTATTCTCTAGTATTAACTTGATTTCAGCAAAAATATTTTGTTTATAACAAAATGTGATTATGAGGGACATGATGTGAAGCAAAACAGTAACTTGTCCCAGAAAAATTCCTTATTAAACTGTTTACATTTATTGTGAGACTACTGGTATTAAAAAGTTGCTAAATAAGTATTTGGGGTTAACAAACTGTCTCCTAAATCTGATCAAAACATTCATTGGAAGTGTTAGAAATCACAGATTGATGTTTCATTGGTATATTTTCTCTATGTAAGCTATAAAGGTGAATATCTCATTCAGATGATGATGTTGCTCAATAGATACCACAGTATCAATTAAGTTTGATACCTAATACTAGAATATTTTGAACTGTAAAATAATTGTGCTGTAAAGTTTTCTAAAGCTAGATATTGTGTATAATTTGATAAGTTTTACCTTATACCTGGCCTGACTCAGTAGGAAAAATTGTGACCTACATGTATATTGCAATCCCCCTCTCCCCCCCCCCCCCCCCATCCCCTTCCTGAGAAAAAAAATGGTCATTTTTTTTTTTATTGTGATGGTGAATAATCCACACTTGGTTGATTATGAAAAATTCCTGAATGCATTTATGTTGCAGATGCAGAGAACTGTAAATGTAACCTTCTGAAATCAGATGACTACATCACCATGCTTTTATCAACATTTGGAGAATTTATAGGTAAACAACTGTATAGTAATTCAATTTAAATGGAATGAACTTCTCAAGTATGATAGCTCTTTTCTTCAAAGTTAGATAAAATATGGAACTTTTGATTCTGTGATGGGAATGTGAAATTAACAGTGTAATGCTAGAATATCAATTCTAAATTTTAAGGGTTTGAGTATAGAAACAGTAAGGAGAAAAATTGGTCAGAGGATGCTGTATTTTTTTGAGAGAGTGGTTTATGGACCTTTGAATATGATTTTATGATTTACATGTTTATACACTTAATTAATGAATAATTATTTCTTTTTCCTTCAGCACTTCCATTGAATCTGTCACTTATAGACAGAATTGGCAGGCGATACACAGGGGCTGTAAACAGTTTTGGAATGGCCCTTTTTTTCATCCTTCTACAGATAAACATGCCGAAAAGTTTACTAACAGTCATTATGTTTATGGTGCGAGGATTCTCTCAAGGATTATTTAATTTTGTGTATATTTATACAGCAGAGGTAAATTATATTTCTGTTTAGTTTACTGTAGATCAACAAATTTTTGTGAGACCATATTTTTGTGAGATAGTCATTTAGTAATTATGAGCAAGACATAATTTTTTTGAGAAATGTGGATATTGTTCTGTATAATCTTCAGTAATACAAATATACACGTGAATTAAATTTTCACAAGCAGGTAGTCTCATGTCATAATGCAGAAATAAAGTTCTCATGAATAAAAAGAGATTTACAATAATTAGAAATAACAATAAGATTTATTGAGTTTTTCCTCATCAACATTTTTCTGTGGCTTGATGATCATCCAACAATCTTTAAATCTTTTGTTTTACCCGACATTGCTACTTACAACATTTAGTGGTTTTTTAAAAAGGAAAAAAGTGTATGTTCTATCTTGTTTGTGTGGATACATTTTAGGTATACCCTACAACAATAAGAACATTAGGAATAGGAACAGCTTCCGCTTGGGCTCGGGTAGGAGCCATGTTGACACCATTCATTGCTCAAGTAAGTGAAATTAGTTTACAGGCTTCAGTTCACATCAGATAGCTTATTTATAAACTGTTTAAACCATATTTTTATCCTCATATATATTGAATTAGAAATACATCCATGCACAGTTGTGGGCTAAACTTTCAGATGTGTTGGAAATCAACATAGGTGAGACTGAAGTTCTAGGGAGAGTTAAGGCAGAATTAAAGATTCCAGCAAGATGTCCTTGTGAAAATATGTGAAACAAGGGCACCATAAAGCAAAGCATCCCCTCACTAGAGAGCTCATCAATCCTGAAATAAATTATTACTTACCCAACTTCCGTTGAGCATTCACCCACACACTAGTGCATTACTATAACCCCTCCAACTTCATTGCAAGAGGATAAAAATCTTTGATACTTTAAATTTGTATTAACAATTAATCTGGAACTTGAATCTACACTACATGAGGATATTTCCATATTTACTAGTATTTGATTTATTATGCTTCTACTGTTCTTGAAAAGATTTTTTTTTTAAAATTCTATATAATCCAATGTAAAACATTGATTGCCTAATCTATACAATGTCAGGAAGCTTACACATAAGTTTCATCTTTTCTTTTCCGGTGGTTCTTGAAAAGATTTTTAAATTGAGCATTTAAATTTTCACTAATTTTTGGAAGAGGGCGTGAACAAAACTGAATCCCCTTCACCCAAGGATGCTTTGTGGCAAGTTGGGGTGAAATTAGCTCAGTGGTTATTTAGAAGAAGTGGAAATTGTGAAAAGTTTAGATGGACAGACAGACTGACGGAAGCCAGACAAAATGTGATCAGAAAAGCTCACGAGCTTTCAGCTCAGGTGAGCTAATATAGGTGGATAATTTTCATTTTTCTAGGACTTGGTGCTATATAAATTAATATGAAAACCTTTTAAGTTCACCTGAGTTTACTCAGGTGACCTATTGCTATCTGTTTTCGTCCGTTGGCATGCGTCGTCCGTCGTGTGTTAACATTTGAACATTTTCAGCTTCTTCTCTGGAACCACTGAACCAAATTCAACCAAATTTGGCACATAGCATTTATATGTGAAGGGGAGTAAAAATTGTGAAATTCATGACCCCTACCCCCCTGGGGCCTGAGGGGTGGGGCTAAAACCATCAGAATTAATGCAATCTTTAAAAATCTTCTTCTTTACTCCTGGGCATCAAGCAGGCAAACTGTTGGCATGAATGTAATAAGCATTGAGCCCTCTACCTAAATTGTGAAATTTATGAATGGTCAGGGGTTCTGGTGCTAGGTTGGGGCTCTGTTGAATATGTAGTGAAAAGCATTATTCTTAAAAAATCTTCTCCTCTGCTCTTGGGTATTTAGGAAACAAACAATATGCATAGTTATGATGAGGAAAGGTGTCTCTTCTAAAATTGTGAATTTCATGGCCCCTGGGTCAGGGGTTCTGGTGTTAGGGCGGGTATCTAATGATTATATAGTGAAAATGCATTAATTATTCAAAAATCTTCTCCTCTGTTCCTGGGTATTAAGCCGATGAACTAAGTACATAGTTATGATGAGAAAGAGTGCCTCTTCCAAAATTGTGAATTTCATTGCTCAAGGGTCAGGGGTTCTGGTGTTAGGGTGGGGCTCTGTTGATTATATAGTGATAATGCATTATTTCTTTAAAAAGCTTCTTCTGTGTTCTTGGATATTATGAAAACAAAATAAATACATAGTTATGATGATGAAAGGTGCCTCTTCCAAAATTGTGAATTTCATGGCCCCAGGGTCAGGGGTTCTGGTGGTAGGGCAGCGTTCTGTTGAATATACATGTATAGTGAAAATGCATTATTTCTTTTAAAAATCTTCTCTGATCCAGGGCAAACAAACTGAAGGCATAGTTATGATGAATAAGGGTGCCTATTCCTATGTTGTGAATTTCATGGCCCCCTGGTCAGGGGTTCTGGTTTTAGGGCGGGGCTCTAATGATTACATAGTAAAAATGCAATAATTCTTTGACAATCTTCTCCTTTTCTCCTGGGTAATAAGCCGATGAACTAAGAGTATAGTTATGATATGTAAGGGTGCCTGTTCCAAAATTGTGAAATTCATGGCCCCTAGGTCAGGGGTTCTGGTGTTTAAGGGTGGGGCTCTGTTGAATATATAGTGATAATGCATTATTTCTTTAAAAATCTTTTTCTTTGATCCTGGGTATTTAACAAACAAACTGATGCATAGTTATGATGAGTAAAGATGCCTCTTCCAAAATTATGAATTTCATGGCCCCTGGGTCAGGGGTTCTGGTGTTAGGGTGGGGCTCTAATGATTACATAGTAAAAATGCAATAATTCTTTGAAAATCTTCTTCTTTTCACCTGGGTATTAAGCTGATGAACTAAGAGTATTGTTATGATATGTAAGGATGCCTCTTCCAAAATTGTGAATTTTATGGCCCCTGCATCATGGTTCTGGTGTTAGGGCAGGGCTCTAATGATTACATAGTGAAAATGCATTAATTCTTTGATAATCCTCTGCTCTCTTTCTGGGTATTAAGTAAGCTTACTAAATGTAAAATTATGATGAGCAAGTGTGCCTCTTTCGAAATTGTGAATTTCATGGCCTCTGGTTTAAAACATGAATCCATTGTGGCGAAGTTGTTGCATGATACTCGGGTGACCTATAAGGCCCGTGGGCCTCTTGTTTTTCTTTGAAAATATAGTTCTGTTTGGGTTATTTTGTGCACCACTATGTAGAATGACCATATATATAATTTCTCTTTTTCCAGGTTTTATTAGACAAGTCCTTGTCATCTGCTGTGTGGGTATATGGCTCTCTAGGAACGTTAGCTGCTCTCTGTGCAGTTCTTTTACCAATTGAAACAAAAGGAAGAGTTTTACCGGTAAGCTCACTTTTTTAACTCAGCTTCTAAAGATTCATTGAATCTTAAATTACCCTATAAACAGAATCTTTATAATAGTAAATAAAATATTTTAATATCAACATCTTGTGAACATTTTTTTTGTCCCCCACTTTCAGTGAAAGTGGGGGATATTAAATTGGGTCTGCATGTTCATCCTTCTGTCATTCTGTCTATGTGTAACACTTTCATTTTCAGATGATATCTCAAGAAGCCTTTGAGCTCTTGCAATGAAATTTTATTCCGCAACTCCCTTTGGCTTAAAGAAGAGACCCCTATCGATTTTGAAGTTAAAAGGTCAAAGGTCATGATCATAAATTCATACATTCTATTTGTGTTTAACACTTTTGCTTCCAGATGATATCTCAAGCCTTTGAGCTGATGCAATGAAATTTTATACCCTAACTCCCTATTGAAAGAAGACCCCTATTGATTTTAAGGTCAAAAGGTTAAAGGTCAAGGTCATAAATTTATACATTCTGTTTGTAACACTTTCATTCCCGGACGATATCTTTAAAAATCTTTAAGCTTTTGCAATGAAATTATATATCACTAATCCAAATCATAGGCGCTTGGGTCAAGGATGATGTATGTACCGGTAAACTAAAAAGTTTCTTTTAACTATACAGTGGGAAATGTCATTTTTAAAACGTGCATAATATCAAATTTCTGTGACATTCTAGTGTATATCAAGCAGAAAGGTTTACAAAAAAGGTTTACTAAAAATTAATACTGAGCACTGAAAAAAATGTTACAAGTATAGTTCGAATTTTATATAGAAAATTTACATCATCCTTGACCCAAGCGCCTATGCTCCAAATGGTCTAAAAAAAAAAAAAATTCATATATTTCCGATAAAATTTTCCAGATGATAACTTAAGGTTTTCTTTGAGCTTTCTTCAACAAAATTTAATATCAATAATAACTTCCTATGGCGTATAGAAGATCCCTATCAATTTTTTGGTCAAAAGTCAGAGGTCAAGGTCATAAATTCATACATTCTGTCTGTGTAACACTATTTTTTCCAAACTATATCTTGAAAAGCCTTTGAGATTTTGCAATGAAATTTTATAGTACAACTCCCCATGGCCTTGATTTTGAGGTCAAAAGGTCAAGGTCAGAAATATATTTTGCATATATAATTTTCAGATGATAAGGTCAGTTTTTCTGTAAGCATTTGCAAACCTTTGGTTATGAATTTCTTTAACTTTAAAAAGACTCCTATTGATCTTAAGGCCAAATGCTAAAAGGTCAAAGTTGACCTCTTTTCTTTCTCCATCTGCATAATTTATTCAGTTCTTCCACCCTCTTTTTTTTTCCTCAAGTGGGGGACGCATATTCTCTGAGTTAGCATTTTTAGCTCTACTGGTCAGAGACCAGAAGAGCTTTTGCGATAGTAAGGTGTCCGTCGTCCGTCCGTCTGTCTGTAAACAATTTTTCAAAATGCTACTCCTACAGTTTTGGTCTGATTTCAATTTCTGTGAAATTTCTTTAAAACGCTACTCCTCCTACAGTTTGGGTCTGATTTCAATATTATTTGGCACACAAGTAGACTACACTATGATACATAATAGTGTATATCGGTTTTTGATTTCAGTGAATGGTGTTGCCATGGTTACTAAAAATAGAATTTCTGTGAAATACTTTCAAAATGCTATTCCTTATACAGTTTTTGTTTGATTTCAATATAACTTGGCACACAAGTAGACTACATTAAGATACATAATTCTCTTTATTGCTGCCTGTTGCAAAGTTTCAAATCCAAGTGCTACTTTTCCTTTGTTATAAGTACAGACCAGTAGAGCTACAGTCTCATCAGAGACTTCTGGGTTTCTTTATACTTGAAGATCAATGCATGAGCTTCTTTGCTTTTATTTATTAATATTACATTTTTTTTACATTTACAGCAATCCATTTAACCATTGGATATAGAAGGCAGCATCAGAAACGCTGTGTGGGCATTGGATATTTTATTCTCATTGGAGGTTGATAAATCAGACCATTTTAGACTTTTACAGATTGATTATTTATACATTTATATGTAAATCATATATAGATTATTTATATGCATCTTTTAAACCTGATCTATTTTCAAGAGGGAAAGTGCTTTTATAAGGAAAAAAAAGTATGCTTATTAAACCTATGCCAGTATGTTTGGCCAATTTGATGCTATGCAATACAAATGTATTAATTGTGCAAATTTTAAATAAATTTTTAACAAATTAAGATTATTATTTTCTAAGTTTTAACATTTTGAATCAAAATCAACATGAAAAGAGAGTTGTATCCACTGTTGATAAAGAACAAAGAAAACGTATTACATCTATGTAACAAAGAAATCTGTCACAAGACTAAAAATAGGCTTAAATTGCTTCCAGTTATACTTTAAGTCTGAGGAAAATCTAATTTGGAAAATTACATTTTCTGAATGAGATTTCTTGTGATAAAACTTGTTGTATCTGTTGTACTATCAGAAGAATACTAGTAATAACTTTTCTGATATTGACACAAAATGCAATGACACTAATTGCAATCTGTTAGTACTTGTATACAAAGAAGATGTATTTTTCTGGTCTAAGAGTTGAAGAGTTTTTAATGACTTTTTTCATTATATTTTGTACAATCAGCAAATAACAGTGAGATGTCTAACATCAAGTTTAATCACTCTTTGAAGTTGTAGAAATGCACAGAAATTCTTAATAAAAGTTTCTTTGCTTAAGACTTGTAGTAGGATTATATAAGCTTCAAGTCACTGACATAATAAATCATGTTCCATATAATGCCTTATTCACATCACATATTGATATCTCTTCTATTGGAGTTATAGCATCTTTTGGCAAGTACTTGTAATCCTCCTTCTTTGAATCTGAAATCAAGGAGAAAACATAAAAAATATTTTACAATTCTTTCATTATCAGCCAATGAATAGAAAATTATTCTGCCTCTGATTTTTCAAGGGCCGTAACTTAAGTGCTTCCAAGATTTTCAAGAGAATTAATTTTTTTTTGCATTCAAAAATAATTAATTGTTGCCTTCTATTTTACTGCCTCCAATTACATAAGATCATATAATGTATGTTAAAATTCAACGAAAATTTATGTTTGGTGGGAGTAACTAGCATTTTAGACAACACACAAAGTTAGGCTTAGCATTATGTTCCTCTGTTAATTTTTTTGTATACACGTTTGACATCTCTGGTAATAATTCTTACCTGATACAGTACTAGGAGAATCCACTGGTGCCGTATTGATAAAGATTAGGCCTTCATAGAATACAAAGCTACCTAGGAATAAGACACAGAGGAAAGGCGGGATGGAAACTGCTAAAAACCTACAAGCATTACATAAACTGGTCTTTACAAATTGTACAAGACATATAGGCCTTTGTAATGTCTAAGTAGAATTTCTTTTTCTCAAGTTTGAACTACTTTAATTGGCCATCTCTGAAAGTTACAATTCTGAGTTAAATGCATTTTCTATGTGAAGTTCGACCCATTCCTTTTTTTCTTAAGACATGGTGTTCAACTACTACATTCATGATTAAAAACAAACGGGGCAATAATTTTTTCTAAGTTGATTTTCCTTCATAAAAGTTGGATAACTTTTGAGATACTTTTATTAAATAAGCAATTTCAGTGTGGTTCTTCATAATGATATTATGTTTGTTTTAAGTAATAACAAAAAATATTGACTTCCTATCAGGTCAGCAGCTGGGTTACAAACTTAATGGGTCCAAGTCATAACAACACAAACACAGCAAAATCATTTGACTTATGAATGGAAACTGCAAGATTTCAACAACTCCCAAGTCACAAGACTTTAACCTAATAGACATAATCTTGAAGCAGCTAATCAGTGATGACTTACTCTCTGAATGGTCTTTCATCATACATTCCTAATATACAAGAGTTTACATGTAACTTACAATGCAAGAAAGGGTGATTTTTTAAATTTAATTTACATCTCCCAAATTTTTTTGCAACAGATATGAAAATCGTCAGATAATTCAAAACACTGTTTTTTACTTACTGTCCTATTATTCTCTAATACATCTTATGAGAGACAAGACTGAGTTGAGACTTACTTGCTAGGCCAGTAAGTAAGACCAATCCATTCCAGATAAGAGTAGGGAGTGTAAGCCCAAATCAAAAAGATACCTGCAAAATAAAGGATATCATCAAAGACAGCTATAAACATTAAAATTGCTTTCAAGTCTCTCTGCTTTAATAACAGTACTTAACATTTGTTTAAAAACATCAAAAATAGGATAAGGCATAAGCATTTAAACAGGTCCAGCACAATCTCTTGATTTAGCTATATAGCTTGAAATAGCTATATAGCTTTACTAAGCTATTCAAAATAGCTTGATAAAGCTATTTTTATGCAGTTTTTCACAAAAACTTTTTTTGTAAAAAATAAACAAAAAGTCACAAATATTTGACTATGCATATATGTACTATGGGCTATGAAAACACCAACCGAAATCAAAGATAGTTCTAACATTGCAGCTTTTGAATACTTTTAAGCAAAAGATGAATTTCCATTGTTTGAGTAACTGTACACTACCTTGTGTGCGTTGAGGCATGGATAAGTATGATTACGTCTCATTGTATTGAATTATTACCAGTGAATTATCTTGTTGACCGTAATTGGCCTCCTTTATAATTTCATTGAAGAAGTAACTGTATCAATTGCTTTATATAGCCCCAGAACTTTCAGAACTTTGAGTACAAAGTCTCTTAAGGAGACGCAATTTGATGACTGATTTTTACATACATTATTTTCAGAAGAGTTCAAAGTTGAATATCATCACTGCACCAAGGTGCGACTTTTTGTGCATGCTGAGAAAATAACACATTTAAGAAAAAGGTGTGATAAAATAGCTAAATCAAGATATTCTGAATAGCTTAATAAAGCTATATAGCTAAATCAAGCTATATAGCTAAATCAAGAGATTGTGCCGGACCTGTAGAAGGCAACTAGTTGTCTGAGAGCAACATTTTTAGAGATTAAGAGAGGTCTCATCCCTCATGTCCCATGGCATTGCATGGCTAAGTTACAGAATTTTGTAGCACGTTTTGGGTAACAAAGTTTCCTTGATGCAAATGTAGCAAAAAGTGAGAAAGTGAAAATAACGTGTCAAAGCGCACGTGTGACGTGATCAAGCGTCTTTGGTATACCCCATAACAAACTCCATACAGTGTCAATTCTCTGGGACTACTTTCCCTACGAATAATGCTATGGAGTTGTAGCGTAACATAATACTGAGCTGTCTGGAGCTTGACCCCATAACAACACAGTAAAATTTAGAACCAGAGACGGTGGCCGGCGAACCCTATTAAAGAGGCTGGGGGGTTGTAGCCATTTTTAGACTATATTGATCTCCTTTAGAAGAAGAGCTCCATATGAAGATATAGAAAATGATCAAATTTTAAAACTAAAATTTTTGAAATTTTTCTTTGCCAAATGATAGTTGACAGCTTAAGATATCATATCTAAAAAATTAAGTTAAATCTGGTGGTTAATTTGTGGTTAATTTGTTGATCCCCCAGCCTCCTTAAAACAACATACCAAATGAAATGTAGCATAACAAATACGAGACGAATCCGTAAGTTGCCCTTTCTGGTACATGTATTGGTGAATGCGGTGACATGGATTCTTTATTTTGTCTAACTTTCTTTTTCGCAATCATTTAAACAAAATAATTTGTTTAAAATTCAAAGGTCTGCATTCCACTAGTTCGTAACGGTAACTAGCCTAGTTGAGTAGTTCGTCAAATTCGTCGATTCACATCTTGTTGACTTCCGGCTTGACAGGTACTTGATAACTTGATTCCAAACTAACTCGGAAATCGATGTGCGAGTCCTTTAATACACATCAGGCTCAGCTGCACATGCATAGAAAGATTGGGTATTTACCCACATTATTGCCAGATATGTGTGGTTCTTTTAGATTTTTGATGAAAGATTCTACAGTAAATGACACAATATGAAATTCATTCAAGTTTTTTTTAAGCATTGTATTATTTTAGACAAAGATAATGTAATTATTTAGGACATGAATTTTTCCAGTGTATAGTAAGCAACAGTGCTTTCTGTACATTAAACTTCATTGGCTTTGAACATTTTTTCCTTGGGAAATATGGCTGGTAGCTTATTAATCCGAGATTCCTCTGACTCTAACCCCTGCTTTTATATTGTGACATGTGCGGGAGAGATCTGCAAGGTCAAAGGGTCAAAAATATTTGTACTCAAGGAAATCTCTTGTTACAAGGAATACACATGTAAAATATATGAAAGCTCTAGCACCAACTATTCAAAAGTTATGGCCAGGTTAAAGTTTTTCAAAAGTATAGTCAAACGCCAAGGTCAAGGTCAATAATATTGGCACATAACAACTGCATGACAATGTACATGTATGACAAACGCTTCAGCTTTTCCATCGTCAACTTTCCTTATTTATGAAGTAATTTATAATATTCCTTTATCACCTGCATATGATGTTTATGTCTACTAACTTATTCGATGCTGCTTTGAGTACGATCAATATTTTTAAACCGGGGCAGGCTACTGACAAATGAGTTGATGTTACAGGGATTTCAACAACATATTTTGTAGTCAGCATTTCGTAGATCGTCCATCCCAATTTTTTTTCAGGCCAGCGAGCTACAGATCTGCAGCTATGGTAGTTTTTACATATGGAGAAATGGTGCTCATTCTGCTCATTTGAATATCGGCTATATTGCAACTATAATGGCGGCCGATTTCATAAAGGTTTACATAGAGAAAATACCAAAAAATCACAATTTTTTATATCCTAACTATTTCGGATAAAGTTCTTCCGCCGATGGTTTGATTCTTCTTTATATCTTCTACCGGAAATGACAAGACTATTGATACCAAAGTGAAAGTTGCGACCGCCTTTTTAATTTGAAAATTCGAAGCGAGAGTATATTGTTTTAATGAAGGAAAGAGTACATAATTGGTGTTTTTATCATTTTTGATGATGAAATGTAAGTGTTTATTGCAAGTTGACAGAGTTCTTCCGCCGATTAAGAGGTGCAGGAGAGACCCTATTTTTATGAAATACACATGAATTACCATTTCATGAGGAGTTACGACCGCCTTTTCTATTTGAAAATGCCAATTTCTTGCATCAATGTGACCTACTTAATATCGGAAAAACGGTATCCTGAGTCTTCAGCTGTTAATCACACAAAATTCTGCCCAAATAACTATGATGGCGGCTTGAGGAAAAAACAAAACAAAACAGGCTTGCAGGTTTTAACCACAGGCACTTGTTTCGGTAATAAATTTTTAACCCATAGTATAATAATACTATGGGTTAAAAATTTATTACCGAAACAAGTGCCTGTGGTTTTAACATGAAAATTTAAATAAATGGAATTTTGAGTATATGCAGTATCTTATGAATATTAATGAGAATAAATCACGTGGAAGCAATCTCATGAATAAATTGCACACCATTTCTCCATATGATAACTTTGTCAGCAAATACAACCTATCATTGGGTCGAATTTTGCCTTACATATTTCATACCAATTAGTAGGCCTTAGTTTTAGACTAAATTTGACTATGGAATATTCCATCTACCTATCAATACATAGGGCTTACGGCAGATGTGGCCAGTCGACAGGGAATGCTTACGCATCCAAGTTTGTTTTTTTGTTTTTTTGTTTTTTGTTTTTTTTTTTTTGGAAATAAAAATAATAGTTTTCTACACCCTAGATAAAAGAAAATATACCTTTTATAATATTCCATGTATATCTCTCAGAATGAGAAGTTCAGAAGAGTTCTTGGAGGCTCCGAGAAAAAATCCAAGGCCAGGTTTATTTTCTATCGAATTAATTTTCCTCACATTAGGTTTGGCCTTATATTGTAGCACAATAGAGCCTTGATTGTGCCTACATGTACATGTATGTCACAAAGTATAAATATAAACATTGTAAGCTCTGAAATGTAAGATGTTAGCTTTTTTTCCCCCCACTGTTAACGACAGCTCCATTCCACTTTAAACAAAGGGAGAATTCAGTTACCTTATAAAGATGAAATAATTGGCCAACACATTCAGTTTGATGGTGAAATGTCTGATAAGGTGAGCATTGTGGTCCTCGGGTCTTAGTATTATCTGTGTGGGGGGAATTTATTACTGAGAGAGAGAGAGAGAGAAAAGCTTGCTAGAGTTCTCATGATTAGTTTGTAGCACTTTCATTATGCGATTCTTACAGTATTAAGAATAAATCCAGCTCTCACAGTTAATTTCCTGTTTTCCACAATTTAGTTAAGATAAAAATATATTGATTTTGTTAACAATGGAGACCAAGATACTCACTTATAACCTTGCAGTTCAAATATCCGTTCATATTAATAAAAAGGAATGTTAATTCATACCTTAAGTGATCCGTTAAGAATAATCTGATATTCAAATTAAAGGTTTTAAGTTATCTGAAAGTTTTGCTATATTCTCTACACGAAATATCAATTTAATTTCGAAATAATTATACGCCGAAAATTATACTAGCCATCACGAATAAATCTAAGTGGCCCTTAATTAATCAAACGAGTCATAGGCGAGGTTTCATCGTTCCGGTTTTAATTAAAAGCGTATTTTCAATAACGTCTCGTAATTAGAGAAAATACGACAAGAAAACTTTTACTACGTTATAGATATGTTAACTCATGATTATTTTAACAGGTCATCAGGAAAAACCATTACTATAAAGTATTCCGCCACATAAACGGAATAGCTCCCCCTTCTCTCTCTCTCTCTCTCTCTCTCTCTCTCTCTCTCTCTCTCTGGAAGACCTGTTAGCGAACCTCTTGTCAGAGAATTGAAATTTATCTATGCATAAATATATATGTCTATAAATTCTATGAATAAGTACTAAAAAGCATAAAATATGAAGAAAAGTTATTAATAAATTTTCATCCAATCCTGGTACTTTTAATTAAGATTTTCATGGGTTGTAATGTTAAATGCGCGTCACGGAAAAAAATTCTTTCAACACCCCCTCTGGATGTGTGGCATTTTAAGTTTATTTCTCATAAAAGTTTTCTGTTCTAAAATTATGACCCATGCAAAAATCTAATCTCAAGTGTTCTTGACCTTGTAAAAATAACCTTGAGTCAGGATCTGGTCATTAGATTTTAATATGTATGTTTCTCTTCGACTGGACTATTGTCCTGAAAATAGTACACTTATCTCTTTGACTTTGTCGAACTAACATTTGTCAAAAGAACCTTTTATATAAAGTATGACATTTCGATTGAGGTGTTTATGTTTTATACAATCTATAGTTATGATTCTCCAAGATCCAGAAAAATGATTATACAAGCTGTAGCTGTAATAGAAATGAAACAGAATACCACGGATATCTTAATTACTTCTAGAAATCAGAATTTTGTTTATAAAACCAATCAATTCCAATAAAACCCGACACTGATCATCGTGTTGAACATCAATAATTCTTATCTGTTTTCTTGCTTTAGACCTTATGAACATTTAAATTCATATCAAAGAATACTTGACACTGGGAGCTTTGGTTATCAGTATACGTGTTCTGGAATGCTCAAGCAATTATTACAATTCACTGGGAAACACATAAATTTCAAAATCTCTGAAGTCTTTGTTCTGATAACTTTGTGACGGCTATCAAATCTCTCCAGAAGGTTGATGTGTTGGTGCTAATAAGACGGTTTTATTGGGACATATATTTCCTGATGAACTCGGGGAAAACAATTGTATCATTTCCATATAATTGGCTGCAGTAACCGACAAGCTATAAATGGTATTGCTTTTATACTATTGTTCTGATTGTCCATTGGTTAATTAACAACATGGTGGTATACACTAGTATAAAGAGTCGGTCTTGGTTCTACTAATCCGTGACATTTCTCAAATTTCTTTAAATCTGAATCATCTCGTTTTGTATCAAAAAAGAGAATGTCATGGGAAATCATATACTTATAAGTTCAGTAAAAATGAAATGTCAACTGTACATAAACAAAGCTTTAAGTGAAAAGCTAAGACATGTAGAGTATGCAAGCAGAGCCACAAGGATTTACCTAACTGATACAAAGAATAACATGTCAGGGGCCCATGTTTCAAGTTTTGATTTTACTTTGGTAATGACGTAAATACAATCATTACCTTACGTTCTAAATTCAGCATGTGAATTCAAAAATTAAAACATGACGCTAAATCTGAAATCATGGAAATATATGCGGTGGCAATTTTTTGCGACTTTTGTTCACCAAAGCTTCCTGAGGGACGAAAAGGGAGAAATTTGTTTTCTTTAATTCATGTGTATGTTAATACTTATACATGTATTTACAATAATATTTCTCTGATCACAACAATCACTCCTTATCGATCATTCCACGTTTTACAAAATAGGCAATGATACCATTTAACAATCCATCGTAAATAAACCATAGTTATTGTTTAGAAGTATGTGGTGAATACCTATTTGTATCTGATTCATATTTTTAACCAATTAGTTATATACGACAAAGAAATAAAATATCAACAGGATGTAATATGGGTTTGCGTAATATGAACAGGTATTTTGATTAGGGTTGTCCACGAAGAGCTAAGGCTCTTCACAAATCGTTTCTTCCAGTAATTTTCAAAGATTTTTTAAATGGTAAACGTAAATGGCCTTGAAATAACAGACTGCAGCAACGGGCCAAAAAGTGAATGTTAGGGCCG